GCTCCTGTGCCACCTCTGAGGAAGCCTTCTGGAGCCACCCCACCCAAGTGCCACCTCTGCCCGTCCCTTCCTCACTCCATTTTTTTACCTCTGCTTCCTTTTCTCCCAAAGGCTCACCGCCATTTGTTTATGTTCCTTGTCCCACCACACCCAGTTCGATGAAATCACAGGGGCTCAGTTCTCAACCACTGAGGCAGCAGGTGTCTCCAGCATGATTGGCACACAGTAGGTGCTCAGCTATTTATTACTACTTTGCATATGCCACTCCCAATGCTCAAGGTGTTGTCTTTATCAAACTCCTATGCATCCTTCAAAGTCCCATCTAGTTATCACTTAGCCAGGGAAGGCTTCCTTGCCTCCCACACGCACCCTGCATTAAGGGCTTTATCTGAGGATAACACGTCATGCCCTGTGTCACCTCTATTTGTGCACAAACTCCAAAAATCACAACTGTGCACATCGGCAGAGTTTTGTTTCCTTAGTAAGTCTTGCTTCTTCAGAGCAAAGAGTCAGGCACAAATTAGGTGTATGTATTGAATGACCAAATTATATGTATATATAAGTATACATATGTATATGTATATATATAACATATGTATATGTATATACATATGTATTATGTATATATAAGCCAGCCCTCAGATTTTTTTTATAACTTCCACCCTCCTTCCACAATATGTCATAACTCCCATTTGTAGTACATTTGATAGCTCTCCTTGTGGTAGAATTTCAGTTCCACAGTCTGGGGAATGTAATTTGGCGGGGTGGGGGGGGTGTCCTGGGGATAACGGAGGCCAGGGGGGATACTTGCCGATATAAAGAAGATCGGTATATTAAGTCTATATGTCGTTTCTAGAATTCCCAACCCAGAGGAGGAAGAGCCCAACTCCTGAACCAAATCCAGGCTGGGCAAGGAGGGAAACTCAGACCCAGAGAGTTCTACCTGAACTTGGCAGGAGGCCCTCCAAGCACAATGGGTAGGCACAGGGTGAAAGAGAACAGCTGGCCAGGACAGATTTCCCTGAAGAGTTTCCAAGGAAGAGATTTACAGCTGCCACCCTGGACAGACTGAGTCAGGGTGTGCAGAGCTGGGCCCCGCAGATATTTGGGAACCAAAGCTACAGTCTGGAGAGAGGGAGGGGCCCCCATTGTGGCCAGGCAAGGAGGAAAGAGGCTCAGGGCCAGGAATGAGGGCGGAGCTCAGGTTTCAGTATCAGCTCCTGTTCCAGAGACTAGTATTGCTGGGGAGATGAGATGGGGACATCAGACATTGTCCCCAGTGAGAAGCTAGGGCTGTTCCTCCTGCCTCAGCTCAGGGGTCCAGACTCCAGTTCCTCCTCCTTTAGATCTAGAGGTCAGACCCCAGCCTTCCTTCTTCAGATCCCAGGATTCCAGACTCCAGCCCCCTCCATCCTTAAGATCCAGGAGCCCAGCCCTCCCTCAGACCTGGAATTGGATCCCTGACTCACACCACACACCTCTGCTCATAACGACCAGGGCCTGGGTTCACCCAGACCTGTATTTGTGTCACAGCACCGGGCCACTCTGACCTTTGGCTAGGGCTACTCACCCTGAGCCTGTGTTGTTTCCTCTGTTGGAGTTCGGAGTGGTTCTCTGCCCCTTCCTCTGTGCATGTGGTTGGAGCCTCTGCTGAGTGCATAGCACAGCAGGCTCAGACCCCAGTCCCTACCCTTCACTGTCTATCCCCTTGGCACCCAACCCACTGTTCTGGGTGTGTCTGACCCTCCTTTCCTGGGATTCTGCTCTCACCCTCCCAGCTCCTCAGGACCTCTGCAGCACTCTGTGTCCCCATTGTCATAGCTATAAGCAGAACGGCCACTGGTTCCATCCTTGCTCACAGTAATCTGTGCTTCCTCTTTGCAGGGCACTGTGGTAGGAGCTCTCAGGAGCCTAATGAATCCTCCTCCCGACATAGGGTTTGGTTTACCTTTGGGGTCCTGGGGCACAGAGAGACGTAATTGTTTTCCCAGGGTTACACAACTGGCACAGGGCAGGTTCACAGAGTGGTACAGAGGGCAGATGAGAAGGCAGAGGGTCTACATGGTATGGCACGTGTCCAGCCATCTCCTTCCTGTATTAGTTGTGTGACTGTAGACAGGTTACTTCGTTTGTGCCCCCGTTATCTCATCTGCAGAATGGGGATGGTTGGATCCTTTTCATAGCATGTCGTGAGGATTATGCACGTGCACCCACTTATAACATCCTAAGAAGACAACATCAGAGCACAATAACTGTTATCAAACTCTTAAGTGGTAAAGCAAGGGTTCAAAGGCACATCTGCCTGCTGTATGTGCCATTACACTACACCATGTTTGTTTCTTTGTCCTTGTGCTTTTTGTCCCTGTCAATCCAGAGCAAGAACGTGCCTCACTCGGCATAGACTGTGTGTTGAATGAAGCAATGAGGCACAAGCTCACCAAATGCCCAAAGCTCAGTGCTAACCACAAAGCTCACTCTAGCGTGTTCTATGTGCCCATTCCGTGGGCTCCAGGTAGATTGGAGAATGAAACAGACCAAACTTTTTGCCCTTCTAAAGCTGACACTCTGATTGGGGCAACACAAAGTAAACATAATGAACAGGAAGACAGTGTTAAGGTAATAAGTGTTCTGGGGATAAATAAACCAAGGAAAAGGGAAAGAGACAACAAAGAAGGGGAGGACAGAAGATGCTGTGATTTAAAATAGGATGGCCAGTCAGACCTTTATGAGAAGGTGAGCACCTGGAGGAGATGAGGGGGCAAGCCATGAGGATATGCTGCAGAAGATAGATCCATGCAGAGAGAACGGCAAGTGAAAAGGTCCTGAGGCAGGATGGGGCTTGCAGTTCAAGGAGCAAGAAGTGAGACACTGATGAGGGCAGAGGAGGAAGAGACAAGGTCAGAGCTGTGTCTCAAATCTTAGTTAGATTCACCTCCTCCGTGGTTCTCCTCCTTCCCCTCCCCCTTCTTAGAATAATTTCAACAGGTTTCACTCCTCGATTTTCATATATTCATACAAAATACAGCCACCATATTCACCCTCATTCTCCCTTTCCTTGTACCTCCCTTTTCCATTGATCCCCACTGGTCTTCTTATTTTTAAGTATATATGGATGATCCAAGGGAGTTTTGCCTTGGTACTTCAGGCTGGTATACATCGTGCTTTAATAAAATTAACATCCTCACCATTACTTACTCATTATCATCATACTCCCCTAATATTCAACAAGTTACAGTACAGTGCATTATATTATGTTCATATATAGATGGATTGTTTCAGTACTTTTCATTCTGTAACATTTTCTTTACCTCTCCTGCCTCCTATAGTCCCCTCAAAACAGACTCACAAATACAATTTTGTTCTCTCTCTCAATGTGTGTGTGTGTGTGTGTACATATACATATGATCATATATGTATCTGTATATATTTAACTTACAGGCCTAGCTTCCATATATGAGGGAAAACATGTGACCTTTGACTTTTTGAGCCTGGCCTAACATGAAGTTCTCCAGTTTCATCCATTTATCTGCAAACAACATAATTTCATTCTTCTTTATGGCTGAATAAAACTCCATTGTGTATAAATACCACATTTTTTTTAATCCACTCATCAGTCATAGGACAAGATACCCATTTTTATCCAAGGAGAAGTGAGGTGCCACTGGCAGATTTTGAGCCTAGGAACATGAGCCACAGGACTGAGGCTACAGGCTGGGGTTGGGTACTGAGCAGAGAGAAGGCTGTCAGGTCCAAGACAGAGAAAGCAGTGGCCACATCCAGGTGGGAACCACTGATACTGGGGAGGGCTAGCCTTGGACCTGAGAAAGCTGCTTATTTCTGTGAAGTACCTGGAGCTGGCCAGAGTACTTGAAGAACTAAATTTTAGCCAGAAACACTAGGGAGCAATTTGTTTGCTTGTTTATTCTGTGAGACATGGTCTCCCTATGCAGTCCAGACTGGCCTCAAACTCCCAGCCCACCTGCCTCAGCCTCCCAAGTGCTCAGATTACAGGCGTAAACTATCACACCCAGCTACCACAGACAATTTTTGAGGGAAATTTTCAAAGGAAAAGGGAAGGGGATGAATGGGGTCCAGGGTCCCTAGAGATAGTAACCATGGACAGGAGGAGTCCCCAGAGCCAGGACAAACGGTGGCCCTGGAGACAAAGTCAGTTTGACATCCCCTCTTCCAGCTCACTCCCTGTGAGCAGGCATAGTGAACAGTAGCCTAACCTATCTAGATTTCAACTTCCTCCATGGGTCAAGTGGAAATCAAACCTCCACCCCACGCCCAGTTATTAGGAGAGCACACAGGAAGTATTTAACTCCTGACTGATGTGTGAACAAGGGTGACATCAAATTATTGTTGTTGTTATTGTTTTGTTGTCACAACGGACACAAATTGGACACAAATCATTTGCCGGCTCCCCCGAAGGCCTACCCAGCTCCCTCTTAGGACTATCTGCCAGCCCCGCCCCTGGGCCAGCTCAGCCAGGCAGCCAGGTGAGTGCTCAGGTATGCGGAGGCCTGACACACTGGGAGGGGGCAGAGGAGGGGCTGAGTCTGGAAGGGAGAGAGAAGCAGAGGGCTGAGAGCAAAGCAGAATCTGAAGGAAGGTGAGGAGCTCAGAGTCCTGTGGGGACACACTGGGGTCTGGAGCCTTGGTTCTGAGGGAGGAAGGCTGAGGCCTGGACCCCTGGATCTGAGGAAAGAAGGCTGGGCCTGGACCTCTGGGTCTGAGGGAGGAGGGCTGGGTCTGAGGGAGGAGGGCTGGGATCTGGACCCCTGGGTCTGAGGGAGGAGGGCTGGGGCCTGGACTCCTGAGATGGAGGGAGCAAGAGATGGGTCTGGAACCCTGGTTCTGAGAGAGCTGAGCCTGGATCCTAGTCTGAGGGAGGAGGGGCTGGGTAGGGACTAGGTCCCTGAAGCCAGGTCAGGCGCTCACATCTTCACTGGCTGCAGGGCACTTCCAGGTGGACAGGAGCACTCCATCTCAGCACCATGAGCACCACCACAGGGTAAGTGCTGCTTCCTCTTGCCCCCAGCAATCCCTCCCTCCCCCCCCCCCGCACCTCCCCCACACCTGCAGATCCTGTTTCTGCAGCCCAGACTGTGGACTCTAAGGAGGAAGGAGCTGCCCAGCTTGTGTGGTTAGGAGTAGACAGAGCAGAGTTCAGATCTCAGAGCTCACACTTAGCAGGGGTGTGACCCTGGCAGGGGGCTGTCACCTCATGGAGCCCCCATCTCCTCCTGTATGAAACAGGGACAATTTTGAGATTTGACAGGATAAGACATGTATAGGACTGAGTAGAATGTCACTACAACAGGTGCTCAGAGGTTCCTGTGGATACCGCTTTGGTTATTGTCCTTATCTTAAATATTGACCCTTCACTGCAAAATCAGGGCTATTGTAATGAGACTCAAGTCTCCCAGAGGAAGCAGGGAGGACAAAGAGAGATGCGTTGAAACAGCTGCATGGGACAGAGGGAGCTCTCCACCCCATGAGGTCAACAAATTGTGAGGATACTTGACAAGCAGGAGCAGGGCAAAGGTCAGAACTTTAGCTAAAAGGACATCTTAGTCCATCTCACCCCGACATCCCAGCTCTGAGCTTCTGATTTCCAGAGAAATGAAGATTTAAGAATTCTTGTAATGGCCAGGCACTAAGTGACTCACACCTATAATCCTAGTTACTTGGGATACTGAGGTCAGGAGGATAGTGGTTCAAGGCCAACCCCGGCAAAGAGTTTGTAAGACTCCATATCCAAAATAATCAGAGTAAAATGGACTGGAGGTGGGCTCAAGTGGTAGAGTGCCTGCATTGCAAGCATGAAGCCCTGAGTTCAAACCCCAGACCTACCAAAAAAAAAAAAAAAAAGAATTTTTGCAAATGGTGACCTTAAAGGAATTGGGGGACAGGAGATAGAGAAGGATTTGGGGTGGGAGGGGAGGAAGATAATTTCCTGCTAAAGCCATTATATTAATTCCCATGTATTGAGCAACCGCTGTGTGCCAAGCCCTTTGCATCATCATAACAAGGGCTGCAAAATCCTCCACCTGTACCATTGGGTTGAATTTGTGCAACAGCCCCACCAGACCAATGCTATCTTACAGAAAGAGAAACTGAGGCCAGAGGGATTAAGTTTCCTGCCCAGGGTCATCTGACAAGAAAACACAGAGGATTAGAGCCCAGGACTGCATGACAGTGGAGGCCACACTCCCTGTCATATTAAACATCAGCTTTGGCCCTGCCCTTCCTGGCTTGCCTTGAAATCCTACATGGCTCCCCATTACCTTCTAAGGAAATCTGTGCTGCTCAGCCTGGCATTGTGCAGAATCTGCCCCTCAAACCCACAGTATTCTCACCTCTCCTTTCCTTCACCAGCCCAGAAGCTGCTCCCAAGCCAAGTGCCAAGTCTATCTATGGTGAGCTGGGGGTCAAAGGGCACTGAGAACCTGAAATGAGAGTGTTGGGAAAAGAGGGGCTGGGGTTTGGACCCCTGGGTGTGAGGGAGGAAGCTGGGTTCTGGACCTCTGTGTGTGAGGAGGAGGCTGGGATCTGGACCCCTGGGTCTGAGGGAGGAGGCTGGGCCTGGACCCCTGGGTCTGAGGGAGGAGGCTGGGCTGGACCCCTGGGTCTGAGGGAGGAGGCTGGGCCTGGACCCCTGGGTCTGAGGGAGGAGGCTGGGCCTGGACCCCTGGGTCTGAGGGAGGAGGCTGGGCCTGGTCCCCTGGGTCTGAGGGAGGAGGCTGGGCCTGGCTCTCAGTCCATTCTGCCCCCTGCAGAGCAAAGGAAGCGTTACTCCACTGTGGTTATGGCCGATGTGTCCCAGTACCACGTCAATGTAAGTCTGAGGTCTGTGTTTTTGCAGGGATCTCTTGAGGGAGAGCTCTGTCTGTAGAGTAGAACTGTTGAAAACAGCAGGGCCAAGCCTGTGTGGCTGTTCACACCTGTAATCCCAGCACTCAGGAGCCTGAGGCAGAAAGATCATGAGTTCAAGGCCAACCTGGGTTACATAGTGAGACCCTGTCTCAAAAAAAAAAAAAACCACAAAAATCCACTGACTTTTCCTCTGGACCAGCTCCTGCGATGAATGCAGGGACAAATCAGCTGCAATCCTGGAACAGTCGGGGGGCAGACATGCCCAGAGGTCCTGGAAAGGGTGGCAGGTCTAAAGGAGACCAAAGGAGGCACAGAACGGGACTAAATATAATCCAGACGGGTGTTCTCCCTTGAGAAGCCTGCAGTCTTGGTGAGAAGACAGCCCCCAATGCCAGCCTCTCTGATGACAGAGGATGCTGGAGCAGGGGCTAAATTGGGAGCAGGTAGTCAAGGAAGGCTTCTTGAAGGAGGTGCGATTAGTCTGAGGCTGGAAATCTGACATCAAGGGTCTGCCACCATCTCCGTCTCACTGCTTTTTTCCCACTGATGCCAGCACCTAGTGACATTCTGCCTGGGCGAGGAGGATGGTGTGCACACTGTGGAGGATGCCTCCAGGAAGCTGGCCGTCATGGACAGCCAGGGCCGCGTCTGGGCACAGGAGATGCTACTGCGAGTGTCCCCTGACCATGTCAAGCTGCTCGACCCTGTCTCCAAGGTGCCAAAGGGGCACATGAGCGGGAAGGGTGATTGGGCTGAGGTCTGAGTGTGAATTTTCGGCTCCCACACGTCCTTCCCCTGGGAACTTTGGCATGGGCTCCTAGCCCTCTTTTTGAGCCTGCTAGCCTCACCTATTAAAGGGGGTGTCACCTCCTAACCCCCTCTCCTCATGAGGTTGCCCTGCCCAAATTCCCCATCTCCTGGGCACTGCTGAGTCATTTGGTAGTATTACCGACCTCAGGCCTCCGTTTACCCTGCTGTCCCACCCGCAGGAGGAGCTGGAGATGTACCCGCTGGGTGCCATAGTGCGCTGCGACGCGGTGGTACCACCAGGTCGCAGCCGCTCACTGCTGCTCCTGGTGTGTCAGGAGCCTGAGCGCTCGCAGCCGGACGTGCATTTCTTCCAGGGGCGGAGCCTCGGAGTGAGTGGGCGGGGGCTCCCGGCGACAGTGGGCAGGGCTTCTTGCTGGGGGCGGGGCCTTGGGGCAAAGGGGGTAGGGGCGATGGAAGGGGGTGGCCTAGGAAAGGTTCTGGAAAGGAGTGGAGTTGGGCGGGGCTTCTGTACTCAGGGCGGGGCCTGGGGCAAACGCGGGGGTCTGCGGCAAGGGAAGGGGCGTGGCTTAGGAAAGAGTTTCTGGAAAGGGATTTGCGTACAGGTTGGACTCTGCACCAAAACAGAATGTGAGTGTGGGATGAAGACGACACGAACAGAATAAGGGAGGAAGGGTCTGGGGAGCCGGGGTGATGTCGTCTAGGCGAGGAACCACCCATACTGAATCTGCATGAACAGATTTAGGATGAGGGCGCGTGTCCAGGCATGCACATGCATGGGTCCTGGGCCAGTGAAGCTGAGCCAGTGAATTGATCAGGGGCGTAACCTGGGAGGGCAGTGGGAGGGGCCGGGATGTGTGGCCTAACAGTGTGATTGGCAGGCGGAGCTGATCCGAGAGGACATCCAGGGGGCTCTGCACAATTACCGGTCGGGCCGCGGGGAGCGCAGGGCGGCGGCGCTCAGGTGAGGAGCCTGGGCTAGAATCAGAATGGGAGAGGCAAAGGGAGGCAGGGGTCTCTGGGAAGCGGATTACCCCTCTCTGGACTTCAGTCTCCTCATTTGAGAAAGAGGTTTATACTAATAGTCTAAACAGAACGAGTTTTGAATGGAGGAGGGGATCAAGCAAGCCCTAGTCAGGTCTTACCTGTACCACCCAGACATGTTGACTCCTCCCCAGGACTTACTTTCTCCTGTCCTGGTCCTCGGTTTCTCCTCCCCTGTCCGTTACCCTTCCCAAATCGGTTTTCTCCCTACGATTGACATCTTCGAACCTCAAGTGTCTCTCGTACTGACCCACGAAATTCTCCCTCCATGGCCCCCCTTGGTTGATCCAGCCTTAGTTTCCCCTTCTCCCTCCGCAGGGCCACTCAGGAGGAGCTGCAGCGCGGCCCCTCGCCCGCAGCCGAGACCCCACCTCTGCAGCGCCGTCCGTCGGTCCGCGCAGTGATCAGCACCGTGGAGCCGGCCGGGGCCCGAGGGCGACCCCAGGTGGAATCCATCCTCGAGGCGGAGGAGGCAGGGAGACCTGGCCCTGCGCGCACCGCCAGCATACCCGTCCCGGCCTCCCCGGACCTGGGCCCGCGAGGTCCTGAGCTGTCCAGTCTGCAGGCTGAGCGGGAAGTGGTGAGAGCGGCGAGGCCAGCCTCGGGGGCGGGGCTAGACGTAGGTGGGACGGGTTTGGCAGAGTCCCACGTCAATCAAATCGGATCTGGGGGTGGAGCTGGGGAATGTCGAGGCCTGGTTAGCAGTCGAGGTGTTGGGCTCGGGGGTGGGGCTCTGCTTTAAGGGCGTGGTCAGAGTCCTAGGGGGTGGAGCCTGTCAGGGGACCTGGTCCGACCTAGGGGCGTGTCTAGGCGCTTAAGTGCAGGGCCTGGACAGATAAAAGAGTCTGGGACTCAGAGTCGCTGCGTGTGACTCAGGATCTCCACGTATGCCCTCCTCTTCAGGACATCCTGAACCACGTGTTCGACGACGTGGAGAGCTTCGTATCCAGGCTGCAGAAGTCGGCAGAGGCAGCTCGCGTGTTGGAGCACCGGGAACGCGGCCGGAGGACGCGGCGCCGGGCAGCTGGGGGTAATGGACTCCCCGTGGGATCCCAAGCATTCTCTTTCTAATCACCCCCAAATGTCCTCCTTTTCCGGGGCCTCCCTCCCGCCGCCTGCAAGGTCTGATCTCATGGCCCTCTCTCTGGGTGTCTACCCTTCTCCGGCTCTATCTGACGCTGTCCCGGTGCCCCCCCAACACCCCCCCCACTACCGCATCTTTTCCCCACTCACAGAGGGCCTGTTGACGCTGCGGGCTAAGCCGCCCTCGGAGGCCGAGTACACCGACGTGCTTCAGAAAATCAAGTATGCCTTCAGCCTGTTGGTGAGAACGCGTCCACCCCTGGGCTTAGGGGGACTACAGGACAGTGACCCTGACCTGTCCACACACTAACAACCTCTCTCTACCAAAGGCCCGGTTGCGCGGCAACATCGCTAACCCCTCCTCCCCAGAGCTGCTGCACTTTCTGTTCGGACCTCTGCAGATGGTGAGACCCGCCTACCAGAGCTCAGGTCCTCCTGCTGCAGAGGAATGGTGGGGTTCAACTTCTAGAGGGTCTGGTGGCAGGCTCACGCCTGGTCTCCTGGCAGATTGTGAACACATCAGGCGGTCCTGAGTTCGCGAGCAGCGTGCGACGGCCGCACCTGACGGCCGAGGCCGTGATGCTGCTGCGAGACAATGTCACCCCTCGTGAAAACGCGCTCTGGACCTCGCTTGGGGACTCGTGGACCCTCCCAGGGTAAGGGGCGGGGCTGAAGGACAGAGGATATGGGAGGTGGAAAGTGGCGGGATTAGGCCTGGAAAATTAGATGCGGGATTTATCTAGGGTGTGGCTAAAGAAACTAAGGAGGGATCGGGACCTAGGATGCAAATGCCAGGATTCGATTGGAAGAAAAGATAGAAATTAGCGTGGAGACCACGCTAACCAGACAATCAGATTGGAAGAAAAGGCGGGACTTAGAGAAATACACCTGAACTACAGGAAAGAGGGCGGGGCTTAGGTGAACGGGGCGGGGTTCCATGGAAGACACAGGGTTTATAGAAGGCGTGGCCTATAAATTAGTTTGGAGTCTGACCTTGGAGGTTTAGGGGTAGGGGTGGAGCCAGAGAGCCGGCAAGGTAAAAGCGCAGGGTGTAAGTAGCAAGAAAATAATTAGAAACCCGGTGTGGCATCAGAGGTGAGATTTACAGGCTGGGCGGTGCACTAGAATGGGATGGATGTATTTAGGAACATAATTGATGTCGTAAGTGGAGCTTAAAGGTAGGGAAGGGGCAGGGCTGGGCGAAGAGGGGCGGAGTTAGGGGAAGAGGGAAAAACATTGTGAAACCAACCAGCCAACCACAGTTCTAAAGCCCAGCTGAACCATTGGTCTGGTCCCTGGCTGCAGGCTGGAGCTGCCCCTGGAGGAAGGAGCCCCATACAGCCCCGAGTTCTACAGCGGCTGGGAGCCCCCGGCCACTGACCCTCAGGGCCGCGCCTGGGAGGACCCAGTGGAGAAACAGCTACAACACGAGCGGCGGCGCCAGCAGGTGAGGCTGAGGCTACCAGGGAGCACTAGGCTCCTCCAGGCGACACAACAGGGCCAGGATCAGGAAGCCCAGGGCGCGGCCTGCCTGACTCCAAGCTCTTACTTCCCGCAGCAAAGCGCCCCCCAAGTCGCTATCAATGGGTAAGTGTTTGTCCCACAGTGGGCAGGGGCGTCCGGGAGGGGAGCGTCCCGGGGGCTCCCGGCGCTGACTCCGCACCCCTCTTTTCTTTCTTTTTCCTTCCATCTTCCCGGCTCTTCGCAGGTGGGTGAGGTGGTGAAGAGGCGGGGTCGGGGCTGGGATGGGTGGGGGAGGAGTAGGGAGGGAAGAAGTGAGCCCAAACTTTTGGGTCCAGGGGAGAAGGGAATGGAGGCCCAGATTCTTAGGGCTAAGGCAGGAAGGGGTTGGGAGTGGGTAAGTTTGAGAGCTTGGACCTTGGGCCCTCAAAAGGCTGGAAGAACGCAGTTTTGGTGTTCTGGGCCTGGGCAGCTCCATGCAGAGGACAGAGCCCTAGGTGTTAGGGAAAAGAGACTGGGTATTAGGACGTTTTAAAGAACTCAGATCTGGTGCTTCAGACCCTGGAGACTCAGACTGAAACTTCAAGGGTTTAGGGCAAGTTTCTGGGAAAGTTAAGAAGTAGTGATGTCTCAGGGCCCCTAACAGTGGTAAAGGCTGGAGGTCGAACTTTTGGTTTCTGGAAGGCTTAAAAAAAATTATATATATATGAAATCCCTGCTGGGTAAGGGCTGGGAGGCTGTCCCTGATAAAAGAGTGAGAAAATAGAAGTTTGAGAACTAGATTCCTGCCTAGATCCCTGGAAAGGAATGCAAATCTATGGTTCGACCAAGCTGTGGGACTCAGGGTCTTGGGGTGGGGGGCGGGCGGGAAGCAGAGGCAGGTAGAGTCTCTAGGGTCCTTGGACAAGTAGGGGGCAGCGTGGAGGCAATGTGAGATGAGAAAAAAATAAACCAGTGAGGCTGGAGGTGACTGGGGGTCTGGGTGAGGGCCCAAGCAGAGGGTCTCAGCACCAACAGCTTGCCAGGACCTGCTGGCCTCACACAGGGGGCGCTGCGGCCCTGAAGACCCCCCCTCTCTCCTGTTCAGGTAGGCCTGATCTGAGCTGAGGTCCCTCTTACTCGGGGGTTCAGAGCCAACTCTCTCCCAGGCTGCCAGGTGTTGTGGCAACCCCTCTCTGCCCCTCTGTGCTTAAGAATCTTGAGCTTCACACCTGTAGCTTTTCACTCATGTTCTTTGCCAGGGAAACAGGAATAATCATAATCCCTCTCGGGAAGGGTGACAAGTTTATGATATCATAATGGGTAGCTAGCAAAGAGCTCAGGGCTGTGGCCCAGCATTGGTTCAAATGCAGCAGTGTGCACAGCAAGGCAGAGTTATTCTGATGTGGACTGCCTGGAGCCAGTCCAGCCATGCCTCTCTCTTTCTCCTGACTTTTGTATCACTGTGCCCCAGCCTCCCCCCTATGCAAATGGAGACTATAATGAGGACTGGGGCAGAGGGTCACGTTTATGGTTCAGGAGGATCAAATCAGCTAATATATACAACAGATCTTTTACAAGGCTCACCATGTAGTTCTATATAAGTTTAACTATTATTTTCACTATGCTCATGAGTAACCCAGCAGATGCTCAGTAAATAGCATCTAGCTATATGTTCCTAGATGAGGTATAAAACGGAAGTGATGATAGTATATCCCATCATATGCTTACAGCACAGTGCCAGGTAAGGAAGGAAGAAGCAATCTCAAATCTCTATTAACACGTTAACCTTGACTCCCGCTATGGCCCCTGCTTGACTCTAACCCCTGCTCACACTGGCACCTTATAGCCCAGACTAGCGAGGCTGTCTGACTCCTTATCTCCATCCCTCCCAATTCTCCTCAGTCACCAAGATCCGGAGCTGGAAGCTGAGCCCCAGCTGCAGCCAGAACCAGCAGGAAAGTGGGTCCTATGTAATTATGACTTCCAGGCCCGCAATAGCAGTGAGCTTTCCGTCAACCATCGGGACGTGTTGCAGGTCAGAGGTGTGGGGGTCTGAGAGGTTGCAATCAACCAGTCCAGCCCTAGCAGCAGACCCTGAACCTGAATTTTCTCCTCATACCCCACTCAGGTCCTGGATGACAAGCGCAAGTGGTGGAAGGTTCGGGACCAACAGGGCCAGGAGGGATATGTACCCTATAATATCCTGACACCCCACCCTGGACCCCGGATGGACCGCAACCAAAGCAATGCTCGAAGCCTGGTGAGCCATGGCAGATTCATGTCTTCAGGGAGGAAAGGCTGCGAGCCAGATCTGAATCCTGGAAATGAGGGATATGAAGATCAGGTGTCAGAATATTGATGGAGGAGTGGACTGGAGGTTCAGAAGTTTAGGGGGGAGGAGGGGGAAGCAAGGCGGGGGGAGGACTAGGAGTCCTCTCCCTGACCCAGGTACTGTCCCTATCCCCTTTTAGGAGAACAGCTCTCTGCCTCCCCCACCAGCCCCTGCTCCGCCCCCTGCTCAGGTTCGGCCCCACTGGACCAGCTGCGACAGTCTCAACAACTTGGACCCCAGCGAGAAGGGTGAGTGGTGGGGCACCCCTTCCGGGCAGTGGTCTTTGACCTTCTTTGACCTTGCTTTCCAGACAGGGAAGCCGAGGCACCCCACCTTCTGCCTCAGCACCCCTCGCCCTGAGTGCATACTCCCTCCCTCCCTCCCGGTTTCCCGGCCACAGAGAAATTCTCCCAGATGCTCAGTGTCAACGAGGAACTACAGGCGCGCCTGGCCCAAGGCCGCTCGGGGCCTAGCCGCGCAACCCCGGGACCCCGCACCTCAGAGCCGCTGCTCAGCCCGCGCTCCGACGCCTCGGAGGTCCGCACCTGGCTGCAGGCCAAGGGCTTTAGCTCGGGGTGAGTGGGACCAGGAAGCAGTTCCGAGAGAGATACGGGATCTGTGAGAAGATGGGGACTGTGGAGACCATGGAGAGAAGGGGTCAGTTGGTCCAAAGCGGAGTCTGGTTGCAACACCCAATGACTGGCTGCAATTGGAGTCCCCGGGGAAGTTCCGCCCCTTTCTAAAGCCGACTTTGGCAGCGCCCTACTCCAGCGCGAGAGCTAGGATGCTGTTTATTGGACAAACGGCTAGGCGGGTGTGATCTGATGGGTAGGGTTGAGGGGGCTTGAACGCTGATTGGCCGGCAGGCCTGACCACGCCCCCGCTGCCCTTGTTCAGGACGGTGGACGCGCTGGGCGTGCTGACCGGCGCGCAGCTTTTCTCCCTGCAAAAGGAAGAGTTGCGTGCAGTGAGCCCTGAGGAAGGGGCGCGAGTGTACAGCCAAATCACCGTGCATCGTGCGCTGCTGGAGGTGAGCGGGGGCCGCTCATCCCCGGGCCGGAACGGGGTTCGCCGAGGGCTGGGACGCACAGGTCCTGATTTCCACCTGTCCTCCAGGACAAAAAGAAAGTGTCAGAGCTGGAGGCGGTGATGGAGAAGCAAAAGAAGAAAGTGGAAGGCGAGACCAAAACGGAGATCATCTGACCCTTCCCGGCCCCTTCACACGAAGTGATGAGCTAGCGGGTTCCCCGCGCCCCGAGGGACAACAGACGCCGGACTGCCCCCGCCAGTGGAAGTGGATTCCCGCAGGGCCGCCGGCCTGTTCCCGCCCTAATGCGCAGACTCTGCAGCCCTCGGGAGCCGTGCGGACCCGCGGGGTAGAGAGACAATTTGTGATTATGGAAAGCACCTAGGGGGCCTGGAGAGGCTCGCCCGAGCGCTGCGCATTGTGATATGCTGCCCAGTCTATAAACAGCCCCCTCTTAGCAGGCCGTGTCACCTGCTGTCCTCTCTAACCGGCCAGCTATCAGGAACCTGCCGCACGCCATGGCCACAGCCTCAGGGGAAGGGAGAGGCCCCAGCTTCTCAGGTTTTCTCTCTGAACCCTCCTCCAACCCGGAAACCCCAACCCAGGCTTCCTCCCGACCTCCTCGCCGCCATTCTGTCCTCCAGCTCAGCCTGCTCTTCTGTGCATCCCTTCCTGGCTTCTCAATGCTCCCTTAGCCACCCATAGCCTTGCTTTGGGTCCTGGAATGTTTGCCTCCCAGCCTCTCTTGCCCCATCGCTCACCACCTTATTCCCCCCGCATTACGGTCCTGCTCTTCTCCACTCTGAACCCTTCATTTAGCCGAGGGACTACGCACCTGCTGCTTCTGCTGGTGGGAACAGCTTTTCTCTGCCTGATGAATTCCTATTCAGTCTTCCTGGCCCAGCTCAAATACCCACTCTGGGGAGCCCTGTCCTCATCTTCCAGTCTACTATCCCAGCACCCACTTCTGTCTTATCCCAACCTTCTACCAGAGGTCTAGCCATGGACAACTGGCTGCCTCCTAAGCATGCCGCGGGCTGCTAGCCCTATGAAATACTACCTGTAAACTTCCTGCCCCCTCAAGAACTACTAGCTCCTTTTCCCTCTGGCAAGCCCAACGACTTGTCATATCCGGGTGGCTGGTGAGGGCTGGTTATCTCTGGATCCCACCCTTTTTCGGTCCTCCAACTTAAGGAAGAATGGCCCTTGCTCTCCCTGTCGTGGCCCCTCCTGGGTGCATCCTGGTAGCACCCACCGCCCAGGCCCCACCAGCATCAAGAGTCTCCAGCACCTCTTGGCGCTGTTTTTTACCTGTGCCACCAGATGGCACTCTCCCAAGATCAGACAGAATCAGAAACAGCCTGGGACAGACAGGAGCCTCATTCAGTCCCCACATTGATGCATTTCCCTTTCCCTCTGACACCCGGGCCACAGATCTCCAGGACTCCTTCTCACATCAGTGCCCATGTCTCTTGACTTCCTGTGACCCATGAGACGAAATCTAAGCTCCAGCACAGCAGTTGATGGCCTGTGACTGCCAGGCTCCAGCCATCTGCTTCCTGGAGTACCCTGGCTTTGTGGTATTCAATCATTGCCTGGGGTGCCACCCCTCACATCCTCGTTTAGTTTTGGGGGTCTCGCCGTGTAGCCTAGGTTGGCCTCCACTTGGCAATCCCCCTGCCTTGGCCTTCCCAGTGCTGGGATTTGAAGGCATGTCCCATCATGCCCAGCTGCTACCCCTCATTTCCAGTAGAAAAAGCAGAAATGCAAGCGGTTCCAATGCTCTGCCTCCCCAACAAGCCTCTCTGGCTGCCATAGTCCAGGCACAGATGAGTGACCTAATGAACACACAAGCCATGGAAACATCCCAGTGTTCCTGGGTCTGACCTCTTCTCACCTCTCCATTGTGGCTCACAAGTCTGAGCCACAATCTCTTACTGGGATCTCACCCTTAGCTGGTCAGTCTATCCATCACCTGCTACTCCCAGTCTATTCTCAGTGCAGCAGCCAGAGGATACTGTTAAAACCCAAGTCAGATGAAGGCCTGGTAATCAAGCCTCAGAGCTCCAGTTCCTACACAGCAGCTGTCACTTATTTAACTTCATCCCCTGTTACTTCCTTCCAGCCAGTATGGCTTCCTACTGCACCTCAATGTCAGGCCCACTTCTGCCCCACAGCCTTTGCATATGCAGTTCTCACCATCCAAAGGACTTCCCTCACTCCCTGTCATTCAAATATCTGCCTGTACCAGCTTTTCCTTGAGGCCTACCTGTCTCAGACCATCCTGCACAAAATACACACATGTGCATGCACACATGTATACACACACACACACACACACACACACACACACACACACCTCCCTATCCCCTTTCTCTGCTGCTTCTCCCATAGCACTACCACCTGAAATGTGTCACTGGCTGCATCCCCTCCTAGAGTGCACTAGATCTGGGTCCATCTTGATCCCTACAAAACAGCAGTAGGTGGACCAGGACCTGGCTGTGGAGTACGTCCACAACTACTGAATGGGTGAGCGATGACTGCTCCTCCTGCTCTACTCCAGCCACTGCTGCCATGCAGAACTGAAGCCCTCCTATTGCCACAGCTTCCTGTTTCCAAAAGCCAAGCTCCAGATCTTTCATGCAAATTATCCCAAATGTTAAATGTCAGCAATTGACTCCCCTGCCCCATATTCACAGCCCCCATGGTCCAATAGTCCTGTCCAGCTGACCCTCCTACCTCCCCTGTGATCGCTTCAGCCTGGCTGTGGGCCTTTGCTCCAACTGGTTGCTTGTTCCAAAGCCCCTGCCCCCTACCTGTAAGCAAACTCCTTCACCCCTCCCAGACGGCCCAGTAGTTTGGTCACGGACACACACAAGCTGAGAATCAAAGAAACAGCACCCCACCCCTGGCTGGGGATGATGTCACTGAGTGGCAATGTCATGACTTTTATTTGTGGCGCCTGTGCTTTACCTCGAAAATACCTTCCCCCCTCCTCAGACAATGGGTGGGGAGGGGGCAGCAAAAAATAGAAGACATTCCTCCCTATTGCACATGGACCCTATATACAGGCCCACCTGGCAGAGGCCGGCGGGACTCTTGGCACATCCTGGAGCTCTGCTCAGGAGGGGAACGGTGCTGGGGTGGTATCACATGTGAGGTGGGACCCCCCAGGGCAGTACTCTGGTCCTGGCTATTGATCCTTGCACTTCTTGGTCCTTGCTTCCTTCCTGGTCCCATCTCCATCCCTGGTCCCCTTGGCAACATCCCCCTACCTGGCTCTGCCTCCCACCTCCTTCCTGGCCTCAGAGGCCCCATTGGATCCAGGGGACTCTGCTTCCTTCCAGATCCTGAGGTCCCAAGAGGTGGTTATGGCTTCTCAGCGACTTCCCCCAGAACCCTGTCACTCGTTCACATGGGGGAAGGGGTGCGTGTGTCAGAAGCAGCTGTATAAATACGGGTGCGGGGACTCCTGCAGAGTCACTTGGATAGTTTGCTGATGACACGGATCAGCGCTGCATTCTCATCCTTGAGCCGCTGGTTGTCAGCCCGGAGGTCAGACAGGGCCTGGTGCACAGGACAGGGTCAGCTAGGCCATCTGGGGCAGGCTAGGCCCCACTCACAGCCCCCCACCTGAGCACCTACCTTCAACTCCTCCTCCAGCTCTGCTGCCTTGCGCTCCAGGGCCCTGCGCTCCTGGAATGCACAGGACAAGTTCAGAAGCCAAATGTAGCTCGAACTCAGGGTAGGTAAAGTCAGGGGGCATAGTGGCCCTAAAGTCCAGACCCACACAGGGATAATCTGGGGACACAGTGGCCCCCACCCAGCAGCCCCAACTCACAAATCTCTCTAGCTCCAGGAGGGCAGGCCTTTCAGCGAAGCGTTCCTGCCGCTGGAGAGTTCAGAAAAGGAACAAGGTCAGGACAGACAAGCCAGCATTGCTGTGAGGGGCAGCCCAGACTCCTGGGACAGACCTGCCTCACCCACCAGTCAGACCAGAAGCCCAGCTCCACAACCCATACCCACCCTAAAAATCTGAGACCAGCTGGAACACTCCATAGCTCAGGCCCAGCTACCCAGAGTCCCTAGTCATGTCCCTTACCACTGGGCCTGGCCTCCTGGAGGTCCGAAGCATGGCCAGCTCCTGGAGCTGCAGGCCTCAGCATCCCTACCTGTGTGGCCCGCTCAAGCTCCACCTTGAGTTGCGCCAGCTTCAGCGTGGTTTCCGTCAGAGCCTCACGAAGCCGCTCATTCTCTTTGCGCAGCTCTGCATACAGCTGGTGGTATGAAGGTAGGCAGGGTAAAGGACGGCCGGGAAAAGGGCAGGACATGGGCCTCCCGCAGGTGGAGCCATGGAGCAGCCCAACAGTTAAATGAGGCTGGCAGGGGGGATGTGGGGTGGGACCTTGCACCTTCCTGAAGCCCCCATCGGGCTGTTCGGGTTCTGGCTCAGGTTCTAGGCAGAGGTCCCGCTGTGATCGCTGCCTGCGGGCCAAGGGACCACCATCAGAAGTGCTGTACAGAAGGCATAACAGATCAGGTACTGTCAGGTACTCAGTCAGTCCCAACTGACAGACCCAGGCCTCCCCAACCCCAGCCTACCTGCATTCAGGGCTGCAGTCTGCTGGCTCCGCCTCCTCACCCTATGGAAGGTGAGAGGGGTCAGCCCAGTCCCCATACCCACCACCCCGCCAGCTCTGCCCACCTGAGTGCCCTCACCTCTGCAGGCCCCCTACGCTCCTTGCCAATCTTGCGGTGCTCTCTGGACACCTGTGGTCCCTGGCCCTGCCCATCGGGCGCCTCTGCTGGGGAACAGGCAGGAATCAGCCCAGACACCTCTAGAGAGGACCCATCTATGATGTGGGGGCCTCCCCATCTGGTGTGGGGGTCCTATCCAGGCCCCCAGGAAACAGGAAGGGTGGATCTGGGAAAACAACTTCCCAGAAGGTGGACCTCACCTCTCTGGGCAGGGCCCTCAGAGTTCTCCACTCCAGGGACACGAGGCCTCCTAGAAGGGTCCTGCAGGAAGGAGGAGCGTGGTCAGGACCAGGGGCTGGTACCACACACTGCCCTTCACCTGATCCCACTCACCAGGCTCACCAGGGACAACTTCTCTTGCTCTGGGGCCTTTCCTGCAGCCTTCTCTGCTTCCTTCAGGTCTGTCAGAGTCACACCCTGGCAGGGAGAAAGGATATTCAGGGGACAGGGACTGGCCTCTGTGGAGACCCAGGACACCAGACCCCAACCCGCCTCCCCCAGAGGTCCAGGCCCCAGCTCTCCTCCCTCAGACCCAGGGGTCCAGGCCCCAGCTCTCCTCCCTCACACCCAGGGGTCCAGGCCCCAGCCCTCCTCCCTCAGACCCGAAGCCCAGCCCAGCCCACCCCACCCCCCACACCTGTGTGGACCTCCGAGACTGGCGCATGAGGCGGGAGCGAGCTTTCCGCTGGGATTCAGACTCCTCATCCCGCACGGGCATCTGGTAGGACCTGAGTGAAGGACCCAAAGTCAGGGAGTGTTCCTTGGACTCTGCCCCCTCCAAGGATTCACCCTCCAGGATGGTCTCATTATGGAAGACAGGATGTCACCCCTCAGCAGACCTGGACAAACTCCTGCAGGAGCTCACCAAAAGCCCCGGGGACCCCCAAGCAATGTAGCTTATCTCCCTGCTGGGGGCCAATACTGCTGTCCTGCCACTTTACCTCCGACGGTCTCGGGAGTCTGCTAGGGATGCAGCAGAGGCTGTGGGGACATTTAGCTTCACTGGGGATCCAGGCTCCTTCCTGAACGGAGGAGTGGAGCTCTCCAGGGGAGGAGGCTTGGCCATCTCAGACCTGTGTGGATTCAGTCATTCATTCAATAAATACTACTCTGGCTGGAGTTATGTACCCGGCACTGACTTGCTGCCGAAAGCAAAAGAAACATATAGTCTATTTCTGCTGCGACAGTCAACTCTGAGCACAAGAGACACATAAACAGCTGCCATAAAATGGTCAAGTAGTGCAGGGGGAAGATAAAGCACTTTGGAAGAAAAAAGCAGAACAAGGCTGGGGAACAGGAGGGTGTGCACATCCATCAATGGGAGACAGCCAGTCACGGTAGGTCTCAGAGATCTTAACAGACCCGAGGGAACAGGAAGGGATAGAGCTGGCCCCCAGGTGTGAAAGGGACAGAGCAAAGGCCCTGGGGCAGGAGAGCAAGGTGGGAAGAGGGGGTAAAGGGAGGCCATCTCTCTGTGGCCTCTGAAGTTTTATTGTGGGCACTTATTTGATGCACCAAAAGGGCAAGTTTGACACTGTGGCAGGGGGGAAGCAGATGGGTTTGCTCAGGATCATGCTGCTAGCTGAGCCCAGACCTGCCACCACCCTGCGGGACCCTGGTACTCACAGGGCAGAGGGCTCTGGCACCCTCCGGGAGAGGGTAGGGGTAATTCTGGCAAGACGGGGTTCCTTGGCCTGCAGGGAGAGAAGAGTAGGAAAGGATATTCTCCACCTCAAGGCAGGGACTAGGCCCTGCCAACTCACCCCACCCACCTGACTGGAGGTCCCTTCCAGCCGAGAGGAGGAAGCTGAACGCTGCAGCCCAGCTTCAGAAGCTCCTTCAGCCCCCCGCCTTTCTGGGGGACCGAGGGAACCAGAGCTGCCTGTCTTCTGGAGGCCAAACCGCCTGGAGAGGGAGGCCTCTTCTGGCAGCTGCAGAAAACGGAGGCTGCAGTCATGGAAAAGGTACCTCTCCTCAGAGAGGTCAAGTGCTAACCCAGAAGTTCCACACCAAGTCCAACCTTACCAGCCCCAAGGAAATACCCCAAGGAAAGGCGCTCATTTGTCTGGGAAGACCTGGGACCCGAGCCCTCACCGTGCCTTTTTAACAGACAGTGAAGACCTTCCAGTACCCCTCTCCCCCACCTCCAAGTTTCACATAGTCTCTCAGTGCAGTTGGACTCACCACTGAGCTCTTAGGGCCAGGGGACGGCAGGGAAGAAACTCCATTGAGGGCTCTCAGTTCTGTATGGAGTTGTTCTGTGGTGCAGGAACATGGATGTAGGTCAGTATGCCAGCTGCCTCTGAGACTCAGAGACCCCAGTACTCTTCCTTCAGACCCAGGAGTCCAGGTCCCGCCCTCCTCCCTCAGACCTAGGAGTACAGGACCCAGACTTTTTTCACCGACCCAGGGGTCCAGACCCCAGCTCTCCTCCCTCAGACCCAGGAATTCAAGACCCAGTCCTTCTCCCTTAGACTCAGAGGTCCAGACTGCAGACTTCCTCCCTCAGACCCAGGGGTCTGGTCTCTAGCCCCCACCTGTGGGGCCTTCTTCTCCCTCATCCTCATCCCGAATGGAGAGCTCCCCTGCCCCACCAGGCCGGCGCTCCTTAGACAAATCCTGGAGGGAGATCTTCTCACGGCTGCTCAGGCGACACACAGAGCTCCTGGGGGAAGGACAGTGTGCTGATGTCCAAGTCTGGGGGCCTCCAGCACCACCCCCCCCAGTCCAGGGCTCCTCGTACCTCCTGTGTCTGCTGCTGGAGGGTCCCTGGGACTCTTGGCCTCTGCTCTGAGAGGCATCCTTTTGGTTCCGAAGCTGGGAGAAAGAAAGGGGTTGCTGAGAAGGGTAGCATACACAACCTGTCCTGGTACCCTGGTGCCACCACACACAGCTATCCTGATCACGCCTTGTGTAGGACACACTGGCCATAGGGAGGTCAGTTCCCTGGACAGCACACAGGGCCTGTAGCCATCTCAAGTATTCCCAGCCTAGTCAGCACCATCTGGAAAAGGTGTCCTAATGCAGCTGCCCAAAGCCACCACACGCAGTGACCCATACGTCATCAGCCTCCAGTCTCATCCTGAGAGAAGCCTGTTCACCTCCCAGGGCCGATGTGCTCAGCCCTCCTCCCTAAACCTCAATGAACCCAGGATGCAGGTAAGCACTTCGCTGCCCCAAGTCTGGACAGCTGGCTGCTTGCTTCCTTACAGCTTGCTCCCAACTCTTCACTTTGTTTCCAAACCTCTGTGCCTTCCAACAGCAGTGCCCACCAGGAATGCCACTCATCCTCCCTGTCCCAGCACCTCTGGGTGCCTCAGGACTCATGTCTGCTGGCAAGTGCCCCCGCAATGGCCTGGCTGGCTCCCAATCCAGGCCATCTGCCTGATGGATTCCAGGGGTGACAAGTCCAGCCTGAGTCTGCTATGTCCTCACTGGGCAGGCAGGAAGCACTGTGACCAGTCCACCCTTCCAGAGGTGCCCCTGTTCGCAACCCTCTGCTGAGGTTGGGTCACTAGGCAGGAACAACAGGTCCTTGGGGCAGAGGATGTCAGGAGACAAGGACATCCCCTCCCCTGGGAGCTGTCAAGAGAAGAGGGAGCCTGGTCCTGAGACTTACATCCTCCTGTTTCCGGGCCAATTCTTCCAATAGGCTCAGTACTTCCTCGTCAGCCAGGTCACAAGGACGCTGACCCTGGATGGGGGAGGATTGAGAAAGATGATGAAGAAGGTGCAGGAGCTTCTGTCCCCCATCCCACCCTGCCACCTGGCACCACCCTCACCGCGTGGGTCAGCGAGTCCATGCCTCCACCATGCTCAGCCAGCAGGCGGCAAGCATCCTCCACACCCCAGTGGGCTGCTGCGTGCAGGGGGGTCCAGCCATCTCCATCCCGAAGCTCTGGGTCATAGCCAGCTTGGAGGAGCAGCCTGAGGGCCAGGGGGGCTAGGGTCAAAGGCCAAGATGGGGTATCTGGGCCAAGGGCTGATTGTGGCCAGCCGGACCAGTTGTTACAACATTTGAACATTCCTAGATTGTCTAGTCAGAGGTACCACCCCAAGTTCCTCCCACAAGTGACTCTTGGGCCACCCAGCCTTGACCCTCCCTTGGACCAGCAGCTAAAAGCTAAGCCCTAGCTAGCAGGTGGCCTCCAAAACCTGTTCGTCATGTTCACAGGGGCCAACGCTCAGGATCAGCCTGCTTATGGACTGGAGGTAGCAGTAGTGGGAGGCAGGAGGTGGATGCCCAGCCCCTAAGACTGTGAAGAGGATGAGACCCCAAAGGGTTCTGGGACCACAGCTGGCCCGGAGTGGTGGTGCTCAGCAGTGTCATGCTACCTGTCCCTGGCCCTGGAGACATGTCTACTCTTCATAACTTAGGAGTGGGCACTGATAGCATCTAAAGGGTGGGGTCAGGGATGCTGCTTAACATCATACAGCACACAGACTGGTCACACCTCAGCATGATCCGACCCAAAATAGTGATGCTAAGGGCCAGTAATGCTGGCCCTGCCGACTCTCTGCCAGAAAAATGACCAGAACCTTAAACCATTCAGTGTGGGAAAGGCAGAACAAATCCAGGGGGCTCTCCAAACTCAGCATGGGGAAAGACGTGCTTATTTTCAGGGAACTACAATGAGATCCTATATCCATGAGAAAAGACCCTCATAAGCACGATGGGCGGATTGCGATGCCTCCCAGATATGAGAGACACAAGGTCATCCATGCGGCCCTGCAGCCTCCCTCGCCTCTCCCCCACTTCCTGGCCATCTCTCCATGTGCCCATGCCTCTAGCCTCTGCATTAGATGTTCTCTCTGCCTGGTGAGTGACCTTGGGCCCTGCGGCATGTCACATGGCTATCCCTAATCACAGTCACCACATCCTCACCCAGCTGTTTCCTGACCACTATATCTCTCACAGGCCCTCCCCACCACCCTCCTTTTCTCCCATCACCCTATCGACACCCTCCCGAGCCCAAAGTTCTCAACTGGTACACTGTTGCCCCAGGGACAGTGGCAGTGTCTGGAGTCCTTTTCTCACACCTGGGCAGGGTGCTCCTGGCATCTGGAAGGCAGAGGCCAAGGATGCCACTCAGCACAGGACAACCCCAAAACAGAATGGATGACCTGGCCTAACACATCTGTCCCCGATGCGGGTATGCATTACTTGTGGGCCCAGATCTGTCTTGCTTGACACTGTGCCCCTAGCACCTGCCAGGTGTCTTCACCTCTGCTCCCCCTTATCTTTAATGAGGAGGAGCCAAATGTATCTTACACACAGTCAAAACTAATCAATTAACTAATAGCAAAGTGGTCAAGAGATCTTAATGTAAACACGAACCCATACAGTGAAATTTTTCCCAGGGCTGGGGACAGAGCCCAGTGCCTCATGAATTCTAGGCAAAGTGCTCTATTATGGAACTACATCCCCAGCTCCTTGGGGAGTATTTCTAAGTCCGAGGTGCTCCAGTCTGTGACAGAGAATGAGGCTGCTGCAAATATGAACATTTTCTCCCTTTAATAACAACTTTTGGCTGGACACAGGGTCACCTGGTGGCTAAAGACTGATGTCCCAGTGTCCCTGCAGCTATATGGTCAGATGACTAGGGTCTGGTAAGTGGAATGCCAGCATTAAGGGGTCCATGCCACTTCTGGACAGTTCTCTTAAAAGGGACAGATGTCCATCCTCTCTCACTGCTGGCTGGGATGTGGATGCAATGTCAGGAGACAAGGCAGTCACAGCGGACTTACAAGTGGAAGCCCTGGTGAAGGGCACAGCATCCACGCTGGTCATCAGACCACTGAACCTGGCCACTTAGAGTATCCTGTCCCCCTGGCCATGGGATGGGCTCAGGGCTGGGCATCAGACCCAGAACTTTTGCTGGAACTATAGAGGACGGAGTGCTCTATGCCAGGAACTGGGGCTAATAAGCAGCCCTCACAGCAAGGCTACAATCCTGATGCTGGCAAGGGTGATCTTAATCTCCCCCAAGAAAACCTGCCTATCACTTGAGCCATGCCTCCAGCCCTGAAAACCTGCCTAAAAATTAATCAACACAGAGGTGAGCAGAGAGATGGAGGGCTTTGTCTTACCTCCTTTTCATGCTATATAATAAAATGCAACATCACAGAAGAGGGCAAAGGGAACTGAAAAGAGAGTGGGGAGCTTGAGGATGGGGCCTGGAACCAACTACTCCACCACAAAAGGAAAAGACAGTCAAACGGGACAAAGTAACACCTAAAATGGAGGTGACAATGACCGGAAAGGATTATGGACTATAATATTTAAAATATGTGCACCAAGTAACCTAGCTTTCAAATATGTAAAATAACTACAAGAACTCAGGGAGAAACAGGCAGTCACAACTGTTTCAAGAAAGGCTAACATACCTCTCACAGTACCTGACAGAATAAGCAAAGGGAATTTGCCAGGACTAAGAGGTTTCAACAGCAGTTACAAAGGTGACCTAGTAACTACAGGGAATGCTGCTCCTGACACCATTCTCTTCCAGCTTAAATACACTGGGGTGTAAAAAAAACCTCCACAAATTCAACAAGCTGTGATCACATCACCCATCTTGACTGTAACACAACCAGTAATGAAATGACAAGTAGAAAATCCCATACATTTGAAATTAAGGTCATACTTCTAAATGATCCTTGGGTCAAAGGTCACTGATTAAAAAATGTTTTGTGCTGAGTGACAATGAAAAGGGCAACATGTCCATACTGTGGATTTGTCTAAAGGTGTATTTAGAGGGCTACATAAACCAAAAGGAAAGGAAAAGAGCAAGATCTGCTCACCTCATCACCTCAATGTAGCCCTTGGCAGCGGCCACATGCAGGGCAGAGGCCCCAGTGCGGGGGTGCCGGGCCTCTGGCATGGCACCCCCATTCAGCCAGCACCTGGTGTCATGAAGCAGCAACTCTTCCTCAGCCCGCTTGGCTGCCTCCACATCCACACCTGGGAGGATGAACAGGTTACAGGTGGTTCCACCCTGTGCTGACCACAGTTCAGTCTCTCTCACTGTGTTCTCCTCTGGAACTTGGAAGGCCTGGACAAACCCAGTGTTTCCCAACTGTGCTCTGTGCAGACCTGGGTACCACTAAGGATCTCTGAGACACTGCTCAAGGCCGCAAGAATTTTTCTTAGTGGTACTAAGGTTTGAACTCAGGGCCTCACGCTTGCTAGGCAGGTGCTCTACCACTTGAGCCACATCTGCAGCCCTTTTCTGCTTTAGTTATTTTTCAGATAGGGTTTTGTGGTTTTGCCCTGGGCCAGCCTCAGACTGCAGTCCTCCTACATATGGCCTCCCTTATAGCTGGGAATAAAGGCATGAGCTACCTCACCTGGCAGGGATCCATCTTTTATTTTTTTAAACATAAAACCTAAAGTGCATTGAGCAAATCCAGCATTTGACTGCATTGGACTCTTCCTATCACTATCAATACAATCTGTAACCTTGCACCTTCATACACGTTATCACTGTGTCACCAATACCCCTCCTGAGTAGGACTAAGTACTCATGTCATTAGGGCAGCATGTTCTCTCCCACCCAGTGTGCTGCTACCTGTAGCCAGAACAGCAGCACTCACTCTCCAGTCATTTCCATCATGGTACGTCACCACTGCGCTGCACTCAGATAGAACAGGCAGGCTATGACCTACAATCAAATCCAAGTTCATTCTGGATCAAAGCCACTGAGGCTGAAGTCTTACATAACCATCAACTTCACTGAGAGTCCTCCCTCCTCTGTGTGCTGTGAACCATTGAGACAGGAGGCAAAAGACTCCTTCCTAGAGAATGTTTGCTCCATTTCCCTCCTGGGAAGGTTCATATTGCTTTTCTCAATCGTGAGGCTTTTCACTTAACAAAGTGCTGCACAGAGCTAAGCTGTCCTATACAACACCTGCCAGCATGAGCTCCTGAAGTGGAGCTGGTGCAAACCAAGATTCTACAAGTGGAAAATGCACACTGGATCTTGCAGCATGGACAAGCAGGGGAAAGTGACCTGGGAATCGTTTTTCTACTGATTACATGTTGGAATGGATATACTGTGTTAAATGATACACACCTATTTTGGTAGCATATTAATAAAATTAAGGCTGGGGATATAGCTCAGTGTACAGGGCTTGCTGAGCATGTGAAAGACCCTGGGTTTGATCATCAGTACCAAAAAAAAAAAAAAAAAACATTAATTTCATCTCATCTGTTTCTTTTTTTTTTCACCTGTTTTTTTTTTGTTTTCAAATCCATCAACTTGATATTTTTTGAGACAGTCTCACTGTAGCCCAGGCTGGCTTAGAACTGATAAGCCTCTTGCCTCCTGAGCGGTGGGATAACAGGTATGTACCACCACACCCAGTTACCAACTTGAAAAATTTAAACTACATTTGTAGCTCACATGCCAGTGCTCATGTAGCACTAGCAAAGAGCTTTAGGTACCACCAGCCAGTTTTTAAAAACAAATGCAGATTGCTAGAGGCATGCCTCGAGTGATTGAGCGCACCTAGCAAGCATAAAGACCTGAGTTCAAATCCCAGTTTAAACTTCTATCATAAAGTTATAGATGGGACCCGAGAAACACAGTCCTGAAAGCTGAGTTAAGTGTAGACAGGGCTGCAGTTTGGTGCCACTTGGGAGCACCTATATACTATGGCTTCAACTCCAAAGGGATCACCACTAGGGCTCCTAGCTGGCTGGGAGGACCTGGCAATTCCAAGTCTGGGCAGTGACAACCCATCTCATGGACCCCTGAAGAGCACTGGGACAGACTGGGATCCCACCCTCATCCCCCCACCCCCCAATACTTCCTTAAAGGATGCCAACTACAGTTCCGTCCAATTACAGCTGAGTGTGACTTCGCAGAGGGAGAGGGTATTTTCTGACTTTCAGTGTTCTTTTTGGGCTTTTTTGGCTTTTTGTTTTGCAGAACTGGGGCTTGAACTCAGGGCCTACACCTTGAGCCACTCCACCAGCCCTTTTTGTGATGGGTTTTTTCGAGATAGGGTCTCACCAATTATTTGCCTGGGCTGGCTTCAAACTGCAATCCTCCTGATCTCTGCCTCCTGAGTAGCTAGGATTACAGGCAAAAGCCACCGGAGACCAGCAGACTTTCAGTGTTCTTGTACGTGTTCATGTGCACCTTTCTGCAATCTGCTGTGCCTTTGACATGTGCTGAGGTCTGTCTGTGTTTATAGATCACACTCCTGACTAAGGGCTGGCAAAATGCAGTCCATAGGTGCTGGGCTACTTATTTGTGCTTTTACTTTGTGTTGAAGTGGTGGTAAAACAATCACAAAACAAGAATTGGGGATGTAGCTCAGTAGCTGTTTGCCTAGCATGTGCAAGGCCCTGGGTTTGATTCCCTGTACCACATACACACACACACACACACACACACACACACACACACACCACAAAACACACACACACACACACACACACCACAAAACACACACACACACACACACACCACAAAACACAAAACAAACTGGCCACCAGTGGTTCACAACTATAACCTATTCAGGAGGCTGAGATGAAGAGGATCATGGTGTGAGGGCAAACAGTTCTCAAGACTCCATCTCCAAAATAACCAGAGCAAAACGGACTGGAGACGTAGCTCAAAGGTAGAGTAACTGCTTTGCGAATGGCTGCTTTGCAAGGACAGATCCCTGAGTTCAAACCCTAATCCCACCAAAAAAAACCTGATAAAATTTAAAAAAACACAAAACACAGCAATCTCACCATTTGAAAGGGCACAATCAGGCCGCACTTAGGAATCTCATAGTGCTGTGTGACCCTCACCATTACCTACCTCCTGAACTTTTTCACCATCCCAAACGAAAACCTTGCACTCCTTAGGCCAACCTTCCCCAGCCCTGCATCACAACCCTGTTCTAGAGCCTGCCTGTTTCTGAAAAACAAGATCTTTCTTTTTTTTTTTCAACTGGGATTTGAATTCAGGGCCTTCACCTTGAGCCAGTCCACCAGCCCGTTTTTTGTGCTGAGTTTTTTTTGAGATAGGGTCTCTTGAACTATTTGTCTGGGCTGCCTTTGAATCATGATCCTCCTGATCTCTGCCTCCTGAGTAGCTGGGATTACAGGTGAAAACAAAGTTCTCATGGCATTCAGCCATGCTGTTCTTTCTCATACTGTCCCCAGATGCTTTCCCTCCACAACAGTAGTAGTGGGCAAGTAGTAGTATGGGGCAAGTAGTTGTGATAGAGGCATTGTGTCCCTGGTTGCCTGAAAGTCACTGTCCAGCCCTCTACAAGGGGCTCAGTTGAGCCCTGCTGGGATCACTGCCTTACTAGCCCATCCACACGGGCAGAGACCTCTCAGTGCCATAGCCCCTTCAGACTATTGGGGAATGCACCACTAGAGTAAGAAAGTGGCTGTCACTGGCAACATTCAACCAGCCAGAAATATGCCTTCCACTACTGCCCTTGCCAATACTTAGAACTGACAGTTTGTGCCAGCCTTTAGTGTTGTACCCACACCCATCTGCCCTGGACAGTGGGACTCCAAGTGGGGCTGTTTGCATTTTCCAGAGGCACTTGCTACCCAGTTCCATATCCTGGTGCAAAATGGCCAGAAAGGGTCCCTTTCCACAGGCCCTGGTGCTCAGGACTGTCCCAGGGCAGGTGGCACCTGTAGGCAGACTGGCCTGGACCTGCTAGCACCCATTCTCCCCTCAGTAACCACAGCTTGACTTTCTCACCCACTTTTGCCCCACTTGGATCCAATGGGACTCTGCTCAAAGCCTGGTCCAGCATGGGCACATCACCAGGCCTGACCATTCCCTTGCCACAGGGATGGGCTCAGGCTAGCATGCGACCAAGGTGTCCTAGTGAGCATCAGAGAAAGGACTGAGTGTCTCACCTGGGCATGAGCCTGCACATAAGGAGCAATGCTATCGCTTCTCTAAAAGAACCTGCCCCAGAACATAAGCCAGGCAGTCAGCAGTGACGGGGAGGGGCTTTTGACTTGTGCTCCTGGATCAAACTATGCTGGAAGCCCACATAACTCCCTGTGGTTACCTAACCCTGTAAACTGTCATTTTAAAAGAACTGTGGCAAAACAAACCATGATTTACTATCTTAAACATTTTTAAGTCCACAGTCTGGTGGCATTAAGTAGTCACAGTGCTGTGTGATCAGCACCACCATCCATTGCCAACTTTTTAATCTTAAAAGACTGAAACTCTGCCCCCACTAAATAATACCCCTATCCCCTTCCCCCCAGCCCTGGTGACCACCATTTGACTGTCTCATTATTTTTTCATTTTGTTTATCCATCCACTGATGGACTTTTAGGTTACTTCACCTCTGGGCTATTGTACCTTTCTCTTTCTTCTTTTGTTTTTTTTGTTTGTTTGTTTGGGGGCACTGAGGTATGAACTCAGGACCTCATGCTTGTTAAGGCAGGTGCTCTTACTGCTTGAGCCACTCTGCCAGCACTTTTTTTGTGTGTGTGTGTGACACTTTTTTTCAAGATAAGGTCTCACAAACTATTTTCCCAGGCTGGCTTTAAACCAGCCTGATCTCTGCCTCCTCAGTAGCTAGGATTATAGGTATGAGCCACTGGTCCCCGGAGGCTGTACCTTTTATCTTTATCTGTGACTCTGAGGCTGGAGCCCAGGGCCTCGCACATGCTAGGAAAGTGCCCTGCCACTAAGCCACGCCCCCAGCCCTGGGCTACTGTAAATATGCTTTGAATACCCAGTGCACTGCCTTTTTTTGGCCTGAGTCAGATTGGAATGAGCCTCTGGTACTTAGAAAGAGCTGTGCCTAACAAGCAGTAGAGCCAACTAGACCAGAGGCCTTGAGTTGAACAAGAAGCAGGCTGCAGGCCCTCTCACCCAACAGCAGACTCCAAGACAGTGTTGAGATAGGGACAGGGACACCCTGGAACAGACACCTATCTAGATGCCCAGCACCCTGGGGACTCTCCATCTGCTAGCAGTGCCTGTCCCTCTGGGGGCGGGGGGCGCGAATGCCTGCAATCCAGGTCCTTCTGACCACACCCACACCCACATGAAGTCAAGCATTGTAAACAGAGCAGTGGCCTTGAAATCCAGACCGTGGTCTCCACAGTGGCATCCACCCTATCCATGCTGAGGGTCTTCCCAGCAGTGCCACTGGCCTTTATTCCTGGATGATCCTTCATGCCAGGGGCCCCCAGTCATACCCATCCTCGGCCTCTCCTTGCTCTCACAGAAGGGGAACAAAACCAGTCTGAGAGGCTGATGCCAGCTATAAGCAATTTCTACAGAAAAACATAAACAACTGAGAGTCATGGACCACCTGGAGGCCATTCTCAGGCCCCCCAAGTCTGGGGACACCAAAGCAGCCTCAAAGCTCCATCATGCAGACTTCTTCTCCAGCACCACAAATAAAACAAATAAAAAATACAGTGCTTAATCTTTTTTTTTTTTTTTGGTGGCACTGGGGTTTGAACTCAGGGCTTCATGCTTGCAAAGCAGGTCCTCTATCACTTGAGCCACACCTCCAGTCCATTTTGTCTGGTTATTGTGGAAATGGGGTCTTGGGAACTATTTGCCCAGGCTGGCCTTGAACCTCATCCTCCTGATCTCAGCTTCCCAAGTAGCTAGGGATTACAGATGTGAGCCAACAGCACCTGACGCAGAGTTGACTCTTGTCACAAAAAGAATACCCAGGTCCAGGCTGAGGAATGGCACAGGCTGGCAGGCTTCACAAATGCTGCTGTGCAGAGCTGGGTAGGCAGGCAGGAGCTGAACCACACAGAGAGACTATAGACCCAGGAGAAGCCACCAGAGCAGTATGACCTGAGGCTGCTGCAGAACCCAGAATACCACCTCCCCTTCCTGCTGTGGGCCGTAGCAGCACAGCCCTGCTGTAGGAGGTGCCAGCAGAACATGACAGGCAAAGTTAGTGTCTGCAGCACGGTCTTCAAGGGTCTTGGGAATGGGAGGGACAAAGGGAAGAAAAAAATGACATGTGTCTGTGTGCACGGGAGGAAAGGAGGAATAAGACGGCATGACAGCCAGACCAGTCTGCACAATGTCATTCCACCACCACAAAATGTCCCAAAAAGACAAGGCAGATCAATGGCCATGAGGGCTGGGGAGGGGGACAGCATGCAGGGTTCCTTTTAGGGACAATGAAAGCGTTTTCATATCATTGTGGTGTTGACTGCACAGCTGGGAAGCACCACACACCACTGAACCATTCTCTTTAGCCAGTGAGCTGTCAGGGTGTGTGAGATGTAACTCTAAGACTGCACCAAAAAAAATAACCAGTAAACCTTGGCAAAAGTCACACAGGTATTCACCATACTTATGCTGCAATTTTTCTGTAAGCCTGAAGTTTTTCCAAAATAGTCAGGAGAGGGGAAACGAGGGACTGTATCCCAGGAGGGCTCCCAACCTCTAATCTCTACTGCCTGGCCCACAGCCACCTGACATTCAACATGCCAACACTGAGCTCCTGTGCCTTTCCACCCTAGGTAGCAGTGTGGGAGGGCAGAGGAGCCAACTCTGGGCGACACTTCCCAGGATCAGCTCTTCCTTGGCCTCCCTCACCTGCTCACAAGTCCTCCAGGCTGCCCCCCAGGCACACTTCCCACCCACGCCCAAGGAGCCCTGACAAGGGATGGGTATCATCTGTGTTTTATCACCTAAGGAACCTAACCTTCAGGAACACACCTACTGCCAGATGATAGTCACCTGCAGTGCCAGAACTGAACCCACCAAGTTGGCTTCGGAAGCCACTTGAAACCCAGGGCTCTTCCAGAGAGTCCCACTGCTGTGCCTCACTCCCAGAGGTCCACGAAAGCCACTCAGCTCCCCAAATCCTGTCCTTCTAGACCCTGCCCTGGAGAGCTGAGAGCCTCCAGTGACACACCACTAGCCTTGGACGTTTATTTGTACCCCAAGAGAACCTGCTGTAAGCAACATATCCCCCCCAGGAAACAAACACTGCCACACAAACTGGGGGTTCTTGGACACCAGTGGAAGCAGCCCAGAGGTACAGGGGCCCGCGGAGCTCAGAGAGAGCAGTCCTGAAGCCCCCTGCATGCATGCTTCCACTCCACATAGTAAAGACCCCACTTCCCCACAAATGCAATGGAGTCCCATAGTACTGCTCAGGCCTCTTGGACATGCCCTCTCTCTTGGCATCAGACCTCCTCAGTTACTCAGGGGTGAAATGACAACTCTGAAAGATCTGCTCTTACTCTGTGCCCAGCTATGTCACGAAAGCTTTCTACAGTGACAATTCCCTTTCCTAAGGTCTCAGCAACCCTGGGGTCAGTGTCTCCACACCTGTTTCATGGGGGAGGAAACCAAGGCCCAAAGACAATCAGAGTCCTAGTAAGCAGTCTAGGTCATGGAGCCCAGGTGGCCTGATTCCAAGCTCTGGACCTGCATCTGACAACCAGAGGCTCACCTCGTTGGGCAATCTCTGCCTTCAGCAGCCCCTCCATGGCATCTGACTCGGCCAGGTCCAGGGGCAGGTCCCCATCACTGTTGACAGCGGCGATGTTGGCCCCATGGCTCAGGAGGTACCTGGGGGCAAGGCGAGGTCAGGCTGCCAGGTCCAGGCCGCCACCCAGCCAAGGCCCTGCCCACCCCACCCTCACCTCACCTGGCAATGTCCAGGTACCCACAGGAGGCAGCTACATGCAGGGGTGTCCAGCCTTCGTTGTCTGCCTGGTTCACAGTGGCACCCTGCTCCACCAGGAAGCGCACCACCTCCAGGTTCTCATCGATGCAGGCCTGAAGGTGGGACAGGCCTGTGAGCTCTCCCCTCGTCCAGGACTCCCAGTAACAGGTGAGGAAAACAACCCTGATGGTCTCTAGTGCCAGCCCTGAGGCCCCTACAGCTACGGCTATTTAAGATACCCCTGGCTGCCCCATGGTTAGATCAGCTGGACATACGGAGTTTAGTGGAGACCTTGAGTGGACTCCAGCAACTGAAGAGGGAAGGGATGAAGATTACTTTTATTTATTTATTTTTATTTTTATTTTGTGGTTCTGGGGTTTGAACTCAAGGCCTCATGCTTGCTAGGCAGGCACTTTAACTGCTTGAGCCACTCCACCAGCCCAAGGGATAGAGACTCTAAACATACCTGAGATAGAACACAACCCACAATCTACCTGCAGAATGGGACTTCCAGTGCTCAGACCATGAAAGAGGCTCTTCTTCCCTCAAGCTAGCCAGGTCCTTTTAAGGGGCAGGGCTGAAAAACACATCCTCCAAGACAATCCCTGGGGAGAGCCCAAGGCTATGCAGGGTTGTCAAGTCCAAATTCAGGCTGAGTAGTGATAGTACGTAGCATGCAAGACACCCTGAGTTCCACCCAAAGCATGACAAAAAACAAAACAAAATAACAATGTGCACATATAAACACACACACATACACACAACACCTCTGGGTCAAAGCAAGGGCATGGGGCAGGAGTAACAAGGAGGGTAAGTGGGCTGTGTTCCCTGTGCCTAGGGCCTGAGCAGTGGAGCTCTCAAGCGCTGAGGGCCTACTAAGCACAGGGGTTTATTATACCATTTTTTCTAACTCCCTGTCCTTGGGAACTGAAAGCTCAGGGAGACAAAAACCCTCACCCAAGTTGGCACAGGGCTCAAGGTGGGAGGAGAGAGTCAGCCCAGGTCCCTGTGGAGTGGCTAGACTCCTGGGTTCTCAGGATTAATTAACCCCCCAATTCCCTCACTACCCCAAAGCCACCCATCTGGAGAAGGGGGGAGGAAGCTACGAGGGCCAAGAGCATGAAGTCATGGAAACTCAGGCTGAGAGGGGGGTCACACGTGCCCTGGGAACGGGATGAACTCTGGGCTCCGTTTATTTCCACCCTGTTGTCATGGCGAAGGGGGGGGGGGACGTGCCAGCGGCAAGCAGGGATATGGGCCTTTCCCTTTCAAGGACCTGGCCCAGCACAGGCATTCATGTGGAAGATGCCTAAGACTGGGCACCAGGGACCCAGGAATCCAGGCCCTCCTACCTCAGACTCAGGAGTACAGACCCCAGCCCTCCTCCCTCAGACTGGGAGTCCAGGTCCAGTCCTCCTCCCTCAGACTCCTGAGTTCTGGCTCCTCCTACTCCAGACCCCAGACTCCTAGCCATAAATGCACCGGCAACTTGAAAAGAGAAGAATGTGCCAGCTTTGCCCCAAGTTGGGGCCTGAGGACTGGGAACATATCATAGCAGGGGGCTATGCTTGGCAAATGGCCTAGGATTCAGGACAGAAAATGCAGCCCCAGGTAGAGAAGTCAGTTGAGACTCTGGAGTCACCAGACAGCATGACCACTGTTCCTATTTTCCTGGGACTGGAAGTCCCTGTGTCCAGGGACTTTCAATGTGAAAACCAGGCTCGTCCCAGGCAATCAGCATAACCCAAACCTGCACCACACCACTCTGCCTTGCTTGCTGGTCTTATGGGCTTAGGCAGAACTTCTCCCCTCTGAGTCTCAGACCGCTCCAAAACTTCAGGCCTCCTTCAAGGCCCTGGAGAATGACTTTGCCAATGTCTCCTTAAGGTGAGAGCAGAGTCCCATGTGGAAGGCCACCTGACAGGCAAGCCAGAGAGACCTCTTGCACAATCTAGGTCAAGGAAGTGGGACTAGGAGCCTCCAGGAGTGCAGAGGATGGGGTTCAGTGAACACCAGGGCCAGGAGCTCCTGCAAGGGAAGGCAAGGAGGGCCAGAGGCCTGGAGAATAGTAGAGGAAGGGAGGCACCAAAGCCTGAGACCCAAAGAAAGGCCTCAGGAGGAAAGAACCTAAGTAGCGGAAAATGTCCCAGACGGCAATAGGGCTTCTGTAGAAAAGGGATCAAGGTAGGGAAAGAAGGGGGCAGGGCAACATCTCCCCAGCGAACACCTGGGACGCATCAGGGCCTGGAAGGGAGTTTTCTACACATGACCCAGAAAATGGGAGTTTGCCACAGTGGAGGAAGCTGCTCACCAGGACCTGGGAAGTGAATCAACACTGGGAGGCAGGAGGCAAGGCCTGAGGATGGAGGCTCTTCTGTGGGTAAGCTTGTTCCCAATGGCTCCAACTGGAGGTGAGGGGGGGTACATACAGAGAGAGCCCTGGGAATATGAGAAGGCCATTGCCTGGGACACAGGAATGTTGGAGGCAGCAATCAGGGTATCTTGGAGGGGACATGGGGTTGTGGAAGGGTTTTAGAACCCTTGAGGTGACAGGACAAGGGGCTAGGAGACAGTACATAAGTCTTTGAGAAGGGGAAGTTACCCAAGTCAAAAGAGTAAGAGGTGACCCAAGGTCGGAAGAAGTAGTGAACTCCTGTAATCCCAGCACTTAGGAGGCAAGAGGATCTCAAGTTTGAAGGCATCCTGGGCTCCACAGTGAAACGCTGTCTCAAGAAAAGCAGGTGCCCCAAATCCACAGAAAGAGATGATGTGAGGGGGTGTGTGGCAATAACACTGAGAGGATAGAGAAGTGGTCCAAAGTCTACAAGAAGGAGTGCTCTGAGGTTGGCCAGAAGGGCCCAATGTAGGCTGGGGATGTAGTTCAGTGGTAAAGTGCTTCTCCAGCATCCCCGGCACAGCCAAAAAAAAAAAAAAAGGGAGGGGCGGAGAACAAAAAGAAAAGAGAAAGGTGCTGATACATGCCTAGCCAGGGGAAAGGAAAAGAGAGAAAAGGAGAAACATCTCTGTGAGAAGGTCCATGGTGGAGGCCAGAGACAAAAGACTGAGTCAAGAGGGCATCAGGGTAAGGGGCAGGAAAGAGACAGATCTTGAAAAGACCAACAGGGATAGCACCTGCTTCAAGGAATAGAGAAAGAATTGGCTCAGCAAAGATCAGCCTTTAGCAACACCAGATAGCAAAGGTCAAAGGTGTGGTGTGCCAGAAGAAACCTGAAGGAAGTAGCCCTGAAGGACCTGGGCCTAGCCAAAGAGGTGACCCAGGCCAGACTACGGGAGAAAGAGAACGGGGTCCAGTGACAGAGAAGGATTTATCCTAGTGACAGAAGTACCTGCTTGGAGGCGGAACCTGAGCCAGTGTGGGCAGAGCTGTAAAAGGTAAGTGGTACCAACACAGGAAAGAGATAACAGCTGCAGAGAAGAGGTGGCAAAGACAGAAGGAGTAAAGGCCTCTTGAGTTCTGGGGGAGGGCAGCGCAAAGTGACAACGGCCAGGACCAGTGGGACGGACGGACCACAGTAAGCAATAAGAGATGCTTGGGGTCCGGGAGAAGGCAGTTCGGGGTGGCAGAGACCACGGCCAGGGACAGAGAGAAAGGAGTTCCAGGTGGGATAGCCACGGGGGTCAGCACAGGACATCAAAGCCTGGGGCCCGGGGACGACGGGCAGCGGTGGCGCAGACCGAGGGGGGCGGCGCTGACCTGATGCAGGGCGCTGATGCCGTCGGCGTTGGTGGAGTCGAGCACGGCGCGGGCGGGCGGCGAGGCGGCGGGGTCGGACTCCACGCCGGGGCCGGGATCCGCCGCCCGCAGCATCAGGCGCGCCTCGTCCAGGTCTCCGCCTGCACAGGCCGCCAGGAACTCGGCGGCCCTCTCGAAGCGGACGGTACGGGCACGCCGCTCCCCGGGGCCCTGCTCGGCGCTCGCCCGCACTCCCCACTGCCGAAGCTGCTCCTGCCGCCGCTCCCGGGCGGCTGCTGCCGCCGCTCCCGGGCCTGCCGTCGGGCCGTCCTCCCCAGACATCGCGCCGCCCGCCCGCCCAGCGAGCGAGCTAGCGAGCTCTCAGCGTCGAAAAGCCGCCGCTACTGCAGCCCGCCCGCCCCGAGGGCCGCCGGGAACTGCCGTTCTTCTCGTACCGCCCAGGGATCTCCCGGCGCCCGCCCGGCGTGGTGATGTCATGACACCGCCCCCCACAGTGCTCTGGGAAATGGAGTCCACAATACCAAGGGAATACTGCCTGACAGATAGGCTAGGGGCGGGGAAGAAGACCGGACGCAGGGAGCGCTGGGAAATGTAGTCTATTAAGAAGTTGCTCGCTATATCCCTAGGCACATTAGGAAATCGGAGCTCCAAGGCATCAAATGGCTGCCCAGGGCATTCTGGGAAATGTAGTGCACTATATGAGAGACGGAAAAGCCGATTTCCCCACCCCACCTCACCCTCGCTTTCGCCCCGCAACCCCTTCTTCCCAGGCGAGCCGGGAACCGGCGAGAATGACTGTGGGGGGGGGGGGTGGAGAGATTCTGAAAGATATAGAACTACATTCTCCTTACATTTTATCAACTTTCCATAGACTATATATTTACTTTATTTGCCCCCCTTCAACTAAATGCAAACTCTACGAGAGCGGTGATTTCTTGTCTTCTCTACACTATGTATTCTCAATGCGTAAGACTGAGCCTAGATTATTGCGATAGAAAACGTTTTCTGGAATGAATAAATGAATTGACAACCTAAGACGTGAGAAACTCCAGGGCCTATGGGAAATTGAGTCTTCAACCCAGAGCCATTAAAGACAATCACTTCCAAGCAGGCCCGGACGACTGCCCACAGTATGCTGGGTAATAAAGTTCGCGGTGTAAATGTCAGGTCAATCCGCTAACAACCTAGCACTCTGGGAAATGTAGTCCTCAAGGCCACGCCCCTAAAGGCTCAGCTAGGTAAGGCCCAGGATACCCCGGGAAAGAAATGCCCAGAGTCAATAATACCTCTTCTGCACCCACCAGGGGCCGTGGAGCCCTCTGGGAAGTGTAGTCCACGCTCTAGCACACTCTCACGGCATACTGGGATTTGTAGGCACGGGCCAGGTGCTCCAATAGGTATGCAAGGCCAGTCTTAGATATAAGCACACCTTGACTTTCATATTAAGTACCGTTCACCTAAATCCAATTTGGGAAAGTTAGACACTTTGCAACAGGAAGAGACCTACAAAAATCACAGAGAAAACCCAAAATCTGGACAGAGCCAATAAACTTTTTCCCAAGAGATATTGAAGCGCCCTATTCCACTCTTAAGTCCTCAGAAAAATAAACTACAAATGCTGTAAGGCCTGAGGAGGGCTGGCCACAGTTACAAAGGGACAGTTCTGTGGATCTTGAGATCCACGCACTTTACACACACAGCAGCAACCTCCTTCCCCCAGGAAGGAAAGAAGTGTGTTATTGTGTGTGGTGAATTCTATGTGTTTCTCTGCCTCTGTAATTAGGACACAAAATTGTGTGTATTTGTGATCTTGGCTGTGACTGGGGTGTGTTGTTTATGAGGATTTGCTTTTATGTTTGTAAATGTTCGTGTAAATATTCCTTTGTATATTTTCGTGACTGTGATTGTTTATTTTCGAGTAACAGTTTGGGTTATGTGGTCAACCCATCCAATGATCTGTGGGATGAGCTCTCACCATAAGCTCTATTAGCGACCATAAATGGCATCAACTAATCCTGCTAACTTTAGGACTACTGCTATTTTAAAATCCTATTCTATTATAATGGGTAGGAATTCTGAAATAGATGATAGGGATCCGCCTATCCCTGGGACTCTGGGACAGGTATTAAGCATTGTTAAATACTGTCAAAGTACTGTTACTGATAAACCTTTGGATTTTTATTTTTCCTTTAAATGTTTTTGAAATATTGGGGGCTAAGGATACTTTACTCAGTAGTTACATCTGCTAGACCCTTCCCTGGGACCCTGGCTCCCTTGAACAAAGGATTGCCAGTTAGGCAGCCAGACTGCCTTCATGCCAGCACCACCCACTTTGAACCCAAAGCACAACTCAAGCTCCAGAAGACACTGCCCCAGCAAGAGGCTTGCATCACACTTTTGCCACCACAGCAGCCACTTCCACCCAGGTGTGTGGGGTGGGGAGCACTTCCTTCCTCTGGTAGCCCAGCACAAGACCTGTGACCAGTGCAAACAAAATCCTTCATTTGCAAAAGGACTGGTGATAGGAACTGTGCCATGATTGGTGCAAACACAATCCCTCATTTGCATGAAGGGGCTGCCATCCTTGTCATAACTCCTAGCTATATAAGCAGCTACTTAGCTCAGTATGTGAGCAGCTGGGAGGACCCTCCCCCACCCCTTCCTGTGCTGCTCCTCAGAGTTGCAACATTTGGTCTCAATGAAGACTACTTTTTTTTTTTGTAGTACTGGGACTTGAACTCAGGGCTTACAACTTGAGTCACTCCACCTTCTATTTTTGTGAAGGGTTTTTTGAGATAGGATCTTGCAGAACTGTTTGCCTGGGAATGTCTTCAAACTGCAATCCTCCTGATCTCTGCCTCCTGAGTAGTTAGGATTACAGGCATGAGCCACTGGCACCCAGCAAAGACTACTCTTGAGTTCTCTTCCTCACCTACTTTTGGCTTTCATCATTACTAGAATGGCTGAGCTGGTGATATGAAGAAAATGCAAGGCTGGTGACTGATATCATCCAGAGGAAACTGACAGGAGCAGCCAATGGGGCAGGCAGTGAGTGGTGAGAGTGAAAGTGAGACTGACATAGGAACTGGAGGACTGGATTCCCAAGGGAGGCAAGAAAGAGCAGTAACAATATTTAGTGAGGCCTGAGGCCAGGAACACACCCCGCAATGCTACCCTCACTGTTGTCCACTGCTGCTGCTGACTGCAAGCACCTGCTGAGGGCCCAGAATAACCAAAGGACTTCTTGTCTCCTACCCAGCCACCTGGCTTGTGACAGTTCCAGACAGTTCCAGCTCTAAATCTGAATTTTTTTTTTTTGCAGTACTGGGGATTTGAACTCAGGGTCTTGTGCTTTCTAGGCAAGTGCTCTTACCACTTAAGCCACTCCACCAGCCCTGTGTTATTTTCGAGATAGGGTTTCATGAACTATCTGCCTGGGCTGGCAAGAACGATTCTCCTGATCTACAGGCATGAGGCACCAGTGCCTGGCTTGGATTTGAATCTTATCTCTGGCCACTTCCTGTCTCTGTGACCTGGGACTAGTCTGTGTCCCTGCCTCTTAGAGTTGTAGAGATAAGCCTTCTGAAGGGCGGATGATGTCTGCTGTGTAATGCATGTTGTATCCCACTGAATAAAATTTTCTTAGGACCTCTTCAATTTACAATAGTGAAGGTTTTTTTTTCACTTTTCAAGCCTTCTGTCTTTCCTCGACACAAGAATTTTGGTGCTTAACCTTGGAAACTGCAGGCCCTTCTCACTGGTGAAAATAACCTCAGAAAGATAAAACAAAGAAAATGTCCCCTTGTCCCCTGTGGTGGCAGAAAAACAGGCACTAGTCTGCAACATAAAGATGGTTCAGATAAGGAGGTAAACAGAGAACATCTTCCCCAAAGAAACCAGTGCAGAGAGATAAGCTAATCTGATCTGCTATTTTAAAACTGTCCTTCGAAGAGTTATTTGCACAAATGTACAGCTTTAATTTAAGAGATAATTATTTTAACAAGGACACCGATGGCTGGCCTTCCTGTGACCATCACTATACTAAAACTCGGTCCCCAAAGTCACACCAACGGGAAGGAGACCCTGAACCTTGTTAGTCTTTTGAAGAGTGACCTCGTCACAAATGTCACCCTTAGCTATCAGGACAGAAAGAAGCCCTCTTCCAAGGGCAATGTTGGGCCACAGCCATTACAGAAAAGGGACCGTATCCCAGTGTGTAGGACCGCATCTTCCAGATCTGTTAGCGTAGCCTGGTTCCTACCCAGTGTCTGACATACACATCCCTGTCCCCTCTTTTCCAAAGGGCAAATGATTATTATCTTTTAAATGAACTCTTTAATCAGATGAAGTTTAATTCATTCATTAATTTTTCTGGCGGTGCTGGGGAATCAAACCCAGGGCCTCAAGCATGATAGGCAAGTACTCTACCACTGAGCTGTACCTCCCTCCATATTATATCATTATTATTATTATTATTATTATTATTATCATACTACACTTGTCCTCTTTCTTTTCCACCATTGCACTTAGACACCAAGAACTTTATATGTTTATAGGATGCAAAACCATCCTATAAACCCTGACTAATAGGTCTGCTCTGACCTTAAGAACCTGGTCTGAGCCTGGCGCCAGTGGCTCATACCTATAACCCTAGCTACTCAGGAAGCAGAGATCAGGAGGATCACAGTTTGAAGCCAACCCTGGTCGTGAGACCATATCTAGAAAAAAAAATCACAATAAAGGGCTGATGGAGCAGCTCAAGTGGTAGAGCACCTGCCTAGCAAGTGTGAAGCCCTGAGTTCAAACCCCAGTGCCACAAAAAAAAAAAAAATGCTTCTGTAAACAGTGGAGGGCAGGTGTTCATGTAGGTGTGTTTTGTTTCTCTTGCACTAGGAGAGGAACTGCTAGAGCTTTTGGTGGCTCTGCGTCACCTTTTCAGGAGCTGCCAGACCGTTTTCCAAAGCACTGTTCATATCACATTCCCACCAGCAGTGTGGGCAGTGCCAACTTGACACCATTTTAGGGAGTGTCGATGAGGTCAGTAATGTGTCAGTTCCCCCGCATGTCCAGTTCACAGTGCTAACACCACCAAGAACTCAGAAGAGCATTTATTTGGAGCTACAAATGGGACAAACTCGGGTGGCTCCTGGGGGCCTCACAGTGGGCTGGGGTCTTGGCCTCCTCACTTCCAGCGGCCTCCAACACGGCCCTTCCCAGCCCCCTTGCGGCTGTGGGAGAAGAAGCTGGCGTCAGGAAGGGGGGTCCTCCAGCACCCCCACTCCAGGAGGGCCAGGATTTAATTCAGCAAGTCCATCCCACAAAGCCCTGGCCCCAGCCAGAGAAGGCAGTGAGCAGAGGGCGTCAATGTCACCTCTTTTAGGTTCAGTGATGGGTAGATGGTGGGTGGCACATGGGGTTGACATTTGGGGGTGACTTCAGGATGTTCATACTGGCTTATGAGTATAAGGGGTCAGATGGGGAAAGAAGGATAATGGGAGAGTGGATGATAGCCTGTAATCCCAGCTACTCAGGAGGCACAGATCAGGAGGATCATGGCTAAAGGACTAGCCTGGGCAAAAAGTTAGTGAGACCTCCTCGTCTCAACCAATAAGCCAGGCATGGCAGCACACGCCTGTGATCCCAAGTATGTGCAAGGCTGTAGGTAGAAGGATCATGATCTGGGGCCAGCCCTGAGCAAAAACAAGAGACCCTATCTGGAAAACAAGTAAAGCAAAAAAGGGCTGGAGGTGTGGCTTAAGTACAAAACAAAAAAAGGAAGGTAGGGGATGAAAACAGAATGAAATAGGAGTAGATACTGAGTGAGAAGCAGAAAGAAGGAGAGAGAGCCGCTTTGTCAAGCAAGGCTGGGCCCTCAAAGTGGGTTCAGTGCATTGAGCAGCACCCCTGGGCTCTGCCCACTGGATGCCAGCATCCCATGTCCACTTGTGACAACCAAAGATGTCCCAACAGGGCTGGGGTGGGGCTCAGTGGTGGAGGGCTTGCCACTCACAGGGCCCTGGGTTCAATCCCCACCACTTCAAAGGAAGGAAGAAAGGAAGGCAAGAAGGAGGGAGGGAGAGGGGATGGAAAGTAGGATTGGAAGGGAGGGAAGGGAAGGGAGGGAAGGGAAGGGAGGGGAGGGGAGGGGAGGGGAGGGGAGGGAAGGGAAGGGAGGGAAAGGTCCAGCAGCTCCAAAGGTCCCTGGATCAAGATGTCTGCTCCCACCCCCAGGAGAGTCACAGACTTAGAAAAGGGACTGAGAGCTAAGAGACAGAGCAGAAAAGAAGGACAAAGTTGTGTCCTAGAGAAGCGACGAAGACAGGAGAGGGGAAGAGACCCAGAGGGCCTGGGCAGGAGGCCAAAGAGGGAGGGGAGCCCGGGTGGGAGCACACTTACAACTTCTGCGCATGGCTGATGCGGTTGTACAGCACGTTGATCTGTGGGTGGAGAGAGAGGCTGGGACTATGTGGGGACAGCGCCCATCCCACCCTGCCGCCCTGCTGATCTGACCTCAGCAGAAGCAGGTCTAACACACCTCGTATTTCTGCTGCTTCAGCTTCTCCATCAGGTCAAACTTCTCAGACTCCAGCTGGTGGATCCAGTTGGACAGCTCCTGGGCCTTCTCCCTGGCAGGGCAGGAGGGCTGTGATGGGGAGGAGCCAGGCCATGCCCTCAGCCCAGAGAGGTCAGATCTCAGCTGCTAGAGGCCAAACATATTCCTAACTGATAAAAATTCACTGTATCAAACTGTCATGGGCTGAGGTAACCCCTGCACAGCATACAGAAAACACTTGGTGAAGCTGTTACTGCTCATCTTGTTATTACTATTATTGGTGGGACTGGGGTTTGAACTCAAGGCTTCACACTTGCAAAGCAGGCGTTCTACCACTTGAGCCACACCTCCAGTCCATTTTGCTCTGATTATTTTGGAGATGGGGGGTCTTGAGTACTATTTGTCTGGGCTGGCCTCAAACCATGATCCTCTCAACTTCAGCCTCTTCAGTGGTGCCGGACTTCATTTTATTATTTTTAGAAAATTCTCGTGGTACTGGATGTTGAATGGAGTCACTCTCTCATGTACTAAGCAGACACTTTACCACTGAGCTACATCCAAGCTTTTCTTGTTTTGTTTGTTTTTTGGCAGTACTGGGATTTGAACTCAGGGTTTCACTCTTGCTAGGCGGACACTCTTACCGCTTGAGCCACTCTGCCAGCCCCCTTTTCTGGTTCTTTGACACCTGGTCTGGCTATTCAGTCTGGACTGTCCTTGAACTCACAATCCTCTTGTCTCTGCCTCCCACACACTGGGATTACAGACATGTACCACCATACCTACCATTTATATTCACTTTATTATCACTAGTATACCTTATTTTCTTTTGACCACTTATGGCTTTCCAGTGCCCTCTCTCCCCTCCATCAAAGGGTTTACCCATCCAAGGATTCAACCAACTGGAGATTTTAAATACTTGAAAAAAAAAAACCCTGAATTTATAGTGAGCATGTACAGGTTTTTCTATCACTATTCCCTAAGCAACACAGGATTGCCACTATTTATATAGCATTTACATTATTCAGCACTGTAAGTCACCCGAGGTAATGTAGGGCACACAGAGGACATGTGCAGGCTCCATCCAAACACTACCCCAGGCTGCGCAGGCCACCTGAGCCTGCATGGGTTGTGATATCAGAGGGAGTCCAGAACCCAATCACCCATAGATACTAAGGGACCACTGTATTTTATCGAAAAGTAATGCAGGTGTTGAGTGTAGTGATGCACATCTGTAATTCCAGCACTCAAGAGACTGAGGCAGAGCCGGCTCATGCCTGTAATCCTAGCTACTCAGGAGACAGAGAACAGGAGGATTGCGGTTCAAAGCCAGCCTGGGCAAATGGTTTGCAAGACTCTATCTCAAAAAAAACCCATTATTAAACAAAGGGGAAGGGCTGGTAGTGTGGCTCAAGGTGTAAATCCCTGAAAAAAAAAAAAAGGAGGCAGGAGGATCTCAAGTTGGAAGTCAGCCTCAGCTACATAACAAAACCCTGTATCAAAAAAACAAGGGCTGGGCTAGGCACTAGTGGTTTACACCTGTAATCCGAGCTACTTAGAAAGCTGAGAGCTGGAGGACTGAGGTTGGAGGCCAACTCGAGGAAAATACTTTGTGAGACCCCATAACCAGAGCAAAATGGACTGGAGGTGTGGCTCAAGTGATAGTGTCTGCTTTGCAAGCAGAAAGCCCTGAGTTCAAACCCCAGTCCCACCAAAAGAAAAGAAAGAAATGCATTGTGTCCACAGTAGGGAGACACATAGCTGAAAAGACTCCCAAGCACCTACTGTGCAAGAGTCGCCCCAGTGCTGCATTCAGCATCCCACTCAAGGAGTTTGATGTCAACATGCTATGAGTGCATACACCGTGGCCGTGGGCAAGCGCTGAATCTTCCCCTGTACCAGCAAAGCCAAGAGATGGCCACACCAGGCAGCTTGGGTTCCAGTCCCACTCTTACTACATTTGCTCACTGTGCAACCCTGGAAAGGTTACTTTATCTCTCTGTGTTTTGTGTTCTTCCCTGTCAACACGAGGATGTTAATAGTATCTGCAAGTTGGCCATAGGAAGCTGCTAGCTATTCTGACTGTCTCACTGACCCCGACAATTCTGTGAGGTAGCTTTTGATATCATATCTGTATTTTACCCATTAGGAACAAGAGCCCCAGAGAAGTTAAATTAAATGCACGATGTCAGAGTCGCTTCAGAGTTGAGTTCTGAGTGTGGCTCCCAAACTCAGGGGAGTTTCTGATGTTTAGAGCTAAGTCCCAGCCAAAGGACATCAAGTCACAGTGAGGTCCCCAAAGGAGAGGCCAGTGCAACATCCCTACCCATGAGAGGCAGGCTGTCCTGGTAACTGGGCAGGAAGGGGACAGAGTCCCACCGGACAGGGGCCAGCTGGAAAATTCTCAGACCTGGCATTCACTTAGATAAAAGCAGGGCCCATTCTGAGCACCTATAGCACATCAAGTGACACAACTGTCTTCATCTGGGGAAACCAGTTATCTGGCTCCCTGACTCTACAGGCCACACCAATCACACAAGTGGGTCTCCATGCTAGTGACATATTTCACACAGGAGGCATTAAGGGCCCAGAGCCAGGGTGCCACTTGCCCAAAATGACAAGGCACAAGGTGAGAACTCAAGACATCACCCACACACATGAGTGACAGCCGTGAACACTCAGGTCACTGTGCACTGAGCCCTGGCACCTACCTGAGCTGGTCCTCCCCCAGGTAGTCAATGTTCAAAGGCTTCTTCCGCTCAGACAAGATGCGAAGTTTCATCTCCCGTCCAGTCTGCCGCTTCCCACGCTTCTGCTCTGCCTGGAGGGGAGGGGACTGTGCTGAGGGATGGATCCTGCAGAAACCCCACTAGAGGGGCCGGAGTTCCTCGTTGCCACATCCCCAAATGCAATGGTCCAGACCCCACAACCCCTCCCTCAATTCAGGAGTCCAGGCCTCAGTCCTCCTTCCTCAGACCCAGGTGCCCAGACCCCAGCCTCCTCCACAAGACCAGGGGTCTGGGTCTGCATTCCCTCCTTCCTCAGAACAAGGACATCAGGCTCTGTAGGCCAATCTCACCTTGACCAGGTAACCCCCAAAGTGGGCGCCCATGTTAGACAGAACCTTCTTCTTCTTGGCGTCATCCTCCGCTCTCTTCTTGGCTTCCTCCTCCTCCTTCCGCATCTTCTCCTCCTGGGGGAACAGAGGGCTCACCAGTGGGCCCCTCCAGGACTGAGGGAGGAGGGCCCTGTGATGTGGTATGGGGGCTCAGCTCTGTCCTGAGTGAAGTTAGGGTGATGCAGTGTCCATCACACTCCATGCCCAACAGCAAGTATTGGGGAAAAAATGCAGGATTCCCCCTCCTTGCCCTTCTAGGACTGACTGCAGGACCACCTTTGAGCTCCTTCCCCTCTATACAAAAATTAAAATGTAAGGTTACTAGGAAAGCAGACTCACACCTGTAATCCCAGATACTCAGGAGGCAGAGTTCAGGAGGACTGTGGTTCCAGGCCAGCCTGGGCAAAAAGTTTGCAAGACCCCATCTCAACCAAAAAAAGCTGAGCATGGTGGTGCATGCCTGTCAACCCAGCTATAAATAGGACGACTGTAGTTCAGGCTGTCCTGGGCATAAACATGAAACTCTGTTGGAAAAATAACTAAAGCAAAAAGGGCTAAAGGTGTGGCCCAAGGGTTAAAGCACTTGCCTAGTAAGTGTGAGACCCCTGGATTTAATCCCCAGTACCACAAGAAAAAGAGCGGGCAAGTTTGAGTAAGGACCCATCTCTTTTTAATTTTTTTTCTGACCCTTTCTTAATTCCAGCATGGGTTTTGTACCTCCAAGAGTCAAACCAAGGTGTTCTAACGTCCTCCCCCAACTGGCCAGGGACTAGCTCCCTGGTGAACAGGATGCTCCCAAGATTTGCCCAGAAAAGAAGACTTCAAGGCAGAGTTTCTGGAGGCCACCCTTGTGGCCAGCCATTGTAACTTGCCTGGGACCAATGAGGTGCAGGATTTTCAGAACTAAAACCAGGGAAGTCCCTGACAAATGAGGACTTGGTCACCTGAGTATCCTCAGGAGAAAAACTCAGTCTTTGTGACAGCATTTGAATCCCTTGATCCAGCCATGCCTGAAGTAAGCCCAGCCCTGAATATTTTATTTATATAAGCCAATAAAAATCCCTCTCTCCTGAATCCAGTAATGGTTGGGAATTCCATCCCTTGCAATAGAAAGACCCTTAAGTAACACTTCACAGGGGCTTTCTCAAACCCACAGAGAATATCAGAATTAACGACTGAAGTGACATTTGGCCTCCCAGGGCTGTGGAGGCACCCACCGCCAGTTTAGCCTGGCGCTCCCGCTCCTTCTCAGTTCTGAAGCGCTGTTGCTCTGCTCTCTCTGCCCGGCGCCGCTCCTGGGGGATGGAAGAGAATAAAGGGGGTGCAGAGACCAGCCCCCCCACTCATCCCTCCCCACCTCAAGCAGGTCAAAAGCAGAGGTTTGAGGATTGGTGGATTTCCAAAAGTATCCTTCAAGCTCCAGAGCAGGGCATGGGGTGCAGGAGGGATGTGGGGACCCCGGGCTCCCCCACTCACAATGCGATCTTTCAATGCAATGAGCTCCTCCTCCTCCTTCTTGCGTTGCTCAAAGTGCACATCAATGAGCGTCTGTAGCTCCAGCAGGTCCTTCTCCATGCGCTTCCTATGGATGTCCTGCAGGAGGCGACCACTGTGACCCTGCACAGAGCACCACCCTCCCCTCCCCCCCACACCTCTGTACAGGGTCACACCCACCCCCCAGCAAGAAGCGATGATTGAGAGTTTCCAGCAGGTGGCTGACATGGGGGACTATTGCAAGCACAGGCTTCCCAAGCCAGAGTGTCTGTTCCAATGGGCCTGGGTTGGGACAGCTGTCACTTACATCGAAGTCCACACGCTCCCCTTCTGGGATCTTGGGGGGGATCAAAGGAGGCACCACAGGACGGCTGTGTGGACAGAAGGAGATGAAGGCCCTCAGCAGGCTGATCTACCTAACCCCAGTGGTAACCCCACACACTGTGCAAAATGACACCCGCATAGTCACCCAGGTGCCTGAGCCCCTGGATGTACTCAGTCCCCGCTGAGCCCAAATGTCAGTAAAACACACAGGGCAGATTCCAAGGACTTGGTGCAAAACAAGAAAGATGTTCACTAAACATGCTTTGGTTTGGGGTTTGGTTTTTTTGTTGTTGTTGTTTATTTGTTTATTTAGTTTGTTGGGTTTTGAGACAGGGTCTTGCTATGTAGTGGTCCTCCACCCCCAGCCTCCCAAGTATGGAATCATGCCCACCCAACATGTTACATGTACGATAACATTTGGATATATTAGGTTGAATAAAATATGCTATGATGAGCCACCTCACGCCTGTAATCCTAGCTACTTGGGAGTCTGAGATCATGAGGATCATGGTTCAAGACCAGCCTGGGTAAATAGTTCTTCAGATCCCATCTCCAAAATAACCAGAGCAAAATGGACTGGAGGTGATGCTCAAGTGGTAGAGCACCTGCCTAGCAGGCAAGAGGCGCTGAGTTCAATCCCCAGTACCTCCAATAACAAATAAAAACCTGGGCTAAGCACACACTTTCCTACTGAGCTACACCCCCAGCCCCTCCTATGCACTTTAAATCATCTGTACATAATTTATCATCTCTAACACTATGCAAATGCTATGCACCTGGGGAACAACAAGAAAAAAATCTGCACATGTTCGGTACATGTGCAATTTTTTTAAGGGTTTTTTTTTTTTTCAGTACTGGGGATTGAGCCCAGAGGCTTGCACCTGCTAGGCAAGTGCTCTACCACTTGAGCCACACCCTAGTCCTTTTGTTTGTATTTTGATTTTGAGACAAAGTCTCAGTAACTTCCTAGGCTGGTCTTGAACTCATGGTCTTCCTGCCTCTGCTCCTGAGTGGCTAGGATTACAGGCGTGTACCACCATGACCAGCTCACATGCAATAGTTTTTGATCTCTCTGATCTGAGGTTGGTGCCATCCATGGATGCTGAGCCTGTGGATACAGAGGCCACTGTACTGAACACACACCAAGTCCATCCCCAGCCCAGACACTTCCTGAACATGTCACACCTCCCACACCCCACACCCCAGTGCAGCTCAGCAGTTTCTGCTAGGTGGAGGGGCATCCACTGTCTATTTTGTTCCTCACATGCTCCCTCCTTTCCCCAACAGCTCAACAATCCCACCTGCTGTTCCTCTTCTGGAATCTCTCCGTTTGTCCCCTCTTTTCCATCCATGGTCCCTTCCCTAACCCAGGCCTCTTTCCCTTGCACCATTCTCCAGCCTCCTTTCTGGCCTCCCTATCTTGTGACTGCCTCTCATTCACCTCTGACTCCAGAGACACCTTCCTAAAACCCAGACCTAACCAGGTGGCTTCTCTGCTCAGAATTTTTCCTCAACTCGGAAGGAAGTTCATGCCCTTCCTTCTCTGGCTGAATCTCCTCTCTTCACTGAGGAGACATTACCTGTCCATGTTCTGTGCTTCCCCACCCCTGGGCCTTTGCACATGCTATGTCTCTGCCTGTAACATCCTTCCTGGACACATGGCACCCCAAGTGGCCTCAGCTGCTCCACAAACCTTCCCTGACCCCCAAGCATGTCTGTGCTCTCTCACAAAGTCAGAGCCTGCACCTCCACTCCTCAAATCCTTTCCATGGCTCCCTAGTACTTGGTCTACCACAGCCCGGCCCCTTGAACCTGATACTCTAGCTACAATGAAATTAGCACCACTGCAAATCTGGGCCCAGGGGATTTCTGCTTTCACTTTTCTCTTGCACTTGGACTGCTGTTTCTTGAATCTCCAAACTTTGGCCCCAGTAGCACCTCCTCCAGGTCTCCTCTCAGCCCAGTGAGCTCCCACAGCCTCCACTTAGGATCTTCGTCATCGCAGGGACCCAGGTTTGTATCTGTGGCCTGGATTGTTTTATACGCAGCCAGGAGGTATTGCATACAACACACGGCTTTCTCTGCTAACAGTGTCACTGCCACTTCCTTCAGGCATCACATCCTCTGGGAAGCATTCATTGATTGTCTTGGTGTGGCATCTGGGCTCTCATCACTGTATCTGAGCTGTGAACAGGGTCTGCCCAGCTGAACACCAAGGGAAGTTCCCTTTGCTGGAAGAAGGCAGGGTTGGCTGTGTTCTCTTTTAGTTCAGTTCCTCTCCTCTGCCTATCTCTGGAGATTGGGGAACCCTTAAGAGAATGCCCAGCTGGGAGCTGGTGGTCACACCTATAATCCTAGCTACTCAAGAAGCAGAGGTCAGGAGGATCGCAGTTCAAAGCCAGCCTGGGCAAATTCACAAGACCCTATCTTGAAAAAAAAAAAATCACCAAAAAGGGCTGGTGGAATGATTCAAGCTGTAGGCCCTGAGTTCAAGGCCCAGTACTGTTAAAAAAAAAAAAAAAAAGAGGCTACCCAATTGGGCCCCCACCCAGACTCCCTTAGGTTCTCACCTGGGTTTGGGGCGCTCCTCTTCTGATGGCAATAGGGGGACATAAAGAGAGAATTATTTCAGGGGGGCCTGACACACCCTGGGGGGAAACCCCAAGCCTTGGTCCCCAGGAGCCCAGGGAAGCACCCTAAAGTCCTGAGCTGGGGGAGAAGAAAAGGGAGAAGGGAAGCTGGGGTGTCCATGAGGGAGGAAGACGGTCACACGCATGAGATATACATTCAGCACTGGTATGGGGACCCCACATACACACTTTCTGGAAACCCAAGAATCCAAACCCTCAGACCCGCCCCCCTATTATATACCCAAAGCTCTGCCCTCCTACATGGAGATGTAACTCAGGGGCGAGCGATTCCCTAGCACGACTTCCATCCCCAGCACCATTTTAAAAAATTAGCAATGGGGGAATCCCAATCCCTCTCTTCATTCAATGACCCCAGAACTCTCTCCCCAGCCCCCTCCACCATTGGAACACAGACTCCCCAATCCTTTCTGCAACCCTAAAGTTCAGACCCCAACCTTTGAATGTATATGGGGAAGAGAAATAACAGACAAGGCCTGGGGCGGAGAGGAGGGGGCGCGGGGCGCCTCTCCCCAAACACCCAACCGGTCCATAAGCACTGCGCCAGGATGGAGCGCCAGGCGTAGGCGCCGGTCCCTTTAAGGAAGGGAAGTGGTTAAAGCCGCGCAGGGCTGTTTCCCTTCACGGCCACGAGGGGGCGCAGAGCCCTCAAGGCTTAAAGGACCACGCGGGGCGGGTTACCCCGGAGCGGAGGAGGGGTGCTGGTGGGGGGCGGGCCGGATGATGTCGGGGTCCTCCGGCCCCCCGAAATCGGTCTCGGGAAGCGAAGCAGCCACGGTTACCTCGCTCTGCCACCGGCTCCGGCTCCTCGGGGGCTGGGAGGGGGTTGGGAGGAGAAGCGGTAGGTTTGGGGGTGCAGGGAGGGGTGCAGCCACGCAAGGGTGCGGGAGGGAGAAGGGAAAAACGGAGAGGTTGTTAAAGGATGGCTCAAGGCCGCGGTCCCCCCACACCCTCCCGCCTTCACCCTGGACCCAAGCACCCCTAGCCCAGACCCACACACACACACACCAGTACCCTAAGTCCAGTTCAAACCTGAAAGGTCCAGCCTCACCTTCCTCCTCCTCCGCAGCCTCCTCTTCTGGAAGGGGTGGGGGCAGGCAAGAGAGGGGTTAGGAGCTCAGTGTGGGGGTGGGGTGGTGGACAAAATAGAACAAGTGGCCAGCGAGTGACCACAGTGAACTAAGAGGCCTGGCCACCCCTCCGGTCCCTGGTTGCAAAGAGATCATGAACACTGCCACTGGCTGTGCCCAGGTCGCACTGGGAGCCCCGATAAGGTGGGCCTGGGGTCTGGAGCGTCCTACTTCCCACCCAAAGTGCCACACCTATTCTAGCCTCCTACAAACCAAGATTCAGGGGCATCCCCCACCCCCAGGCCGTCCCAATCTCCACTCACCTTCTGCCTGCTCCCTGAGGACACCAAAGTGGGGAAGAGACAGAGAGGAGACAGTTAGACAACTGGGGATAAGAGGGGCTCTCCATGGTGCTAGCCCCCCACTACTCCTGCCATCATCACTCACTCCTCATAGTCTTGCTCTTCCGTGTCTGACATCCTGCAGTGACCTAAAGACCAGAGAGAAGACTGAGTTGGGTGAGGTCCCCAAGGAGGAAAAACTGGTGGCCTGGACCCATAGGTCTGAGGGAAGAGGCTGGGGCCTGGACTCCTGAGTCTAAGGAGGAAGGCTGGGGTCTGGACCCCTGGGTCTGGGAAAGGAGGGCTGGGGCCTGGAGCCATGGATCTGAGGGAGGAGATTTGGGTCCTGGACCCCTAAGTCTGGGAGAGGAGGGCTGGGGCCTGGAACCCTGGGTCTGGGGGAGCAGGCTAGGGCCTGGGCCCCTGAGTCTGAGGGAGGAGGGCTGGGGTCTGAGGGAGGAGGACTGGGCCCTCGTCCTGGGAGGGCAGAGCTGAGGGAAGAGAGCAGGGGGCCCAGGCATGGAACTTGGCTCCAGTGTAGCACTAAGGCTGCATGCAGGCCCACCCCTTCACACAGCTGTTCTCTTTTGTCCTGTGACAGATCCAAGGGAACCTGATCTGGTAGGGATTAGGAGGTATTGGAGAAGGACAGTGGCCTGAAGACAATAGCTGCCCCACCCCTGGTGCTATTTTCGGGCATGTCGTAGATGGTGAAACAGAGGACATTTCCTAAGAAGGATTTGAGAAGGGGGGCTTCTGGGACAATTGGGCACACTGTCCCTCTCCTAGCCCAGCCCCCACTTTGGCTGGGGTTCCTTGCACCTGTCTCCTTTCACCTTCACCCTCCTCTGTGGGGAGGGTTGTACACCATCAAAAGCAGCTTCAGTTCACACACCTCATCCGACTCCTAAATACTTAGACTCCCCATCTCTGTGACCCCCCAGGCCTCAAGGTGCCCAGGTTAAAACCCCCAAAATCCTAATATGCACAGCCCCTGAGATTCTGGTGTCTGAGACCAGTACCACCTTATAGCACCAGATTCTGAGAACCCCATTTCACAATAGTCTGGTTATGGGACCAGATACCCTAAAACTACCAGCTCTCAAGACTTCAATACTGAAACATGAAGGTATAAGACCCCTTCCCAAAAAAACCTGGTCCCCAAACTCAGAGATCCAATTCACAATACCCAAGGTTCATACTTCTGATCTATAAGACTTCAGATTCTGATATTCTAACTCCTAAAACCCAAGAGTGAGACCCTTCCCCAGTCCTGATACTCTCAGAGCCCAAGTCCCCAAACCTAACACCTGACTGTTTGAACTCCAAGCCCTCATACCCCTTATTTATGATATTCACATAAATATCTCTGATATTCACAGAGCTTCTCAGGCCTCTGCAATCCTAAAGAGGCACCCCCCAGGTTCTATAACCCACAAATTGTAATACTTTGCCCTTAATCCCAAGTTCTCCCAAAGTCTGAAGTTCCCAAGCTCCCCACTGCCATCTTCACATTCCCCTCCATAGCTCTTCTCCACCTTTCTCCTGCCCCCCAACCTCTCCCAGAACCCTGTTACCTAAGGCTGGGTCCACAGATGCTTAAACCGTAGTATGAGCCTCGCAGCGAGTGTGGCAGCTGACACATCCCTGGGTTTATAGCTGGACACTCAGCCCCGCCCAGGGTCAGAGGAGGGGGAGAGAATTCCTTTGCTCAAACACAAGTTCCCCAGCTCAGAGACTGCCCTGCCAACTCTGGCTCCAGATTCAGGGTCCAAGGACCTCCTGGCTGCTCCAAGATCCTCCCACACCCCCATCAGCGCCACCCTGGAGTCCAGGCTGGGTCAGGCATCCCCACCCCAAGCTCCCTTATAGCACCCAGCGCCCTGTGCTTTCACATTCCCAGGCTGGACACACATACAATCCTTGGTGAATGCTTAATGACAAAAGGAGTACATCTCTCTGTCCCCCCTCTCTGTGTCCCCCTGGGCCTCCATTTCTCTTTTCTTAAGCCATTTCTGTGGTCTGTCTCTTGCCTCCATGGCTTCCATCTGTATATATGTGTCCTCTCTCTGCCTTTGTCCATCTGTCTCCCCCTCCCTACCCCCACCCCTTTGTCTGCCACCAGGATTCCACCCGGGTGACAACAGGCACTAAAGCTGGGAAGCAGGTGTGGGGTGGGGGGAAGGGGAGAGGATGGGGTGTGAACTAGGCTGGTGAGACCTCACCGTGTCACCCCTCCCCCCTCCATTTGACACTGATCTTTTTTGGTATCCTTCTTCCCTCCCTTTCCAGCCAAGCCATGACCTTGAACTCTAGGGAAGCCAGCCCAGAAAACAGGCTTCCTCATCCCTCTGTGCCTCTCAGTACCTCCTTCCCTCATGGTCTCTAACTTTGTGTGTTTGTATCTAGAGTCTCTTTTTCCTCTCTGGCTTGGGTTCCTTCTGCAGCTTCCATCTCTGTTGGGACTTCTCAGTATGTTCTCCACTCTGTGTGGCTCTCCATGGTTTTGTCTCTGCACTTCTGTGGGTGTTTCCGTGTCTTTGCCCCTCTCCATGTCAGTGGCTGTTGGTGGTCACTCTCTCTGCAGTTCCGTCTGCCTATAACTCTGTTTTTGTCTCCCTTTGTCTCTGCATTTCTGTGCCTGGGCCATGTGTCTATCTTTCTAGATCTTTCTGAGTGTCTGTGTCTCTGTACCTTCTTGGGGATCCCTATTATCTATAGCCGCTCTGTTAGTACATCTGTCTGTTTTTTTCTTTTTGCACTACTTTCTTCTGTCTTTTTCTTTCCTCTCTCTTAGGTCTTTGGCTCAGATTCCGTCACTGCATGCCTCTCTGTGTCTCTCTTTTGGACTTGCATGCACTGTGCCCTCTGCAGAGGAGTTAAGAACTCCTCATGTTAGAAGCCAAGCTGGCCTCTGACCCCCCTGTATGGCTTTGGGGGACAGTTTTCCCATCTTTCTCATGCCTAAGACCCAGTGTAGCAGACACATGGTCATTTCCGGCTCAGGGAGAAGCTTTATTTCTCAGGGCCACTCTGAGAGCTGGGTGGAGAGCAGGCAGGCTCAGCCCTCAAACTTTTTCTTACGGCCCTCCATTCCACTCAGTGCATCGATGTTCTTACGCCAGTCTCCCACCTCTCGGTTTTCCTGGGGGGACAGGGTCAGAGGTTAGGGTCTCTTCCTGTCTCCAGCTTCCACATATCCTCCACCTGCCCCTATGCTTGCTGGGCTACTCTACTCCAGGTACCTATTCAAGAATCTGTTTCTGGATCACTTGCCATCCACTCCAATAATCCCACACACTTCCTGTCTCTTTCACTGCATTTCCTGTCTGCTTCCTTACCGCTTCTCTTCCTAGTACACTCCTGTTTTTACCTTCTTTCTTCCCTTATGCACTTCCTGTCTTCCCCATACACTTCCTGTCTTCTTTGGTACTTCGTCACTTCCTATTACTCTTCTGTCATCACTTTTCCACTTCCTGTCTTCCTCACATACTTCCTGTCTTCTTCATATACTTCCTGTCATACTCATACACTTCCGGTCTGCTTCCATACTTCTCTTCCTAGTATACTCCTGTCTTTCCCTTCTTTCTTCCCTTATGTACTTCCTGTCTTCCTCACATACTTCCTGTCTGCTTCTGCACTTCTCTTCCTAGTATACTTCTGATTTTCCCTTCCTTATTCCCTCATGTATTTCTTTTCTTTTTCATGGACTTCCTATAGCCCCCATAAACTTCCTGACTCTGCAACTTTCTCTCTCCCTAATGCACTTCCTGCCTTCCCCTTTCACTTCCTGTCTTTCACTTGCATTTCCTGTGTCCCTCTCATACTACTCATTGAGGACCCTTTACCAGCTGCTTTTCAACTCAATTCCAAGAACAGTTGCCCTCAGGTTAGGCCCTAGAGTCATTATCCCTCACAGCCTTTCCCCCCAGGACCCCCTTTCCTGACTAGCCCACACTCACCTTCTCAGTGTCCTCTTTTTTCACCTGCTTGAGGTGAGCCCTCAGGTCCAAGGACTCCTTAGCCCGGGTCCCAAGCAATGCCTGCATCATGGCATCAGCAGAGATCCGCACCCTTCGCAGAGTGGGCCGCTTAAACTTGCCACGAAGGTCAAAGATCTTCTGGGTCAGATCTGCAATCTGATGGCAGCCATACGGGGAGTGGAGCCCCTCCATCTGCTTCTCCCCAGAACACCACTCTTCTACTCCACACTCTTTTCCTATCCCTTCCCTGCCTTCTAGTACCTAAGCCTCGAACACCCTTCCAGCTCAGGTCCTGGGTTCAGATCTCTAATCCTGGAACTTAGTGCTCTCCCAGATGTGCCCCAGCCTCACCTCTCAAAAATTCTGACACATGATGGTCCAGTGAGGTGTAAATCACAACTTCCTGTCCCCTGCCTGAGCCATTTACCAATACTCAATGCTCCAATCATACAGTTCCACAAACATATTCATGCTTCCTGGGCCTCTGGTCTTATGTGAGCTGTCTCCTTAGCCAAAGTCTATGCATATCCCTGTCCCCACCTCCTCAAGATTTATCATGAATCTCCTGGGATCTGTAACCAAAAGCAGTTGCAACAGTCATCCTGAGATTCCAGTCGGGGAATATCACCCTACCGTAAGGGTGCCAAGTACCCAGTGCTTCCCACCTCTGTTATGTTCTTAGTAACTTTTGCCTCCACATCATATCTCTCTTCATCCACCTTGTCTACCCGGGCGTGGAGCTGTCGGCATAAGTCCTGTTGGAAGAAAATGTGTATTCTGGGGAAAACTAGAGACTGGGACTCCTAAGTCGAGGGAGAAAGGCTGGGGTCTGGACCTCTGGGTCTGAGGGAGGAGGGCTGGACCTGGACTCTTAGGTCTGAAGGAGGAGGGCAGGGCCTGTACTTCTGGGTCTGAGGGAGAAGGGCTGGGATCTGGACACGGGTCTGAAGGAGGAGGACCAGGGCCTGGACTCCTGAGTTTGAGGGAGATCTGGGACCTGGACTGCTGGTTCTCAGGGATGAGGTCTGGACTCCTGGGTCTATGGACGAGGGCCGGGACCCCTGAGTCTGAAGCAAAAGTTTGGAACCTGGATTCCAGAGAAACTACAAATAAAGAGGTCTAGGAGTCAGAAGGCCTGAGAGTTTGGCCATTTATGTCTAGAGGAACCAAATTCTGGATTTTGAGATTGCAGGTGGCTGCCATCTGGACTTGTGCTTTCCCAAGGTCCTTCCCACCATGACACTTCAGATCTTCCTCCTTAACCCTTCCTTGCTCCATGTCATCCTGGCAAAGAACTCTAAGATTTTCAAGAAAACTGCAGTTGAAGCTGAGGATGTCCCCAGGGAGACGAAGCCCTATTTCTGAGCAGAAGGGGTGATACCGCCTCTTGTCCTGAGTCCTTAAGAGATGAAAGACTAGGAGCCTCAGGTCCCAGGCTGGGCAGGAAGCCGTGTCTCCTGAGCCAGTACCTGCAGCTCGGCGAAGCCCAGCCCAGCCAGCTCCAGAGGCGGGCAACGGATGCTCAGAGCGCGTCCTTTCTCTCCGCGCCGCTCCTCCGCCTCCCGCTCCAGCTCCTGCTTTGCAATCTGCAGCATTAGGATCTGCAGAGGAGTTGGTGGACACATCAGGCCCCAGAAGTGGAGGGATTAAGCTCTGCCCGGGTTTTCCGAAGGCTCAGTCAAATCCTTCGTTCCAAAGCTCGGCCCTGCCCCAAGGAAAGCCACGCCTCCAAACGAACAAGCTCCTCCCATCTTCTCACCCACCCGAAGTTCCGCCCCCCTGAGGACATCTTTACCTTCAGCTGCAATTTTCTTGAGGCAGAGATCTTAGACTTTTTCTACCAGGGTGACATGGAGCAAGGAAAGGTCAAAGAAGGACGGGGAGAGATTTGAAATCACTCCCACCCCGTCAAGCAGATTCAGATTCGGGCCGTCCTCGAACTTGAAGCCACGCCCTCTCTGTCCCTTTCACCAATTTCGGGCTCTGATTCTATCTAGGCTCCGCCCATCCACCCCCTAATCAATCCTGTGGACAGCGGAGCTCCGCCCACAGGCAGCTGCTACCAATCCGAACCTGCCCCTGTCTGAAATTCCGCCCCACTGATCTTGGCTCCACCTGCGATCTAAGCCCCACCCCATCGAAACTCTGGCTCCGCCCCAACTTCCCAAGGTGCTGGATTCCAAATCCAAGCCAGCGAAGCCCCGACCAGCTCTGGCCCCGCCCCGCGTTGGTCCCGCCCCACCTTGGCATGCGGTTCGGTAGCATAGGCGCGGTAGTTGGCAGAGGAGCGGCGTCGCACCGGGGGTGGCACGGGTCTGCGTTCCCCAGCCTGGGGGTGAAGGTGTGGGCCGCGTCACCACTGAGAGGCCCCAGTCTTCACCTGGGGCTGCAACCTTCCGCCCCATCCCCCCTGCAGCACACACTCAGCGCTTTAGCCCATAGCACTCACCGCGTCACTGCTCCTGGAGGGGGAGGAACAGGGGAGAAGAGGTTAATGGCGATCTGTATCATGTTTTCCCCCTAAAGGACGCCAGACGCCCTTTTGATAAGTTGGGGCCACCAGCTCCCTCTCCCTCGGGTCCCAGCAATCTAATTCCCAAATTCTTGTCTCATTTCTACCCAGGCGCCCTAACCTCTGCCTCCCCTCTCAGGCCGGGTGTCCACCCTCTTAGCTCTTACCCTCTAAGGGACCCTGGAGATCACCCCCTCTCATACTTCTTCCCTTCGGTACCAAGCTTCACTCACTCGTCAGCCATGCCAAGACTCAGGCCGGGGTCGTGGGAGGCAGAGAAGGAGGCAAGAGATTCAGTGGGGGGGCGTCCGGGGTGACCTTGGAGGTCCCAGGATGTTTTGGTCTCCTCTGGTCTGCTCAAACCTCAATGAGGACACTGAGATAAGGGGCAGAGGACAGAGCCTAAATATACTGCTGTCTCCTCCCCTACCCAGGATGGGAGATAACGGGGGCGCGTGAGGGGCGGGGCGGGCGGAGCTCCAGCTGGATCACCCTGCCACTTTGGTGTCAGGGACACCAGACCCCTCCTGTACACTCAGACAAAGTTCGGTCTCCAACCCCCTTCTCCCTCAAACCCAAGATTCCAAACCCCAGAACCTCCTCCCTCAGACCCTAGAGTCAGACACCCAGCCCTACTCTCTCAAACTCAGGACTCCAGGCCCCAGTCGTCCTCCTTCAAATCCAAGACTCCAGGCCCCATCTCTTCTCTCTCAGGCTCAGGAATCAAACATCCAGCCCTCTTCCCTCAGACCCAGGAGTCCAGATCCCAGCCCTCCTCCCTCAGATACAGGGGTCTAGACCCCATACCTCCTCTCTCAGACCCAGTGATCCAGGTCCCAGTCCTTCACTAAACTGCCATCTTCATAAGAGCTAGAACTTCCTCTCTGCCCCAGCCCCCTCCCTTTTAGGGTCAGTTTCAGGGACCAAACTCATCAACCACTCAATACACATTGTTGATTAGTTTCAGAATGTAGGTGTGGAACCCCAGGCTCTCGGCCTAAGGCATTGAGAAATCCACCGCCTTGGAAACCCAAAAGTCCGGTTTCTGTCTCTATGCCTTCCCCTCTCAGCCCTGGAGACAGACTGTGAACAGGGAAGACTTTCAGACACACAGACAAGAAAGAGGACCCAAAATCTCTTTATTGGAACCACTTGGGAGCAAACCAGGCCCCAGGAAGGAGACCCCACACCCCCAGTTAGAAATGGGGTGCCTGGAGAGAAGAGCAAGAGGTAGAGGCTCTGAGACACAGGGTCAGATCTCTAAACTGGGTTTAGAGGTAGAACTCAGAATTCTGACAGGGCAATCTAGGTTCCCAGGCATAGAATGTAGAATCCCAGAAATGGAATTTGAAATTCTGGCTGTACACCTCTGGGGCACAGAGTAAAAACTAGCATTCTAGCAGTGGGTTTAAAATTATATGCTCTGGTTCTAATCCTGGGACCCGCCTTAAAAATGGGGTGCTTGCTTGGTCTGGGAGGGGGGTGGTTCAGTCAAATTGTAGTTTTGAAAGCGGACTCACTATGGGTATGGACAGAATCTCTCCACATAGGGCCCTCCTAGAGTGGACCTTGAGACTCTGAGGAACACTGGAGGATTTAGGGGGGTGGGGCTCGACCTTCTGGAGAGGGGCCAGGTCCTACTTGGTCAGGCTCATTGCTTCTGGAGGCGGGGCCAGATTCTCCTGGGGCGGGCTCATTGCTTCTGGAGTCTTGTCCAGATCCTGGTTTATTGCTCCTGGGGGCTTGGCCAGGTCCTCCTGCTGCGGCCTCATTGCTCCTGGGGGCTTGGCCAGGTCCTCCTGGGGTGGGCTCATTGATTCTGGAGATGGAGCAAGGATGTCACAGGTTTGATGTCCGGATTTCACAGCTGGGTCGACGCTGTCCTGAGCAGAGTCCCCCGACTTGTAGAAGCGCGCGAAGGTCTCCGAGGGGCTGGCCCCAGTCTGCGGGGCAAACCCAGCCGCCTGCGCTAGCTCTCCTACCCGGGAGGAGAATGCCTGCAGCTGCTCAGGCCGCAGGTCTACCAGGTACCTGGAGTCGGGAAATGGCCTGTGAGCAATCCGGCTTTAAACCCAGCCCCATCTTCCCGCCCTTCCTTCCGCTGGCTCACCGGGCTAATTCTACAACCAGGTTGCCTCCAGGGGCCACGCAGGCTCCAAGTTCAGGGCTGAGAAGATGGACCATCCTGCAGAGAGGAAAGGGGAGGGTTTAGGATACTGGCTCCTCAGGGGTGTCGGGGGTGGGGACCTAGAGGGGAGGGGGCGGGGTAAGGCTGCGATGCAGCAGTCCTGGGTGGGAGGAGGGAGGGGCTGAGGCCGGTCCTGGGGCTCTGTCCTCCTTACCCACTGGCGACATAGAGAAGCTGGAACCGGCCCTGGTAGCAGTCCTTATGGTGAAGAGTCTGAGCAGAACCCAAGGATAGGAAGTGGACTGTGAAGAATTCCTGAGTGGGCACTGCTGGGAAAGAGCAGAAGGGGGTCATCTCTGGATGGTGGGGCAATGAGGGGCCGAAACTCAAAGGGACAGACAGAGATATGCAGTGCTGAGCATAACAGTCTGGCCTAGAACTCATGACTTTGCCTCTGCCTGGAATTACAGAGGTGTACCACAAGGCCTGGCCCTTGTCCTACACAGCCACTCCACCAACCTTTTTTTGTGATGGGTTTTTTCGAGACAGGGTTTCATGAACTATTTGCCCAGGCTGACTGGAAACCTCCATCCTCCTGATCTCTGCCTCCTGAGCAGGATTACAGACAAGAACTACCAGCACCCACTTTGGCCCTTGTCCTTCTTAAAAGGCCCCTTTCATTTTTTTCTCTGGGGTGAATTCCTGCAAAAAGAGCCTGGGAAGGTCAGCCCAGGAGGCAGGCATGTACCAGCAGCAACTGAAACTCAAAAAAAGAAAGCAAGTGGGTGACCTAGGGCCACACGGGGCATCCTCTGTAGAAGGAAACAGACCCAGGGAGGGTCAGGTGAGGGAACGGTTAGAGAGGGGCACAGCTGGAATCCAGGCAGGGGAGGGTGTTTAAAGGGGAGCTGGATAGTTAGCTCCCTGTTAGATGTCAGCAGCAAGCTGAGAATTCTACTACTGGAATTCACAATCCTAAGGATGGTGCCAGGGTTTAGGAAAAAGGAGAGAAACACAAAGGAAGAAAAAAGAGACAAATATAAAGGAGAGGTCACTTGCCCAGCATCCCAAACCAGCTCCATCCACCCTTGGATTTGAAGACTGAAGTTCTTCAACCTGGAGACCGAAGTCCCCTTACCTGAAGCGGATGGCTCAGAGCTACCCTCTGGGATCCCCTGGCCGGTTCTGGGGCGCCCCCAGGCGGCCACCTCTCGTAACAGCTCTGTCACATTGTGCTGCGTGATCTCACCAGCGGTCTGGGGAGGAGAGAAGGGGCGTGGGCAGACGCTGCAACTAGGCTGTCGGGGACGGAACTTACAGTCGGTGGGGATGGGGCAGCTAACTCCCAGGACTATGATTCCCGGCATTCTTGCATTCCCAGGGCTGGTTTAGGACAGAGCCCACAGAAGGGCGCGGCCCAGGATGCTGGGGGCAGAACCTGTTACTTGGATGGAGGCGCCTCCCTAAAACTAGGAGTAGGACCCCTGGGCAGAGGGGGGAGCCTGGAAGGCGGAGGGCAGGGTACAGGCCCCCAGCACCAGCATTACCCAACCCACACCTTAACCGGCTGTCCATTGTTGGTCCGCAGGAGGCTCTGGTCGTCTGTCTCGATGCCGAAGGCCACGAAGGGCCCTGTAGCAATGTCCCCCCAGTACCCACGCGCTGCCACTCGCTCCCCATGCTGGAAAAGCAGGGAGACAAGAGGCAGGTGGAATTCATTTGGGGACCCTGACTCCTGGATCCTTAAAAAACAGGAGTAGACCAGGCCAGGCAGTGGACACCCACGTGGCTCAGGAGACGACCAGACGCCAGGGTCCTGTTGGGCAAGTGGTAAGCGCAGGAGTCTCTTAGTTCAAAGGCTACGCCTGTGTCCCGCCAGCGTCGGAATTCATGGGTGTGGATGACTTGGGCCTAGGGTAGAGGTGGGGAAGCAGAGAGGCCTAGGTGGACCTGGCATGCCCTCCTCCCTCAGGTCATGTCCAGGACATGGGCTCCCAGCCCCCAGCCCCCTTACCCCGCGGTCGTGCAGCTTCATGCGCAGGTCCCAGTCGCTGACACCGCGCCTAGGCATCGTAGCGCGAGCCCAGGTAGTGGCGCAGCCGCGAGTCCCAGAGCCGGCTCATGGGGAAGGCCTCGGGTCCCTTCTCGCCGCCAGACCAGAAGCGGAACACGGCCTCTAGAGCGTCCCGCTCGCGGAACTGCGTGGCCAGACAAGCGTGGAGGGAGAGATGGGGAGTGAGGCATGCACAGAGAGCGACTTCTCCCGCTCAACCCCTCCAACCTTCCACCCAGGAGGTGGGAAACTGAGGCTCTGGGAGAAGAAACCACCCCCTACCCTAGTCGGAAGGGCTGGGATACGAACTCCCGCACCCCAGCCAGCTCCATCAACGTGAATCCTTTGGACCACCCATTTCCATTCTCCCGATCCCGGACAGAGGCGGGCAGGAACGGCACCTTGAGCGGGCCGAGACTGAGCCAGGGAAGATGCTCTGCCAGGCGGTCGGGCTCCGGGACCAGGTGCGCCAGGTGGCCGGCCTGGGCGCGCACGAAGGCGGCCACCTGGGGGCGCAGCAGCGCGTTCCCCCACAGCTCCAGGAAGGTCTCGCTCCGCTCTGGGGGGAAGGGGAAAATAACTGGGGGGCGGGGAGGAAGGCCGAGGATTGAGCCCAGAAATCAGACCCTTACTTCGTAGTCACATAGTGTGCATAAGGAACCCATCTTGGTAACTACAACAAGAAGAATAACTTATTCCCTGAATCTAAATTTCATGTTTAAACGTCCCTCGTCTTTAAAATAGAAAAAGGTGAGCTCTAGATTTACCTACAGGTGAGATATACGTGTATTTTAAAATGTTGAGTTGCAGATTAGCTCAGTGACAGAGCACTTGCTTAGAATACGAGGTTTGATCCCCAGCACAAAAAAGGAAAACACAAAAAGTCATAGTGCTAAATCATTTCAGCTTAGTTTAAGAATCTTTCTTTGGGTTTTTTGTTTGTTTGTTTGAGACAGGGTCTTGATTGAAGGCCAGGCTGCACTGAGAATTCAAGATTCTCCAGCCTCAGCCTCCTTAGTGCTGGCAGTGCAGGCATGTCACACCACACCTGGCTCTTTAAGAACTTCCTAAACCGGGTGCAAGTGGCTCACACCTGTAATCCTAGCTACTCAGGAGGCAGAGATCAGAAGGGTTCCAGCCCAGGCAAATAGTTTGTGAGATCCTATCTCAAAAATACCCAACACAACACCAGGCTGGTGGAGTGGCTGTCTAGCAGCTATGAGGCCATAAGTTCTCAGTACTGTAAACAAACAAACAAAAAAAAACACCTTATAAGAAAGAACTGTGTACCTTTACATATTTATATATGTGATAGTTCTATATAGTTTCATTTTATACTTATGTCTATATAAATTGTTTCATTTTAGTTAAGAACCTTATAAAGAAAGCTATATGCCTTTAGTTACATTAGTTTAGTTCTAGTTGTTTAAGATATTTAAAACATGCTGGCCAAAAGGGGCTCATGCCTGTGATTCTAGCTACTCAGGAGACAGAGATCAAGAGGATCACAATTGGAAGCCAACCCAAGCAAATACTTCTCCAGACCCTTTCTCAAAATTACCCATTACAAAAAACGGCTGACACAGTGGCTCAAATTGTGGAGTACTTGCCTAGCAAGTATGAAGCCTTGAGTTCAAACCCCAGTACCACCAAAGGAAAAAAAAAAGAAATTTAAAATAAGGCATATTGTGCACTGAATTTCCTATGTTATTAATGGCAATGACCATGTATAATCATGATAAAAATAATTGCTCAAATGTACTGAGCTGATGGTATAAACTAAGCACTATGCACTTTTCACCGAATCCTCACAAGAAAGGAACTTTTAGGATTCCTGTTTTATAAATGTAGAAATGAGACCCAGAAAAGGGTAGATTCTAGCCCCAGGACACACAGGAAGCAAGGCAGGATCTGATGGCAGCCTGTGTGAGCAGAGGCTTTGCTCCAGGGACCAGGCTGAAGTTGGTCCCAGGAAATGATCACTTTCTGCCTCCCCACATCTGGGGGACTTGACACCTCAGAGAAATCTCCTGATCTCCTTTGTCCTTCTCCCATGGAAGGTTTTGGGTGTTTACATGGTGTCATACACTGTTCTGAGAGTTCCCTGAGATTTTCTCTTACAATCCTATGTGGCTCTACTGATTTACATGTGGGAAAAGGTAAAACCCTAAGATTTCAAATGATGAAACAGGGGACAATAATCAACGCACTTTGTTGTTTTGGTTTGGTTTTGGTTTTGGCAGTACTAGGCTTTGCACTTGCTGGGCAAGTGCTCTACCACTTGAACCCCAATCCCAGCCCTTTTTTGCTTTAGCTTATTTTTCAGGTAGGCCTAGGGCTAGCCTCAGACTATGATTCTCTCAACTTTCCCTCCTTTGTAGCTGGGATTACAGGCATGTACCACCACACCCGGCTCAAAGTTTTTAAGCACACTGTTGAAAGGCCTCCCCTGTAGGGAGCGAAACGTAACTGGAGTCAGAACTCCTGGGTCCTAGTAACTGACCTTGGAGCCCCATCTTCTCGGGCTCCTCCAGGGCTAGGCTGAAGATCAGCATGTGTCGAGCCACAGTTTCCAGATTATTCTCTAGCACATAGAACTGGAAGGATGAACAGGGCAGAACAATTCTGAGACCTGCATCCTGGTCCCTTCCTTCCACGGACCTAAGAATCCTTTACGCCAGTCTTCCACCACCCCCTCACCCCCCACCGCGACCCCCACACCCAACCACAGGAATCTGAGCCCTCAGAACCTTCCTCCTTCCCACCAATACCAGAGGCCGGATCCTCAGGCTTTTCCTCCATCTGAAACCCAGGAGTCTCCAGCCCCTTGCTACCCAAGACCATGGGTTCCAGCTCCCAGTTTCCACTCCTCCAGATCCTGGAGTCCAGGCACCAGCCCCTTTGTCCTTGGACCTAGAGTTTTTAAATTCCAACCCCTGTTCCCTGTAGGACTCGGGAATCTGGGCTCTGAACTTCATCCTCCTCCTTCCACACCCCAGAATTCCAGCTCACGTTGAACCTCCTTCGAGGCCAGAGCGCAGCCCGGGCCAGGGTCCGCAGCAGGTGTCGCCCATCCACGGAGCCCAGCAGCAACACGTCCAGCTCGGGGGTCTTGTGCGCTGTATCTGCCTGACAGTTCGGATCCAGAGGAGGACCTGGCAAGACGACAGCGGTGTGGGGCTGGTGGCCATCAGAGCGTCCCCTGCCGCGTCTCCTAGAACTACAGACACAAGTCCAGCAGGCCTCGCCCTGGGCTTGGGTTCCAAAGGCAGCAATGCCTCTTCTGGATTTGCAAGTCTTCAGAGAGGACTCCGAGGCGCGCCCCCTGCTGTTGAACTGTGGAAAATGTTGGCACGGCCCCTGCCATGGATGCTGGGCCTAAAGATCCTATGGGCGCCCTTTGTCTCAGACCTTGTGTGGTCCTGGGAACTCACTTTCAGCTTGAAGGTCCAGCGCCGGGGACAGGCCCCACCAGGACACCGAGCCGAAGCCCGTGCCGGAGCCCGCAGGCGTGGTCATCGCCCTGCGAAACAAACATCCTGGGAACTCCACTCTGGTACACCACATTCGTCTCTCACCGCCCCTCACCTCTCGTCCCTCTCACCTTTATCCTTCCAAATACACCAGGATGGTCCCCTCTGTCCCTGTCGCGTACTGTGTGCGGGACCTTGCCTCAGTTCAACTGCTACCCAGAGGCCCGCCCCTTTTGACCAATCAGCCAATAGGAGCATGCAGGATTGTACTGTAGCGATCATCTAACCAATGAAGGTGAAGATGACCAGCCCATTAGGAACTTTTGGCCAATAGGAACGCAGAGGGACGGCCTGCAAGGCGAGCCAGAGAGGAGCTTGAGGACGCGGTTGTCGTGACAACGGGGCGGAGGCGAGACGGGATCTGGGGCCGTGGCATTTCTGGGACGATCTGGTGGGCTGCTTCACATTAAGACAGAAATGAACGGAATCCTGATGAATCCAAAATGACAGTACTTTTTGGGGGGGGGATAGGCGTGGTACTGGGGTTTGAACTCAGGGCCTCACGCTTGCTAGGCAGTCACTCTACTACTTGAGCCATTCCACCAACCCTCTGATGTACCCAAAATGAAGTGAGGTGGTCTAGACTTCAGACTGCAGATCTCTGTTACCTTTGCCTTCACACCCTTGGTCTGCCTTAACGCAAGCCTTCTAACCAGGTGGAAAACAGGACACCTGCTCTTCTATAAATTTTCAGGAATTTTGCAAGTGGGTTGCTACTTATACTCGCTATTGAAGACTAAACTCCGGCTGGAGGTGTGGCTTAAGTGATAGAATGCCTGCCTGGGAAGCGCGAGGTCCTGAATTCAAACCCCAGTATACCCTTCCCCCAATTAAACACTGTAATCATACAATTAAATATATTACGTTAAAATAAAGGTTAAAAATAATCAAAATTTATGACTTCCTGTTTTGCTATATTTTGCTACTATGGATACTCTTGAATTATTTGCATTTATACTATTTTTAGGTCTGGGAGGCGTAGCTCACTGGTCAAGCACTTGCCTAGCATGTAAAACCCATGGGTTAGATCCCAGCACCGCAATGTATATACACGTATCGTATATACTACGGAATATTAAAGTTACTAAATTTATATCTGTAATCTAAGTACAACACAAAAAATCAAATCAATAAATTACAGTTACTGCCTGGCTGTTTGTATAAATAAGTTTTGTTAGAACTGGGGTCAGGATTCTGGTGAGGAAGTTGTGTAAGTGCACGGTCAGAGCCCATGTTTAATTTTTTTTTTTCAGTACTGGAGTTTGAACGCAGGGCCAGTTCACCAGCCTTTTTTGTAATGGGTTTTTTTGAGATAGGGTCTCGTGACTGTTTGCCTGGGCTGGCTTCCACCCACGATCCTCTTGATCTCTGCCTTCCGACTAGCTAGGATTACAAGAGTGAGCCAACTCCACACAAAAAAATTTTTATATTTGGACTGAGGGGGAGAGACAATGGGGGCAATGTAAATAATGTACAATATGTCTAATTGGAATTGTCACTATGAATATCCCCTGTGTAATGAGTATAACCTAATAAAAATTTATAATAATAATAAAAAAGAAATATCCTAAAGAGTGTTTATATTTTATCCTGTAAGTTTTTTGGTATTAATTTTTTTTTTTTGCTTTGAACTCAGGGCCTACACCTGGAGCCACTCCACCTGCCCTTTTTTTATGAAGTATTTTTTTTCAAGATAAGGTCTCTCAAACTATTTGCCTGGGCTGGCTTTGAACCTTGATCCTCCTGATCTCTGCCTCCTGAATACCTAGGATTACAGGCATGAGCCACCAGTGCCAGGCAATTAATTTTTGAAGCAGGGTCTCACTATGTAGACAAAGCTGACCTCTAATTTACAATCCTCCTACCTTCATCCTCTGAGATTACAGCTGTGTATTGCCATGCCTGCCTGGCCTTAAGTTTTCATTTAAAAAGAATACTGCAGCACATATGAATAAAATAAAAATAAAAAATAAAATAAAAATAAATGTTCCCAAAAAAAAGAACACCGCACTATAAGCATGGTGTAAGCCAGGCACCGTGGCTCACACCTGTAATCCTAGCTACTCAGGAGGAAGAGATCAGGAGGATCATGGTTCAAAGCCAGCTCTGGCAAATAACTCATGAGACCCTATCTGGAAAAAAAAACCATCAAAAAAAAAAAAAGGGCTGGTGGAGTGGCTCAAGGTATAGGCCCTGTGTTCAAACCCCAGTACCTCAAGAAAAAAAAAAAAAAACATGGTGAGGTAGATGCAGGAAGATATTGAATAAAAGGCTAGCCTGGACTGCATAGTGAGACACCGTCTCAAAAACACAAACAATGGGGGTGCTCTAACCAATGTACAATATAAGCACATTTGGAATTGACAATATGAATCCCCCCTGTGTAATGAATATATCCTAATAAAAATTATATATATAAAAAAACCTAAACAAGCCAAGCATGGTGGCTCACACCTGTCATCCTAGCTACTCAGGAAGCAGAGGTCAGTAGGATCAAGATTCAAAGCCAGCCCAGACAAATAGTTCACACCCTATCTCGAAAAATACCCAACCAAAAACTGACCAGCAAAATGGCTCAAGTGTTAGAGTGCAAGCTTAGCAAGCATCAGGCCCTGAGTTCAAACTCCAATACCACCCAAAAAAAACCACAAAAAAAAAAGACTCTATCTGAATAACTAAAGCAAAAAGGACTGGGGCTCAGGTGTCTAAACACTTTCCTAGTAAGAACAAGGCCCTCAGTTCAAACCCCAGTACAACCAAGAATAGATAGATAGATGATGTCTAGATAGATAGATAGATAGATAGAGAGAGAGATAAATAGACTTCTAAATGATGATAGATTATGTAGATGATTGATAGGTTATTGATGATTGATAGTTGATTGATAGGTAGACAAATGATAGATAAATAGATTGATAGACATCTAAATGATAGATAAACAGACATCTAGATGATAGATTAGATAGACAGGTAGATGGATCAACAGATCGATTGATAGATTAGACTGATAAATTGATTGATAGATTAGATAGATTGATTTATTGATAGATAGATGATTAATAGATGCATATAGACATCCAGATAGATAGATAGATAGATAGACAGATGCAGACATCCAGATGATTGATAGATTAATTTGTAGATAGATGATTAATAGATAGGTAGACATCTAGAAGATAGATAGATAGACAGACAGACAGATAGATAGACCTGAGGAGCTCCTGCAGTGCTGTGCTAGGAGGCCTGTCTTCTTTTTTTTGTGGTACTGGGGCTTGAGCTCAGGGCCTCACGCTTGCTAGATACTAGGCAGGCACTCTACCACGTGAGCCACTCCACCAGCCCAAGGCCTGTCTTCTCAATTCTACATTCAGTGACTTCACATTGGTGACTTGTAATCAATTCTGGCAGGACTCCAGGGTGTAAGAAACTTGGTAAGACAGGAGAAGTGCACCAGGTCCCCTCCAGGCACTGTTCCCTCCTCTAACACCCTCCATCGCTCTTCCCCCACTCTCCAGCCAAGTCCTGCTGCACTTCCAACTTTCCACTGAGTGTCTTTGCAGCAGGATGGCCACTGTCCATTGCTTCATCTTCAGGGGACCAGACAACAGGACACTTGATAGTGGTCTTCGGTGTCAGGTATGCCTGGATCTACATCCTGACCCAGTCTCTTGCTGGCTGAGCTGCCTCGGCCAAGTGACTAACCTTGCTGAGTATCTCAGCGTTAATCATGTCTGCCACAGAGAATGGAGATCAGGGAAGAAGCCCTGAGGAGCTCAGGGCCTGGCACTGGGCAGTTCTCCATGGGTTGTAGTTGATGTCATTACTGCTTAACTGTGGTCCTGAGCCCCCTGTGAGGCAGGGGCTTTGTGAGACACATCTCCCTCTGCCCACAGCAGCCTAATTCCTGGCTCTGTCCAGGAAGGCCTAATGCCTTTCATTCCCGTTACCACACTCCCACCAACATGTGGAGGACCCAGAGTGACTGTGAAACAAATCAAACCATGATAACTCTTACAATCCTCATGAGAATGTATAACTCTCCAAGGTGATGGTGACCATAAGAGGCCACTTCACTATATGGATATCAACACATCATGTCAAAGCCAGGCATGGTGGTATGCGCCTGTAATCCCAGCACTCAGGAAGCTGAGGCAGGAAGATCTCCAGTTCAAGACCAGCCTGGGCTACACAGCAAGACCCTGTCTCAAAAAAAACCAAAAACAAAATCATGTTGTACACCTCAAATATATACAATACAAAATAAAATACAATATAAAATTTTAGGATAAATTCAGAATAGTGCATAAATTGCCTAAAAAGAAAAAGAAGGAAAACATAATAAATATTGTTCAGGAAAGATTTTGATTGATTTTTTTTCCAAGTTACAAAATGTCAACATATCTGCTAGGTTCTAGTGTCTCACACCTATAATCCTAGCTACTCAGGAGGCAGAGATCAGGAGGATCGAGGTTCGATGACAGCCTGGGCAAATAGTTTGTGAGATTCTATCTCAAAAATACACATCACAAAAAAGGGCTGGTGGAGCGGCTCAAGCGCCTGCCTAACAAGTGTGAGGCCCTGAGTTCAAACCCCAGTACCACCAAAACAAAAAAAAAAAGTCTGCATATTTTTATGGAAAAGACTTAGCCCCTTCACCAAAGCAAACCAGTTAGAGTTAACCTGTGTATTAATTTTACTTGTAGCTAGATGAGGTGGCTCACACCTGTAATCCCAGCTATGTGGGAAGTGAATGAGAAAATCTAAGTTTGAGGCCAGCCTGGGGAAAAAGTTACTGAGCCAAAAAAAAAGAGCTGGGGGCATGGCTCCAGTGGTAAGGCACCTGCCAAGCAAACCCCAGTGCCACAAAAAGAAAAAATTTTTCTTTTACTTGTTGGCAAAATGCAGAACTGCCCAATTAGAACCACTGGTGGCTCACACCTGTAATCCTAGGAGGCAGAGAGTACTCAGGAGGCAGAGATCAGGAGGATTGTGGTTCAAAGCCAGCCCAGGCAAATAGTTCATGAGACCAAATCTCAAAAAAAAAAAAAAAAAATCACTAAAAGGGCTGGCAGAGTGGCTCAAGGTGAAGGCCCTGAGTTCAAGACTCAGTATCAAAAAAAAAAAAAAAGAATAAAACAAGTATTCATCATAGCTTATGTTAAGCAAATATTATCACTAGTGCTGAGTCCTAAGGTGGTCCTGTGGGAGTTGTTCCCTCATCAGCATTAGAGGGTCATGTGAACTGTGAGCTCATGAATGTTGATGTGGACACCAAATTGTTCTCCTCCAAGATCAAAGTTAAACACTGTAAACCCAATGATCAATTGTAGCAGACCAATGGAAAAAAAAAAGTTAAGTGCTTTGTAGAAACAGGAAATGCAAAATAAAACAAAGCACCTAAAAGCCCTCCTGGAGCCTGTCACCATCCCCAGGAAAACTCCCATCTCCTTAGCTGCCTCCCAGGCTCTGCACGATCTCTCTGGTCAGCCACACCACACAACCCTCTTGTCCTCCCCTCCAGCCACACTGGCCTCCCGAGCCTGGAGAACCCAAGCTTGCTCCTGCCTCAGGGTTCTTGCAACTTGGGGGTCCTTCTGCCTGGAATTCTCTACTCTTTCATTTTCATCATTATTATTATTATAGCATACACCGGGCACAATGCCTGGATTTCCATCAAGTCTAGGAGGAAGGGGAGTGTGTGATACCATGAATTGTATGCAGTACATTCAACCATCACATTACCTTCATCCAGAACTTTTTTTTCCCCCAGTGGGACTGGGATTTAAACTCAGGGCTTCACATTTGCAAAGCAGGCACTCTACCACTTGAGCCACACCTCCAGTTCATTTTGCTCTGGTTATTTTGGAGATGGGGCGCGTGTCTCATGAACTATTTGCCCAGGCTGGCCTTGAACCAAGATCCTCCTAATCTTAGCCTCCCCAGTAGCTAGGATTACAGGTGTGAGCTAACAGCAACCAGCCAGAACATTCTTATCACCCCAAACTGTAACACCATGCCTTCTGCCCACTCACCTCCCATTTCTCTCTTTCCCCCTCCTTGCCACCCCTTGGTCACCACTAACTTATTTACTGTCTGTCTCTATGGATCCTTCAATTCTGGACATTTCGTGTAGATGGAACTGGACAGTATTGCAGCCTTTATGTGTGGCATCTTTCTCTAAGAACACTAATTTGCAGATTCATCCATTTCATGCTGAAGCATAAATTAGTACTTCATTCCTTTGGTGGGTAAATAATATTCCACTGTGTTTCTCCCATGTGTTTGCAAGTTTCATTCCTCCTTGTCATTCAAGTCACAGCCCAAACCTCATGTTCTCAGAAAGCCTGCCTCTGGCCACAATTTCTATACTATCTCAGCCCTCACTGAGGGCTGGTATGGATGGCTATGTGTAATTTTCTTTTTTATTGGTCTGCTTTGTTGTTGAGATAGAGAACCAGAGGTCCCTATGTCATTGTCTAAATTAGAACCAGTTCAATCCCATGATTTAAAGACAGTCTTCTTGACTATATGATTATGAGCACATTAATTCTCTGGCCCTAATTTGCAACTGGGAATAAAACTTATGTTTATTTCATGAGGTGGTTGTGAGGGTTTTTACTGACAGTGGTAGCAGTAATAATACATAGTCTGTCTTCATAAGGATACCCCACCCTCACACACATGAAAAATTACAGCATTCATTTGAGTAAATTTTTAAAAGTCTCATAGACATCATAACCCATGATGATCTGGGTTTATGATCAGACTTCCCCTTTCTCATTAGCTACAAGGAAGCTCTGGGGCAAGTTTATACTCTGCCCCTTTTCTAGTTCATAGGAGTACTTTTTGCCCCATTTTCCACCTCAGAAGCTCAGAAAGCTTCCTTGCCAAACTGCATAGAACTTTGTTCCCCCTACCCCAAAGCCTATTAGGATGAGATGAAAGAGAAGCCAATGAAATAATTATTTTCCTAGAAACAAACTGGGAGGCAGAATCTGTTGTAAGAAGAATGAGGTGAAATTGGAATCACTGGCTTTGCCTGAACGAATAACTATTCTTTCTCCCAATCTCTGGAGATTGCAATCTGAAACTATAAACTCTGGTTCCCTGATGAGAGTAAGTCACTCAGGGTAGGGTCTGTATTTGTTTCTTATCTGGGAACACAACCTCTTAACAGAAGCTGATACATAGACCTCCGGGAAGAGGGAATGGATGGATGATTGAAGGAAAGAGAAAGGGAGGAGGATGCAAACTGATTATGAAAACCTATGTGACCCTGGATGAGGCAGGGAATTTCCCCTGACACAGCAAGCTCACAGCAGGTATTTCACAACTTTTTCAGATGAGGAAACTGAAGCTCAGGGGCTGAGTGAATGAGTAAGTGGAGGAGGGGATGAACTTCTGGGCAGATTGCTGCCCTGGTGCTCTTCATGCCTGTACATGAGGTTCCCTCTTGGACCCCCCAGTCCCTGCCTGCCCCCATCAAGGAGCACAGGCCATGCCTCCCAAGTCAGGGGCTGTGGATTTATTTGATCCCAGGAGCAGTGCAGGGGTGGGAGGGGTACTGAGTGGAGAAAGCAGAGGGTGGGACCCTGGTAGGGGGAGACCAGACCCTTTCCCTACAAGGGGTCCCTGGAGTTTGTGGGTATGTGCATGGTGGGGGGAGGGGTTGGAAAGTTGTCCCTAGTGACCAGCATAGTGGCAGTGAGAAGGCAGGAATGGGCCAGCCAATAGGGGAGTGGGAAGGAGCTACTGGGGAGAGGCCTGAAGGTAGGACTGGGCTGGGCTTGGGCCAAGCTCTGGGGTCTGGGGTCAGGTGCTTAGGGGAGGGTATCAGGGTGCAGGTGGCGGCCTCGCTCGGTCAGGTGGCGGCCTCGCTCGGTCAGGAGGCCGCAGGGAGTGCCACTGGGCGATGGGCCGCCGGGGGTTGGCCAGCATATCAGCCCAGTGTCGCAGGCCAGCCCCACCAGCTGCCGCTCCCACCGCCACCCTCCCGATGGCTTCGTTCTTGCCCAGCTTGTCATAGTCCAGCACTGTCAGCTCCACCTGGACCTTCTGGGGTGGATGGGAGGAAAAGGAGACAGGAGGGTGAGGGAAGGAGGCATGCAGAGAGGGGGCTCAGGTTCCCCTGCTAAAGACATCTCCCTGTGACCATACTTCGGAGGGCCCTTGCTAGAGGAGCTCGAGGTAGGGGTGGCAGGTGGAAGGGACAGATGGAGCCTGGAGCCCGCAGTGAGAAGACATTCTGGAGCTTTCTAAGGTGATAAACCCTAAGACCCCACTGCTAAGGGGCTGCTAGAGCCTCTTCAGGGAACAGCCCTCTCAGAGGAGCAAATCTTCAGGACTGACATGGGTGCAGGGCCCAAGCCTCAGGCCTGGACAGGCCAGGTCCCTAAAAGGGTGAGGGGAAGTCTCTTTAGTAACCTGTCCTTGAGGGGTGCGGCATCCTGTCCTAAGGGGCAGGGCATCCTGGTCCTAGGGGGAGGGGCATCCTGGTCTCTCTTAGAGGAGAAGGTATCCAAGCCTAACTTTTAGAAGACTCTTCCATTAGTGATCTGGGCCTCCTGATCCTCACTGGAGAAAATAGACTGACAACATAACCCCAGAACCAACCTTGGTTTCTAGGGTGATGCTAAAAGTCTTCCTTCTGCTTGGAATAAGGCTTCCCAAGGGGCCAGGGGCTCTGTGGAAAGGCTATTTTAGCAGAGGCAGGGGACAGGCCACAGCTCACCTGGACTTGGTCACAGGGCACCTCAAAGCTGAAGGCCTCATTGTAATAGGGGTTAAGAGTGTTCTTCTTGATGGTGGTTTTCTTCTTTCGTACCTTTTTGCCACCCTGCAGCAGGTGGACCTTGACATAGGGATCTAGGGAAAGGGAGAAGTAGTCTTTTGGCCCCGCTGCAGAGTTCAGGGGGATTAGACTGTCAGAAATGAATGAGGACTCTCTTTGAGCCTTCTTAACGACCCTCCATACCCCTCAGGTGCACAAATCGAACCTCCTATACCCTCCCACCACAGCCTGAGACTCTGTCAACCCCAAGAGACCCCCAGAGCAGCTAGCAGTACCTTAGCGAGAACCTCCCCTCCCCGTCCCACCCTACACCGCATGTCTTTGCTTCCCACATACCTGATAGTCCTCCTACATCCATCTTTTTCAGGTTTTTAGCCTCCAGGACGATGACGGTGAGCTTCCCGGCCGTGGGGACATAACGGAGAGAGAAGCAGATGTCCCCTAGTTTCTCCTGCTGAAAGAGGGTATGGAACCTGTCACTAGAACCTGGGCTCCACATCCATCCTCTCCTACCTTTCTTTCCTCCCCACGCCTTGGAATTGAATGGTCCAGAATTAACCACCTGGTTATCAATCTATTTCTTGGAGCCAGCCCTCTGAAACAGGTGCAAGGGCTGCAGCCCTGAGGGTTTGGAGGCCCTGTGATCTGATTGGCCCAGGGTTGCGATGGGCGGGGCCTAAGGGGGTGGGTCTAGGGGCAGGGCCAAGCATAGTCACCTCCTCCTTCGGAGTTGCCTGCAGCTCCCGCCAGGCCTGCACCGGCCGCCCCAAGTCCACCGAGCTCATAGGGACCCGCACCTCCCCGATGGCATCGTTGCGGGAGAAGCGATCGAAGTCATACACCGCCATGACCAGCACCCTGCCCCCTAGCTCCACATACGGGACCTGAGCGGAGGACAACCAGAGAATACAAGGTCGAGGTAGGATCAAAGAGAAAGAGAGGTATAGTATATTCAGATGAAAGGGGTCAAGTGGGCCAATGAGGGTCCAAAGGGAACAGGTTAGGGGGGGTAAAAATGGAACCCAAATCACAGAGCCCAAGGGCCAAGGCAACAGACAGTTCTAGGGTCAATAGTGCCCCAAGGGGACAATTCAAGGTTCTGTGCAATACCCTCAGAGCTAGTAGATACTATCTGAGCTATGGCTGCCTCCAGAAAAAGCGAAGAGTCTGTCCTCAGGTCCCAGGGACTGCGAGCAGGTGTGGACAATGGGACAATGGCCTTAGGTGCTCACCTTGAAGGCAAAGGTCTCCCCAAAGTGTGGATTCAGCGTCTGCCGATGCACTTTGGTCTCGTGCCGCCTCCGCTTGTCTGGCAGCAGGTAGACACTAACATAGGGGTCAGAAGAACCTCCCAGGTCCAAGGCCGCCAACCTCTCAGCTTGCAGGATGCCCACCAGCAGCTACAGGTGCCCAGGCACAGAACAGGGGACCCTGGTCTTAGGCTCCCTCCCAGGGCCTCCCCTGGAAAGGGTCTGGAAACCCTGGGAACCTTCCCTCCCACCCCCCCACCCCCACCTCCACACGCACCTGGCCACTCTGGAAGTCATAATCCAGTGAATACTGCAGTCGTCCTAGCTCTTGCTTCTCTGACACCTCCTGCCCTGGCCCAGGTGGTGTCGGATCCAGGTCCTCCACCTCTGGCTGTACCTGAGAGAGCCAAAGGCAAGAACAGGTGAAGTCCCCCCTGAGCAGTGTCCTCTGGGCACAGAAGCCATGAAAGGCTCACAGATCCCTCCCTTGGGCTATAGCTAATCACTTGAAGGCTAAGCAGAGTCTGATTCCTGATGTCTGCCACAGGCAGGAGAGAGATATAACAATTCAGATACAGCATATTCTCAACATTTGATTAGTAATATCTGCTATGGGCAGGGAATAAATGTACTAACACACAGGTGCATTTGTCATGCTTAGACTAGAACAAGAGCTGGTAGTGTCTTTCTGTCCACAGGAACTATGCTGAAAACTATTTCACAGCTGATGAACGGATTAGGGTAGTAGTCCACATTGCCATGTTGTTGATTTTGCCACAGTGAAACATGGAGGAGAAATGGCAAATTTACTGTGTGCTTGACATTCTGCAGAACAAGAACAGCTGCAGTCTTCTCCTTCACCCATGCTCACATCAGTTCTCAAAATTCAATGTCAGCTGGGTGTCGGTGGCTTACACCTGTAATCCTAGCTATTCAGGAGGCAGAAATCAGAAGGATCATGGTTCGAAGCCAGTCTGGGCGAGACCCTATCTCATAAAAACCCTTCACAAAAAAGAGCTGGTGGAGTGGCTCAAGGTGTAGGCCCTGAGTTCAAACCTCAGTGCCGCACACACACAAAAAAATTCAATGTCAACCAGGATCCCCCTGAGACTTGTGGCAACATACCTGGGGTCACTTCTTTAGGGATTCTGACATGGTGAGTCTGTGTGACATTACATCCAGACTTCACATTTCAACAAATATCGAAACTGATTCTAAGGCAGATGATCTTTGAACATCACTAGCTTAAGGGATAGGAAAGGGTGCTGGGTACCAGAGCCCTAGAGAGAATCCTCATGCATAATTTTAACAGCCACTTGTTGAGAAGGAAGGAGGGAAAATACTAGTTAATGACCATAAAGGTGAAGTTCAGAGAACAACAGTGAATTTCCCAAGATAACGCAGCAGGGAAATGGTTCTTCTGGGTTGGAAGCCCAGGAATCTCTGGCTCCCAGTATTCTACTCTGCACTCAGAGGCCTAAGAGGCAGATCCTTGATGGCCTTTTATTCTCACCCCCATGGCCTCTTCCACCAAGTGCCTCTTCCATTCTGCTGGGGCTGTGGCACCAGCCTCCTTCCTGGTCTCCTGGCCCCAGATCTGTCCTCCATCCTAACTCTGACCTTCCGCTGCCCCTCTCTTGCTCAAATGTGTCTGTAGTTCCACTTACCCTTGTCACATAGATGGTGCTGAGCTCTCCAGAGTCCTGGTATATCTGTATTCTACAATCAGCTACTGTAAACAACGACTCTGTTCTCTAAATATGCCTCAGAATCTTGATGCTGGCTGTCAGTGCCTGCTTTGACTAGAATGTCCTCTTTGCTCTCAGCTAACTTTGTCTCTTGGGTTCCACACAGAAGTCACCTTCACTAGGAAGCCTCCTCTAACCCTCTAGGCTGTCGGTTGCTTTGTCTGCTATGCTGAAATGCCTGTTCTATCATGAAAATGACCCACACACCACTCCATATTGTGAATGTCTGACTCCCCATCTGGCTAGGAAGTTCTTATGAACAGTGACTAGATCTGATTCATCCCCAGGTCCCCAGAGTCCAGTGGAGAGCTAGACACACAGGGAAGATGGGCGGATACGGTGTGTTTAGGAGGGAAGGGACTAGGGGCTAAAATGGCTAGGCCATTGAGAGGAGCCAGGGTGCAAGAAGAGCAGGGTGGAGGAACTGAGCCAGGCCCCACCTTATCTATGTAGCTCCGGCCCAGCTCCTTCACTTCCTGAAGGTGAACTTGGGCTTGGGCCTGGCTTTTCTTGCCCATCCGCCTCCGACAACGCTTCCGGTAGAGACAGAAACAGCAGCTGAAGACGAGGAGGCCAGAGACCAGTATAATGGTGGCCAGGGCCCAGAGGGGGACTGCAGAGGGGTGAAATCACACATTGAAGTCCTGGGAAGTAGACTGACCAACTCAGTCCGGATTTCATATGGAAGCTGGAATCCTGACCTCATTTTCCCTCCAACCATTTCCATTCTATTTTATTCCCATGTTTCTCCTCCCAATTGACCTCACCTACAGAGCTAGATTCCCTCACCCAGCCTAACACCACCCACATTTGCTTGCGTATTTAGTTCCACCTTCCTTTCCACCCCATTCACCAATCCAAGATCCCATTCCAGGCCACACCCCTTGATCCGCTTCTGGTTTTTCTTGTAAACTTGTGGGCTCCTTTTCCCCTTATTTCATTCAGATTCCCAGCTGCATTTTCTTCCAGCCTGCCACCCCCACCCCAGTACACGCGTGCGGGTCCCACCTCTGGGGTGTCTAGCCCAGTTGCTCCTCACCTGCGCCCTGGCTGATGCGGCTGGAGTCTGGAGGCACGTCGGGCACTGGAGGCCCGGGAGTCGGGGGCTCCGGGAACATGGTGTTGGGGTCCTGTAGTCCCAGCTGCAGAGGCACCCAAGCGCCCTAGCCCTCCACTCCCACCCCAAGCATCCATTGAGTCCTCCGCGCAACAAAGAACCCCATCGGCTTTTTGTGCATGCTGGGAGTTGTAGTCTCAGTCTCTTCGCGAAGAAGGGCTGGCTTTTGAAGATCTAGTTTCATCCCAAAGGGACGCCCCCTACCTCCAAGGCACCCCCATCCCCAGGTATCCTACTGAGTTCTGCTCCTTACTCGCCCTTCGCAATGGCCTTCACCGGAAGTGGGTGCTGGCGAGCGTGGGAACCAGCCGACGGCGTTGCCCAGAGCAACGGCCTTGCTTGACTTAGGCAAGGTGGGAGCAACTTTGGTTGCGGGGCAACGGCCTGTTGCCAGGACAACGGGCGGGGCTGACGCACAGAAGCTGAATCCGGGCGGGGCAGGCTCGCTCCCCACCCTGTTGGTGCCTGGGACCCTCCCCACCCGGGATCAGAATCCCGGGGCGCAGAGAGGACGGAGAGGGGTTGCCCGTGGTCTGTGCGCCCACAGCCAATCTCCTCCCTCCACATCAGACCCTCTCCCTACTCTTGCTGAGGATAGAGTGGGGGGCTGCCCCGGTGTCTCTGTTGGGCCCCCACGTCCATTTCGGCCTATTGGTCTCTTCCGTGCATTCAGAGCTCAGTCTTCACACCTGTTCTCATGAACGTTTCGGTCTCCATTTCTTCAAATAGGTAGTCTTCCCCATTCTGTCTGTCCCCATCCGGCTGTCCCTCTCGTCGTCTGCGTCTCTGCTGCCCTCTACCTGTTCTCTGGCCTCTGTCTCCCAGGGTCTCTCCCATGGCCTTCTGTCTATCCTCCCTCTCTTCCTTCCCCTACCTCCTGTCTCTTTGTTTCCACGTTTCGGGCTCCAATCTCCCACCCCCTCTGTTGATCCTTCCCAGCATCCCTCCACCCACTGCCCACCCTCCCCCCTCCCACACACAACTGGTCCCTGTAGGGATGGGACTAAGATGTGGCTTGGGCAGAGGGTCTCAGCAGTTCCTACCTGCTGGCCAGCTGGTCTGATCCCTTCTGGAGGCACTGAGGCGCTGGCCCGCGGGGAGCCCGCCCCCGCACGTGGGCTAGTGGCGCTGTCCCAGGTGCTAATCGCGGAGCTCAGCTGGGCAGGGGCGCAGCTGAGCCGAGCGGGCCGTGCGCGCGCGTGTCTGAGTCTGTGCGCTGTTCCGTGTTCCGTCCTGGGGAAGGAAAAACGCCCCGCCCCGTCCCTCGGCCCGCCCCACCCGGGAACCACCATGGCGCCCACAGATGTTGATCCTAGTACCCTAGAATGTTCTGCCTTTTGGTCCAACCACATTGATCCCTGACCCACCCACCCCGCAAGAAATAAAACACACATTTCGTACAGTCCAAAGAACTGGTGACAGCACCCAATCCTAGGACTCAAGTATTCAGGTACCCAGATCCGCAAGGCCAGGTCATCAAAGCTATTGACTCCCAGACATCACCTTCCCCCAGCACAGGCCCTCCAGGAGCCAAATGTCGTGTCCCCGCCTCCAACCAACACAGAGGTCTGGACCCCCACCCTTCTCCAAGACATTCAATCACCTGAACTCACATTTTTCAGGTGCTAAACTATAGGTCCCTCAAATTCCCCCCTTGGAATGTTTGCTGAGGACCTAACTCCCACCCCAATGTTATCTTCAGACCCAAATATCACCTGGAGCATCCACTTCTAAGGAGCAAAGTTATTTTAATAAATTATGATACAGAAGGAAAATATGTGCAGACAGTGGGGTGCAAGGTGAGCTCCTTCAACCTCAGATCACAGAAGACTGACCAAGTTTCTGAAGTAAAAGTGGGGCAGAATCCTGCCTGCCCTAGTTTGTGAGGTCATCACAATTCCAGACTTTGATTCCATCCTTCCTCAGAACCCAGGTTCCAGCCTGTTTCCTTGAAAACCCAGAGCTGGGGCCACAGTTGCCTCCTTCCTCAAAGAACTAGGAAACCCACCTACTGCCCCTCTCCTCCTTCAAGGAACCAAGAATCCAGATCCCGACTCCCCAGGACTCATGAGTTGGAGCCCACCAGACCCCTGTTCTCTTGGAAAACAGGAGTTTTGGTTTTCAGTCCTCTCTTCTCCAACAGAGTGGGGGAGTCTGAGACCTCAGTCCTCTGTCTTCTTGGGGTTCCAGGAATCTGGGCTCCAGTGGGGATTCGGAGCTTGCGTATAGCTCGATCAGACTCAGCACCCCGCACAGCTTAGACCTCCAACTCCTGGGCCCGGATAGCAGCTATGTTCTCATAAACGAGGTTTGACACATCCTCGTACACGGCCTCCTTCTGGACGGGATCTGAGGCTGACTGTTGGAGGTACCTCAGGATGCACTGATGCAGGAACACATACTGGGCCTGGGGAGGAGGCACAGGAATGAAGGGGGCTTCCCCAGGGTTCCACGTCCCCCACCCCACCTATGCACCTCAGGATCCTCATCACCTCTGTCTGCACCATGAGTGGGCGGCTCTCTCTCATCTTCTTCACAAAGCTGAAGGGCCCCACGAGACCCTCGCACTCCAGCTGCCGGAGCAGGACATCCAGGGCGATTAGGGTGCCTGTTCGGCCCACGCCAGCACTAGGCAGAGAGGAGGTGAGGGTCAGGCCAAGGGAGGGAAAGGAAGTCTGCAGTCTTGGCTAATGGGAGGTGGTGTTTTTTGGAGCACCTGGGTATCCGAGCATTGGACAAGACACAGTTGAAGTGGGGATTGCTTAATTTAGTAGAAAGTCATAATGCTAATTATGGCTAGATTTCTTTCTGTCTGCTAGGTCCTATTCTGCGTGGTCTTTTCACTCCTCCCAGGCTAAGAATAGGATCTATTAGCACTCCCATTTTACAGAGGACGAAATAGAAGCTGAGAAAGGCAAAGTCAGGTTTTCCAGGCTATGCAGCTAATAGGTGCAGAACTGGGTTCAAACACAGAAAAATGAACACCTGAGCTAATCATTAAAAAAAAAAAACACTTTGTGGTATTAGGGGTTGAAATCAGGGCCTTGTGCTTGCTAGATAAGTATTCTGCCACTTGAGCCACACCTCCAGCCCTTTTTTCTGTATTTTTCAGAATAGGATCTTATGTCTTTGCCCAGGATGGCCTCTAGGTAGCTAGGATTACAAGTGTGAAATACACACCCAGCCCTAATCATCTTAATTAACTCCTATGCACCTGCATTTGGGTAGGGACATGTGACACTAGGAACATCTCCAGAAGATACTATTTGAGAACAGAGCCAGTCTGAACACAGTGCAGCAAAGTGTGCTACAGGGCTCCACCAGGGACACCAGGCAGAAATGAACCCCAGCTTGGCACTTGCTACTCTCTTCGAACCCAATAACTTCAGTTCCCTCTAACACAGGGAGAAAGCCCTTTGTTGTGAGTTTGTACCAAGAATCAGGAAGACTGTGGCTGTCAGTGTCCCATAAATGCCAACCATCATCATAACAGCACCCCAGTTTCAGAGGCCATTGCCCTGGAGTAATGCCTTATAACTCCCCTTGATCTTCTGCATTCACCTCTTCATTCTCTGTAAGTTCCCAGGGACCATCTTCCAGGGAGTGGAAGAGGCTCTGGTGGTCCTCACCTGCAATGTACAATGGGTGGACCTCCCCCTGTGTTCTGGTCCAGCCACAGCCGCAGCGTCTTCCAGAAAGCCAGCAAGGGGTCTGGGGAGTGGGGGACACCATGGTCTGGCCAGGCCAGATAGTGGAACTGGCGCACAGCTAGGGACTTCTGCTTCTCCATCTGGAAGGAGGGAGAGGTGGGGAGGGAGGGCACATAGGTTCCAGTGACCTGGTTTCTACACCTGATGGCGGATTCCCCAGGGTGCATTGCAGGGAGATCTCATGGAGGAAGTTCTGGGAGGGGTTGGAGGGACTCACATGGAGAAGCTGCAGGTTCCTCACTGTCCAGTTCTCAGTCACCTCCTCACCCACCAGGGTCACCTGCAGGTGCCCATAGGTGCAAGGCTGAGCATCCAGAGGCCAATAATGTTCACATTTCACCTGAGAGAGCATAAGAGAAGTCAGAGTACAGGAGCTCCTCTACCCATGGCTCTTCTACTCCAGGTGGGGAGATGTCCCCTGCCCTGGCAATGAGACAGGACCCTCGGGGGTCCAGGTAAAGATGCCCTCCAGCCAGGAGGATCCCTCCATCCCAAGGTCAGGGGATTAGCTCCACCCTGGTATAGTATGGATGTGTCCCCCTCAGAAAAGTTTATATATTGGAAACCTCATCCCCAAATTCATGTTAATAGTAATTGGAGGCGAGACCTTTGAGAAGTAATTAGGATTAGATGAGATCACAGGGTGGGGCCCCCATGATAGTATTTGTGACTTTATAAGAAGAGAAAGAGAAAAAAAAAAGAAAGCTGGGTGTGGTGGTACATGTCTGTGATACCAGAACTCCAGAGGTTGAGGTGGAAAGATCAGGAACTTGAGTTGGAAGCAGCCTGGGCTACACAGTGAGATACTGTCTCAAAAAACCAAAACAAAACAAAAGGAAGATGAGGAGAAAGAAAAGGAAGAGGAGGAGGAGGAAGAAGAAGAGGAGGAGGAAGAGAAGGAGGACGAAGAAGAAGAGGAGGAGGAGGACACCTGAGCTAACAAGTTTTCTCTGTCTCTGTATGTTTTCTACCATGTGTTACAGCAAGGAAGCCTTGGTCAGATGCCAGCACCATGCTCTTGGACTTCCCAGCATCTGGGAATGAGACCAGGAGACACATTAGCCTCTGTTCTTTATAAACTATTTGGTCCACGGTATTCACTTACAGCAACAGAAAACAGACTAGGAGACCCACATACATGGACTAGCGGGCATCCTGGAGGTGGAGGGGAGGGGGTCCATGTTGAAGATGACTGGGGTCATACTGGAGTAATCGAGAGTGTGGGTGACAGGCTTCACTGAGTCAGTGTCTGGGTGGGGCAAGGTCATAGGGTGGCCCTCAAAGGTCAGCACCAGGACAGAAACCTCCTCTCACCCGGCCAGATTCCATACAGTTGGTCAGCATGATCAGGGTGTGACTCTGCTGTTCCCACACCAGATGCCAGAAGTCACCCACAGTCTGGGGCAGGGGGCCCTGGGCTGCAATGAACTCCTTGTTGCTCTGGAGACCCTGGTTGAGGGAAGCAGTCATGTTAGGAGGCCATCAGATGTCCCCCACACACACCTCCAGTCTTGTCTTCCCAGGTTCCCTGAGCATCCTTCCAGCCTCCACCCAACCTTACAGGCATGAAGCTGGCATTGATGTAGTCAGAGCTTGACTCCTTGTGGAAGGAATTCAGTGGTACCCGGGACCAGTCATCTAGAAGAAGACACAGCATCAACAACAGAGAGAGAGACCCAGAGACAAGTCTGAGACCCAAGGATGGAAGTCACACTCAGGTGCTGACAGATACTGGTAGCTATGTAGGGTGTGAGACAGACACAGGCACCTCAGCTAGGGGAATGCGGCCAGGAGGACTCTTGGGGGCAGGGGCACCAGGGGGAGGAGTTCTGACTCTCACAGGGGATAAGAGATGGAGAACAGGAAAGGGGTGTTGACAGGATTGGAGCTTGGGACAAAGATAGCAGAAAGTCAGTACTCACAGGGCAGCACATTTCTGTAGCGGTTCTTAGCCATGTTCTCGGGAGTAGATGCCACTGTCTGATACTGGTCGTGGCCTACCAGGGCCAGTTGCTAGGGACAGAGGTGGAAGCAGAGGGGGTGGGTGGTGTTGGATTTTCTCTATCTTCTCCAGAGCTCCCCTTACCCTCCCCTCTATTTATCCTGAGGACCATGGGATTCTGTGGCACCCACAAAAACAGGAACTGTGTGACCACCACCTTGTGGGGCACCTGAAAGGATTTAGGAGGAAGCTGGAGACTTCTTTAGGTAGGCAAGAGAGCAGGAGCCATGGCAAAGCAGACCACCCAGTAAGTGTGTGGGGTCACTGTAGGATTAACCCAAGTACCCATCATTGCTTTTAAGATTTCAATGAGTTGAGGGCTAGATGTCACACCTGTAATTCCAGCTATCAGGAGGCAGAGATAGCAAGATTGCCATCCGGACTGACCCAGCAAAAATGAAAGACCCTCTCTAAAAACAAAGCAAAGCACAGAGAGCTGTGCGCATGGCTCAAGTGGTAGAGCATCTGCCTAACAAGAGTGAAGCCCTGAGTTCAAACCCCAGAACTGCGGAAAAAAAAAAATGAAACCATGCCTGAGAATTTCTACATAATTGAAAAAAATACCAGGCATGGTGGTGCACACCTGTAATCCCCGTACTTGGGAGGTGGAGGCAAAAGGATCTCAAGTTTGAAGCCAACCTGGGCTATGTTGCAGAGGCGAGGTTGTTCTGAGCTACATAGTGATACCCTGTCTCAAAAAAAACCAAACAAACAAGGACTAGAGCACATGCAAGGCCTTGGGTTTGAGCCCCAGAATGGCAAAAGAAAAAAAAAGTAAAGGAAAAGATGTGTTGCTGCTTTTGCTTAATCTCAAAGAGTGCCAGGAGGGAGGTCTGGACAGGTTGGGGGCGCATGGATCTCAGCCCTGCCACCATCACCCCACCTGGTACTCCTCTGCAAATCCATAGTTGCTGTCCTTCTCGTTTTGCCTGACGTGATCAGCAAAGTCTTTGGCCAGGATGTCCCCTGAGAAGCTGAGGCGGGGGGAGGGGAGAATTAACTTCCTTTAATTCCAAATTTTGTGCATAAAAGAAATCCCACTTCTGGGTATAGACTCCAAAGAAATGAAAGCAGATTTGAAGAGATGCTTGAAGACTCATGTCATAGCAACATTGCTCACAATGGCCCAAAAGTGGAAGCCACTCAAGGGTCCATCAATGGATGTATGATAAACACGGTGTGATCTATCTGCATGATGGAATATTATTCAGCCTTAAAAAGGAAAAAGATTGCACACATGCTACTATATGGATGAACCTTGAGGACATTGTGCTAAGTGAAGTAAGCCAGTCTTCAAAAAGACAATATATGATTCCACTTATTTGATGGACCTCCCGAAGTTGAATTTAAGTAGAACAGTGGTTGTTGGGCCAGCAGGAGGGAGAGAGGGGGTTAGTGTTAGTTTTGCAAGATGAAGAATTCACCCCTTTGTGAGCAAGGGAAGGGAAGAAAACCAGTTTTCATAAGAAGTTTGAGTATGAAAGTGTTTTACTATTATTTAAGTAGTGAGGCCAGCACCTCGGAAGGTGACTGACATTGAAAAAATAACTTGTGGACTGGGCATTAGTGGCTCATGCCTAGTTACTTGAGGGGCTGGGATCAGCCTAGGCAGCTGTTCCTTTTTGCGCCTGCCCACCCTTCCATCTAGAGTGCATTTTTCTTTGAACTAATAAACCTGCTCCTGCTTAAGTCTCCTCTGAGTCTGACTTTACATTCTTTCTCTGATGGGAACAAGAACTTCCTGGCCCCTGGACCTTGTGATTTGAATCTGATGACACCAACATGCAGAACAAAATCTTTTTTATTCCTCTTCTTTTTGGGCTTCATTTTCACCATTCCTGGATTCTGGGGAAAGATCTTTTCCAAAATTACTGCTGGCCTCCCCATCTCTAATGCCAAAGATCACATCTCAGACCACACCCTGCCGGACTTCCAGCAACATTTAGCATGACTGGCTGGGCCTTCCTCCTTTGTCTGGGTTCACCCTCTTCTTGAACACTTCCTCCTGCTTCACCCCTGCTCTCTGGCTTCTGCTTGTCCATATCCTGAGTGAGGCACTCTTCCTCTGTCCACCATAAAAGGTAAAGTGTACCCCAGAGCCTCCTTTCTCACTGGACACTCCTTTCTCACAGGGTGTTGTCCTCTGCTGTAGCTCCACTTTTTAGGGAGGGCACAGTAATAGGGTTTTGAACTCAGAGCCTTGTGCTTGCTAAGCAGGTGCTCTACCACTTAAGTCATGCCCCCAGCTCTTTTTGCTTTAGTTATTTTCTGGATAGGATCTTTTTTTTTTTCTTTCTTTCTTGTTTTGGGACGTAACCCAGGGCTCCACGAGTGCTAGGCCTACTATCCCCATCCCCACCCTCTCAGCAATGTTTTAATTATTTATGTATTTACTTATGTACTCATTCATTTATGTAAATATTTGTTTATTTGCTTAGTGGTGCTAGGGTTTGAACTCAGGTCTTCATGATTGCTAGACAGGCCACAACCCCCCGACTCTGAAGGGTTTTTTTTTCTTTTTTTTTTTTTTTAAGTTTTAGACAAAATCTATGAATCTAGAAGCCATGATCTACAATCAGTTCAGTGTCCTACCTAGGCAATTCTGCTTTCTCAGGTTGTGCCGCCTATAGGTGTTCTGAGATACACAGGTGGGTTTTAACAGCTTTTAATGCATCTATTTTTGTCTTTGTTATGACTGTGGATAGGATCTTGTGTTTTTGCCCAGGGTCAGCCTGGGACTCAATCTTTCTACCTAAGGCCTCCCACACAGCTGGGATGACAGGTGTGCTTCCTCACCTGGCTTATTGATTGAGCTTGGAGTCTCACTAATATTTTGCCCAGGCTGGCCTTGAACTATGATCCTCTTGACCTCCACCTCCTGAGTAGCTGGAATTCCAGGTGAGAGCCACACTGCCTGGCTGGAGCTTCATTTTTTATCTATACATAGTGCGAATTCTGAACCCCCATCACCAGTTACCATTCCTCACTCTTCTGAGTTTCAGAGCTATTTTCTCACCCACATCCTGGACTTTCTGAAGAATTTTCACACTAGGATATCCAAACACAGACAGGATTCTGGTAGCTGATCTGAGCCTGCAGGTATTTCTGCTGTTTTAACACTAGGTGGAGTACTTGATCTAGATTTCCAACTCTGCTGCAGATTTGTGAGTTGAAAATAAACTGGGGTGTGGCAGGTGTGATAGAGTGTTTACCAGGTGCAAAGTACAGAGTTAAATCCCCAGTACTGCCAAATAAAAATTTTTAAAAAATCACAGGAATGTGGAGGAATGGCTATTCAGGTGGCTCTGTAACTAACCCCTAATAAACTCATTTACTCAACCTGGACTTGTCCGAGACCTCCTTTGGGATGTTGGTACCAACCCAATTTGGAGGCAGATGTTTCTTTTAAGTCTCCCCAGGAAACTCACACAATATCCCACTCCTTTTCTTATTTCCTTTAGGCCTATTCTCAAATGTCTTCTTCCTAATCATTTGCTTAGCAAGGCTTTTCCTCTAGTTTTAACACCCTATCTAAAATATTATTCTGCCTTCTCTGTCCTCTCCTCTGGTTTTATTTTGTCTCCCAAAATATATCAAAGTTTTGCTATGTTCCCTACTTTTTTTTTTAGCAGTACTGGGGTTTGAACTTAGGACTTGAGCCACTTGAACCACACTTCCAGTCCTGTTAGCTTGCTTTTTCATGTCTTCGTATGCTAGACTGTAAGTTTCATAAGGGCAGAATCTTTTTTTAATTTGCTGTTTCCTTGAAGACTGCCTGATACACTTCAGCTGCTTGGTTAATTTGTTTGCTTGTTTTAGCGGTACTAGGGTTTGAACTCAGGGCCTCACACTTGTTAGGCAGGTGCCTACTAATTGAGCCACTCCACCAGCCCTTTTATCTATTGGGTATTTTCCATTCCTTGAACTATAATCCTCCTGATCTCTGTCTCCTGAGTAGCTAGGATTACAGGGATGAGCCACCAGCACATGGGAAAATTTTGGAGGGGGGCAGGTGAGACTGGGGTTTGAACTCAGGGCTTTGTGCTTACAAAGCAGGCACTCTATGACTTGAGATACAGCTCCAGTCTTTAGCTGATATTTGATGGATGAGTGAATGAATGAATGAATTCCTGGAGCTGAAACAGGAATTGACTCCAGACACTGGCCCAGGCTGAGTCACCATGAAGGGGCTGTGGTACCTGTTGCAGAGGACCTGAGTGCCTCTTGATCAGTGGATAAACTCACTGATCCTACCCTCTGGCCTGTCCAATGACCAGCAAACAGCCCTTGAACTGGCCATGTCCCCTCCTTCCCCCACATCCTCTGCTCACCTGAGCATAAGATCCTTGGGTTCTTCCTTCTGATGGTTCTTCTTATTCCTAGAGGAAGGACATTGGGATTAAGGCTCAGAGCATGAAGCTGGAACCCAGCTCACAATCTCCAGGAGACAGTTCTGTACCAAGTCTCACCTCTTGCTCAGGAAGAAAATCAGCAGGCTCACCAGGATGAGAAGCAGGAGGACACCCACAACTCCAGCAATGACCACTAGGGGAGGAGGCATAGAGATCCATTAGAGTCCCGGAGATCTCCTACCTCTGTCCTCAGCCAGCACCATGCTCAGAGGCCTGCAGCAAAGATACTAAAGGAAAGGACAAACTGTCCACATAAAGCCCTGTGCATTCAACTTTCTCTAGGAGAGGTGTTTAAATCAAATACATACTCTCTCTCTCTCTCTCTCTCTCTCTCCAGGATCTCACTATGTAACCCAAACTAGTCTTGAACTCAAGATTCTCCTGCTTCATCCTCCCACATGCTGAAATTAAAGGTGTCCACTACCATGTCTAACCCAAATACATCATTTTCTAAGCTGACTTGGTAGCTAAAGAATGACATCCCCTTCCTTGACCCAACCAGTGGCTCCACAAGGGCAAGATTACCCCAGGGGACACTGTACAACATCCACAGACATTTTTGGTTGTCACAGCTTGATGGTGGGGTGTTACTGGCATCTGACTGATGGAGGCCAGAGATGTTGATCACTACCCTACACACACAGGACAGTCCATCACAGCAAAGACTGATTGAATCCTACAAGTCCATACTGCAGAGGCTGAGCAAACCCTTCACTGATGGAGAAGCCATTCCCTGGCATTGATGGCTTCAGCTTTTTCCCAGGAGCAAGGCCTGGTCTTCTCAGAGGGTCCTACTAGTTAGGGGAAGCTCAATACCCAGAGAATGAGGCAGGTGAACCAAGAGTCTGAGGTCATAGACTCTTTCCTGGTGTTCCAGACCAGGAAAGAAAGAAGAAAAGAAAGAAAAGGAAAGGAAGAGAGAGAGAGAGAGAAAGAAAGAGAGAGAGGAAGAGAGAGAGAAAGAAAGAGAAAAGCGAGAAAGAGAGGAAGGGAGGAAGGGAAGGAAGAAAGAAAAGAAAAAAAAAGAAAGAGGGCCAGGCATGGTGGTGAGCACCTGTAATCCCTACTACTCAGGAAGTAGGGTTAGGAGGATCAAGGTCCAAGACCAGTCCACATAAAAGTGCTAGACCCTATCTGAGAAACAAAAAGCAAAAGGACTGAGGATGTGGTTCAAGTGATAGAGGGGTTTCCTAATAAGCTTGAGGTTCTGAGTACAGGAGGGAGAGCAGGGGAGAGAGAGAGAGAGATCTAAAATTGAGAGTGGTGATGGCTGTGCAACATTGCGAGTATACTAAAAGTCATTGCACCAGACAGACAGACAGACAGACAAAAGAGCCCCATGGACTTCCTCTCAGCAAGTTCTGAAAGGTCATCCCTGGCTCTCTGCTCACCTGTGCTGTCTGTGTAGCAGGTCACAAAAGTAGATGGTGCCCTTAATTCATCCCAAACAGTGGTGATGGTAGCTGTGTAGGCTTGAGCCGGCCCGAGGCCTGGCACGACCACATCTTTCATACACGAAGATTTGTTCTGGGAGCTCCTCTGCTCACCCACCTCCAACTCAAAGGTGTCGTAGCTCCCAGAGGGGCAGGACCAGGTCAGGATGACTGCATAGCCCCCAGAGGTGCTGACACAAGAGGTGATGTTGGCAGAGGCTGGAGCTGAGTGAAAGAACAAGAGGAGTCAGTCTCGAAGGTGGTTTTCCACCCCCACCCCCAGTCACGTCAACTCTGGGAGCTAGCCCATCCCTTCCTCTACAAACTCAAGCAGCTGATCTTCTGTTCACCCCAAACCCCCTCAAACTAAACCCCATGACCTGTGTCACTGCAGCTTATGAAGACATGGACCCTGTAGTCCATGCCCTCAAGATCTGACCTAAGCCCAGTCATCCAGGTAAAGGGAGGAGGGTGGAGCATCTCATCGGTGTGGAGCTGGCTGCACCACTCCTCTCTGCCCACACACTGAAGTTGTAGAAAGTGCCAGGCTCCAGGGCCTCCACCTCATACCAAGTGTCATTGGTTCTGACCATGGAGTTGTCCAAATGTCCTTGGGGATTTTCTTTACTGATCCAATGGACCTCATAGGTATAGACCTGAGAGTGGAGATCTGCAGGGGCCTCCCACCTCAGAGTCACCGAGTTTTTGGTCTGATTTTCTTTCTGCAGAAGTATGACCTCGTTGGGAATTGAGAAGTGAGGACAGAGCCTTAAGGGGTATGTTCTCAAAGAACTGCTTCCCTGAGCCTGCTTGCCTTCCCCCAACCCCTGCCATAGCAAAGCCCACATGTCCAACTTATCCATTGCTCTAGTGACTGAGATTGGAGCCACAGAGAAGAATCTAGAAACCCAAGGCCTGGTGAGGACCAGGATCACCAGGATCTCTCTGCCCTCTGGCTGCAGCCTTGGGTCCACTCCATCTCTTTTCTTTCTTCCCAAATAGATACAAGTCCCCTCAAACTACAACCCCCATGAAGCCTTGAAGTCTCTGTATCACTGAGTTTATGAAGTTCTAATTCCATGGTATAATGAGATTTGAAGTCCACTTACCTATCTCTGACCTACCAAGTCTGACCTTCTCTAATTGTGTCTCCCATGGTCATCCAGGGGCAAGGTCACTTCTCTGAGTCGCTAGAGGGAGCTGCCAATTTGAGGGGTTTTTTAGCCCCAAAGGCTAAGGATTAAACACTTTCAGGATCCATCACCAAGAGTGAATCTAATCTCTGGAGTAATTTTATTCTTCTCATACTTGTGACCATGTATAGACTGAGGTGAGACTCTTGGTTCATCTAATTCACTTGACCCAGCTCTGATTACAGACGGGCTGGTGACAATAGTTTGGGTTCGGTTCCTGTAAGAACCAACTAGTCTGTAGTCACACTAGCTTTTCTTGAGCGCAACAAGTCCATTTACAAAGACAGAAAGACAGAACCCATCATTTTGTTTTTGTTACTTTTTTTGGCAGTATTGGGGTTTAATCAGGGCTGTTCTACCACTTGAGCCAGGTCCCCAGTCATTTTTGCTCTGGTTATTTTGGAGACAAGGTCTCTCTTTTTGTCTAGGTCAGACTGAACTTCGATCCTCCTATTTAAGCTTCCTACTGTTGCTGGGATGACACCTCACCCAGCTATTGGTTGAGACCGGGTCTTGTGAACTATTTGCCCAGGTTAGCCTGGAACTGCAATCCTCCTGATCGCAGCCTCTCAAGCAGCTATGAATAAAGGTGTGTGCCACCAGTGCCCGGCAACCCCATCATCTTGAAACCCCTGGGGTTTCAAGAATGGTAATTCCTAGGAACAGAACCTAAAACTTCAAACTCCAAGGATAGGGTTACTGAGTTTTCTTCATCTAACAGGAAGCCACCCTGCACCTCGCCCATCATTTCCCTTGCCCATCCCAATAGGGCTGAGACCAAAACTAGACAGTGTCACACCAGTGGCCTCAGTGAGGGTACTGGGATAACCTCTGATTTTGTTCCTCTCGGCCCAGATGGTGAGGGTGTACAGACTCCCTGCTTCCAGTGCCTTCAGTGTGATTCTGGTATCTGAAGTGTTCTGGGTCCCAGCAGCAGAGTGTCCTCCTAAGCCCATGAGATCCAGTAGGTGTAGTTGGGATGACTGGGGCCCAGAAGACCTGTCTAGGTAAAGATGATGGAGCATAAAAATGGTTGCTCTTACCTGTGGCAGCATTGAGAGTCTCCTTGGAGCTGTTGGCCCCTTCTCTTTCTGCCCACACAGAAAATTCATATGAAGACCCAGGATTGAGTCCATCCACTGTGATGCTGGTGTTTGTTGTGTGTTGGATCTCATTTCTGTCACCATCTCTAAACCACTGGACCCAGTAGGTGAGGCTCATGGGGTCTGGGCCTTCAGGAACATCCCAGAGCAGGGTGATGGAGGTGTTTGTCTGAGTCTCCACCCTCAGGTGTCTCACTGGATTTGGAGCTGAAAATAGAAACAGGAGTGGGATCAGTTGTAGCCCAGATCCTCAAATTATCCATCCTTTTCTGAAGTCTGAGATCCAGAGGGGAGAGGTGGATGGTTGGAACCTGCACAGTCCAATATGGTGGCACAAGTTGTGAGGGACTGTTGAGCTCCTGTGATGTGGCTTGTTACAACTTTGATGTGTGTGAGAGTAAAACACACAGAGTTGGGAAGAAATGGAGTGAAATTAAGAATGTCAAATCTCATTGGTCCTTTTTATATTGACTACATGCTGAAATTGTGCCACATGAAATCTGTCATGGTGATATGTTTCACCTATTTCTTTCTTTCTTTTTCTTGTTTTTTTCAGTACTAGGGTTTCAGCTCAGTGCCTTACTCTACCACTTGAACCACACCACCAGTCCTTTTGTGTTGAGGATTTTTGAGGTAGAAACTCACTTTTGTGCCCTGGACCATAATTTTACTATTTGTGCTTCCCAGTGTAGATAGGATGACAGGTGTGTACCATTGCACTAGTCATTTGTTAAGTGGGATCTGGCAAATGTTTTGCCTTGGCTGGCCTTGAACTGCGATCCTCCTGATCTCTCTCTCCTAAGTAGCTAGGATTATAGGTGTGAGCCATTGCACTTGTGTACCTATTTCTTTTACTTCTATTTTGATGTGGCTGACAGAACATGGAAATTTACATGTGTGGATTCCATTATATTTCTGCTGGATCACAGAGCCTGTGATACACCATCTCCTGTCACTAGGCAATCACCTTGTGCCAAATCCATTTAAAAGTGAAAGAACACAACAGTGGTTGCTCTTACCTGTGGCAGCACTGAGAGTCTCCTTGGAGCTGTTGGCCCCTTCTCTTTCTGCCCACACAGAAAATTCATATGAAGACCCAGGATTGAGTCCATCCACTGTGATGCTGGTGTTTGTTGCGTGTTGGATCTCATTTCTGTCACCATCTCTAAACCACTGGACCCAGTAGGTGAGGCTCATGGGGTCTGGGCCTTCAGGAACATCCCAGAGCAGGGTGATGGAGGTGTTTGTCTGAGTCTCCACCCTCAGGTGTCTCACTGGATTTGGAGCTGAAAATAGAAACAGGAGTGGGATCAGTTGTAGCCCCGGATCCTCAAATTATCCATCCATTTTTGATGCCTGGGACCGAGGTTGGGGAGGTGGATGGTTGGAACCTGCACAGTCCAATATGGTGGCACAAGTTGTGAGGGACTGTTGAGCTCCTGTGATGTGGCTTGTTACAACTTTGATGTGTGTGAGAGTAAAACACACAGAGTTGGGAAGAAATGGAGTGAAATTAAGAATGTCAAATCTCATTGGTCCTTTTTATATTGACTACATGCTGAAATTGTGCCACATGAAATCTGTCATGGTGATATGTTTCACCTATTTCTTTCTTTCTTTTTCTTGTTTTTTTCAGTACTAGGGTTTCAGCTCAGTGCCTTACTCTACCACTTGAACCACACCACCAGTCCTTTTGTGTTGAGGATTTTTTTTTAAATTGATAATATTTATTTTAAAATTAAAAGATAGTATTTAAGTTATATATTTTTCGGTGGTATAGGGGCTTGAACTCAGGGCCTTGTGCTTGCTAAGCAGGTGCTGTACCACTTGAGACACGCCACCAGCCCTTAGTTATTTTTCAGATAGGGTCTCACACATTTTGCCTGATCCTCCTACATATGCCTCCCACATAGCTGGGTGACAGATGTGTGCCATCACGGCTAATCTAGGTTTCTTTTTTTTTTTTTTTTTTTCATTTTTCGTGTGTTGAGGATTTTTGAGGTAGAAACTCACTTTTGTGCCCTGGACCATAATTTTACTATTTGTGCTTCCCAGTGTAGATAGAATGACAGGTGTGTACCATTGCACTAGTCATTTGTTAAGTGGATCTGGCAAATGTTTTGCCTTGGCTGGCCTTGAACTGCGATCCTCCTGATCTCTCTCTCCTAAGTAGCTAGGATTATAGGTGTGAGCCATTGCACTTGTGTACCTATTTCTTTTAATTCTATTTTGATGTGGCTGACAGAACATGGAAATTTACATGTGTGGATTCCATTATATTTCTGCTGGATCACAGAGCCTGTGATACACCATCTCCTGTCACTAGGCAATCACCTTGTGCCAAATCCATTTAAAGGTGAAAGAACACAACAGTGGTTGCTCTTACCTGTGGCAGCACTGAGAGTCTCCTTGGAGCTGTTGGCCCCTTCTCTTTCTGCCCACACAGAAATTCATATGAAGACCCAGGATTGAGTCCATCCACTGTGATGCTGGTGTTTGTTGTGTGTTGGATCTCATTTCTATCACCATCTCTAAACCACTGGACCCAGTAGGTGAGGCTCATGGGGTCTGGGCCTTCAGGAACATCCCAGAGCAGGGTGATGGAGGTGTTTGTCTGAGTCTCCACCCTCAGGTGTCTCACTGGATTTGGAGCTGAAAATAGAAACAGGAGTGGGATCAGTTGTAGCCCAGATCCTCAAATTATCCATCCTTTTCTGAAGTCTGAGATCCAGAGGGGGGAAGTGGATGGTTGGAACCTGCACAGTCCAATATGGTGGCACAAGTTGTGAGGGACTGTTGAGCTCCTGTGATGTGGCTTGTTACAACTTTGATGTGTGTGAGAGTAAAACACACAGAGCTGGGAAGAAATGGAGTGAAATTAAGAATGTCAAATCTCATTGGTCCTTTTTATATTGACTACATGCTGAAATTGTGCCACATGAAATCTGTCATGGTGATATGTTTCACCTACTTCTTTCTTTCTTTTTCTTGTTTTTTTCAGTACTAGGGTTTCAGCTCAGTGCCTTACTCTACCACTTGAACCACACCACCAGTCCTTTTGTGTTGAGGATTTTTGAGGTAGAAACTCACTTTTGTGCCCTGGACCATAATTTTACTATTTGTGCTTCCCAGTGTAGATAGGATGACAGGTGTGTACCATTGCACTAGTCATTTGTTAAGTGGGATCTGGCAAATGTTTTGCCTTGGCTGGCCTTGAACTGCGATCCTCCTGATCTCTCTCTCCTAAGTAGCTAGGATTATAGGTGTGAGCCATTGCACTTGTGTACCTATTTCTTTTACTTCTATTTTGATGTGGCTGACAGAACATGGAAATTTACATGTGTGGATTCCATTATATTTCTGCTGGATCACAGAGCCTGTGATACACCATCTCCTGTCACTAGGCAATCACCTTGTGCCAAATCCATTTAAAGGTGAAAGAACACAACAGTGGTTGCTCTTACCTGTGGCAGCACTGAGAGTCTCCTTGGAGCTGTTGGCCCTTCTCTTTCTGCCCACACAGAAAATTCATATGAAGACCCAGGATTGAGTCCATCCACTGTGATGCTGGTGTTTGTTGTGTGTTGGATCTCATTTCTGTCACCATCTCTAAACCACTGGACCCAGTAGGTGAGGCTCATGGGGTCTGGGCCTTCAGGAACATCCCAGAGCAGGGTGATGGAGGTGTTTGTCTGAGTCTCCACCCTCAGGTGTCTCACTGGATTTGGAGCTGAAAATAGAAACAGGAGTGGGATCAGTTGTAGCCCAGATCCTCAAATTATCCATCCTTTTCTGAAGTCTGAGATCCAGAGGGGGGAAGTGGATGGTTGGAACCTGCACAGTCCAATATGGTGGCACAAGTTGTGAGGGACTGTTGAGCTCCTGTGATGTGGCTTGTTACAACTTTGATGTGTGTGAGAGTAAACACACAGAGTTGGGAAGAAATGGAGTGAAATTAAGAATGTCAAATCTCATTGGTCCTTTTTATATTGACTACATGCTGAAATTGTGCCACATGAAATCTGTCATGGTGATATGTTTCACCTATTTCTTTCTTTCTTTTTCTTGTTTTTTTCAGTACTAGGGTTTCAGCTCAGTGCCTTACTCTACCACTTGAACCACACCACCAGTCCTTTTGTGTTGAGGATTTTTTTTTTTAAATTGATAATATTTATTTTAAAATTAAAAGATAGTATTTAAGTTATATATTTTTCGGTGGTATAGGGGCTTGAACTCAGGGCCTTGTGCTTGCTAAGCAGGTGCTGTACCACTTGAGACACGCCACCAGCCCTTAGTTATTTTCAGATAGGGTCTCACACATTTTGCCTGATCCTCCTACATATGCCTCCCACATAGTTGGGTGACAGATGTGTGCCATCACGGCTGATCTAGGTTTCTTTTTTTTTTTTTTTTTCATTTTTCGTGTGTTGAGGATTTTTGAGGTAGAAACTCACTTTTGTGCCCTGGACCATAATTTTACTATTTGTGCTTCCCAGTGTAGATAGGATGACAGGTGTGTACCATTGCACTAGTCATTTGTTAAGTGGGATCTGGCAAATGTTTTGCCTTGGCTGGCCTTGAACTGCGATCCTCCTGATCTCTCTCTCCTAAGTAGCTAGGATTATAGGTGTGAGCCATTGCACTTGTGTACCTATTTCTTTTAATTCTATTTTGATGTGGCTGACAGAACATGGAAATTTACATGTGTGGATTCCATTATATTTCTGCTGGATCACAGAGCCTGTGATACACCATCTCCTGTCACTAGGCAATCACCTTGTGCCAAATCCATTTAAAGGTGAAAGAACACAACAGTGGTTGCTCTTACCTGTGGCAGCACTGAGAGTCTCCTTGGAGCTGTTGGCCCCTTCTCTTTCTGCCCACACAGAAAATTCATATGAAGACCCAGGATTGAGTCCATCCACTGTGATGCTGGTGTTTGTTGCATGTTGGATCTCATTTCTGTCACCATCTCTAAACCACTGGACCCAGTAGGTGAGGCTCATGGGGTCTGGGCCTTCAGGAACATCCCAGAGCAGGGTGATGGAGGTGTTTGTCTGAGTCTCCACCCTCAGGTGTCTCACTGGATTTGGAGCTGAAAATAGAAACAGGAGTGGGATCAGTTGTAGCCCCGGATCCTCAAATTATCCATCCATTTTTGATGCCTGGACCGAGGTTGGGGAGTGGATGGTTGGAACCTGCACAGTCCAATATGGTGGCACAAGTTGTGAGGGACTGTTGAGCTCCTGTGATGTGGCTTGTTACAACTTTGATGTGTGTGAGAGTAAAACACACAGAGTTGGGAAGAAATGGAGTGAAATTAAGAATGTCAAATCTCATTGGTCCTTTTTATATTGACTACATGCTGAAATTGTGCCACATGAAATCTGTCATGGTGATATGTTTCACCTATTTCTTTCTTTCTTTTTCTTGTTTTTTTCAGTACTAGGGTTTCAGCTCAGTGCCTTACTCTACCACTTGAACCACACCACCAGTCCTTTTGTGTTGAGGATTTTTTTTTTAAATTGATAATATTTATTTTAAAATTAAAAGATAGTATTTAAGTTATATATTTTTCGGTGGTATAGGGCTTGAACTCAGGGCCTTGTGCTTGCTAAGCAGGTGCTGTACCACTTGAGACACGCCACCAGCCCTTAGTTATTTTCAGATAGGGTCTCACACATTTTGCCTGATCCTCCTACATATGCCTCCACATAGCTGGGTGACAGATGTGTGCCATCACGGCTGATCTAGGTTTCTTTTTTTTTTTTTTTTTTCATTTTTCGTGTGTTGAGGATTTTTGAGGTAGAAACTCACTTTTGTGCCCTGGACCATAATTTTACTATTTGTGCTTCCCAGTGTAGATAGGATGACAGGTGTGTACCATTGCACTAGTCATTTGTTAAGTGGGATCTGGCAAATGTTTTGCCTTGGCTGGCCTTGAACTGCGATCCTCCTGATCTCTCTCTCCTAAGTAGCTAGGATTATAGGTGTGAGCCATTGCACTTGTGTACCTATTTCTTTTAATTCTATTTTGATGTGGCTGACAGAACATGGAAATTTACATGTGTGGATTCCATTATATTTCTGCTGGATCACAGAGCCTGTGATACACCATCTCCTGTCACTAGGCAATCACCTTGTGCCAAATCCATTTAAAGGTGAAAGAACACAACAGTGGTTGCTCTTACCTGTGGCAGCACTGAGAGTCTCCTTGGAGCTGTTGGCCCCTTCTCTTTCTGCCCACACAGAAAATTCATATGAAGACCCAGGATTGAGTCCATCCACTGTGATGCTGGTGTTTGTTGTGTGTTGGATCTCATTTCTGTCACCATCTCTAAACCACTGGACCCAGTAGGTGAGGCTCATGGGGTCTGGGCCTTCAGGAACATCCCAGAGCAGGGTGATGGAGGTGTTTGTCTGAGTCTCCACCCTCAGGTGTCTCACTGGATTTGGAGCTGAAAATAGAAACAGGAGTGGGATCAGTTGTAGCCCAGATCCTCAAATTATCCATCCTTTTCTGAAGTCTGAGATCCAGAGGGGGGAAGTGGATGGTTGGAACCTGCACAGTCCAATATGGTGGCACAAGTTGTGAGGGACTGTTGAGCTCCTGTGATGTGGCTTGTTACAACTTTGATGTGTGTGAGAGTAAAACACACAGAGTTGGGAAGAAATGGAGTGAAATTAAGAATGTCAAATCTCATTGGTCCTTTTTATATTGACTACATGCTGAAATTGTGCCACATGAAATCTGTCATGGTGATATGTTTCACCTATTTCTTTCTTTCTTTTTCTTGTTTTTTTCAGTACTAGGGTTTCAGCTCAGTGCCTTACTCTACCACTTGAACCACACCACCAGTCCTTTTGTGTTGAGGATTTTTGAGGTAGAAACTCACTTTTGTGCCCTGGACCATAATTTTACTATTTGTGCTTCCCAGTGTAGATAGGATGACAGGTGTGTACCATTGCACTAGTCATTTGTTAAGTGGGATCTGGCAAATGTTTTGCCTTGGCTGGCCTTGAACTGCGATCCTCCTGATCTCTCTCTCCTAAGTAGCTAGGATTATAGGTGTGAGCCATTGCACTTGTGTACCTATTTCTTTTACTTCTATTTTGATGTGGCTGACAGAACATGGAAATTTACATGTGTGGATTCCATTATATTTCTGCTGGATCACAGAGCCTGTGATACACCATCTCCTGTCACTAGGCAATCACCTTGTGCCAAATCCATTTAAAAGTGAAAGAACACAACAGTGGTTGCTCTTACCTGTGGCAGCACTGAGAGTCTCCTTGGAGCTGTTGGCCCCTTCTCTTTCTGCCCACACAGAAATTCATATGAAGACCCAGGATTGAGTCCATCCACTGTGATGCTGGTGTTTGTTGCGTGTTGGATCTCATTTCTGTCACCATCTCTAAACCACTGGACCCAGTAGGTGAGGCTCATGGGGTCTGGGCCTTCAGGAACATCCCAGAGCAGGGTGATGGAGGTGTTTGTCTGAGTCTCCACCCTCAGGTGTCTCACTGGATTTGGAGCTGAAATAGAAACAGGAGTGGATCAGTTGTAGCCCCGGATCCTCAAATTATCCATCCATTTTTGATGCCTGGGACCGAGGTTGGGGAGGTGGATGGTTGGAACCTGTGCAGTCCAATTTGATGGCACAAGTTGTGAGGGACTGTTGAGCTCCTGTGATATGGCTTGTTGCCTCTTTGATTTGTGCTAGAGTAAAACACACTGAGCTGGGAAGAAATGGTGTGAACCGATGAATGTCATGTCAGATCGCCTGTGACTGAGACCATTAAGTAATTATTCAGACCTCTCCTCCTGCTCCCAGTTCCTCCTCATATTAAACCCAATGCACATGTCTGCACAGGGAACATAGGTTGAAATGCTGTCTTGTGTCTGCCCAATGTTTGCCTGTTCAACGTAATAATCTCCTTTCCCTGCCTTCCACCAAAAGAAAAAAAGTCAAATTTTACTGAGGACTTGTTGACCTGATACTGCTTGGATCTTTTGGACCACAGGAAGTACCACAGGATCGATGATCCATTTCACATGTTTCTTTTCCTCTGTTTTGATGTAGCTGATAGAAAGTAGAAATTTAAATGTGACTTTGTCAGATTTGTTTTTTTAATCAGGATATATTTGCTGTATTGGGGGGATTCATTGTGACAATTCCAAATAGGCTTATATTGTACATTGGTAGATCACCCCCACTGTCTTTCCCCGTTATATTTCTATTCAGTCACCAAGCCTGCCCCCTTCTCCTCTCAGTTCTTAGCTACCCTCTACCACCTCCCTTTAACAAAAAAGGATAAAAAGCCAGGCGTGGTGATGTACATGTGTAATCCCAGCACTCAGGAGACTGAGGTAGGAGGACTGTGAGTTTTAGGCTAACATGGGCTACACAGCCTGACCCTGTTTCCAAAACAGCTGGCATGATAGTACACTGCTGTATTCCCAGCTAAAGCAAAGGAGGAGGATCATAGTCCAAGGGCAGCCTGGGCAAAAAGAGCAAGTTTCTATTTGAAAAAGAAACTTAAAAACCAAAAGTACTGCAACCTGGCTCAGGAAATAGAGTGCATATCTAGCAAGTGTGAATTCCTGGGTTCAATTGCCAATACTGACCTCCCGCTAAAAAAAGAATGAAAGAAAGGAAGGGAGAAAGAGAAAGGAAAGGAACAGGAAGAGGAAGAGGAAGAAACTGAAAAAAGAAAGAACACAACAGTGGTTGCTCTTACCTGTGGCAGCATTGAGAGTCTCCTTGGAGCTGTTGGCCCCTTCTCTTTCTGCCCACACAGAAAATTCATATGAAGACCCAGGACTGAGTCCATCCACTGTGATGCTGGTGTTTGTTGTGTGTTGGGTCTCATTTCTGTCACCATCTCTAAACCACTGGACCCAGTAGGTGAGGTTCATGGCGTCTGGGCCTTCAGGAACATCCCAGCGCAGGGTGATGGAGGTGTTTGTCTGAGTCTCCACCCCAGGTTTCTCACTCCGTTGGGGGCTGAGAATTGGGATGAGAGTTTGTATGAGCAAAGCACAGATTCTCCCACACCCCTATACCCTTTTTTTTGTGGGGGGTGGTTCTAGAGTTTGAACTCAGGGTCTCACACTTGCTAGGCAGGCACTCTTCCACTTGAGCCACTTGGCCAGCCCTGTTTTTGTGTTGGGTATTTTCAAGATAGGGTGTCTCTAACTATTTGTCCAGGCTGGCTTCGAACTGAAATCCTCCTTATCGCTGCCTCTGGAGTAGCTAAGATTACAGAGGTGAGCCACCAGAACTTGGCTAACCCTACACCCTTGCCCTGAGGCCAGGCGGGCCACTTCCTGTCAGCCGTGGACCACCATACTGCATTGAGTTTCCAACAGGGGCACAAGACTCAAGGTCCCATCATTTTGTACGGACAGTGATTTCACATGGGTTCACTCACCAGCCGCCCTGACCCCTGTCCAGCTGTACAGACCCTGGAAAAAGACGAGGAAGACGGAGTTAGACAATAAGCCTCACCAACCTGCACCCACATGAGATCATGGGATTAGCAAGGCTGCCCACAACTCTCCTGCTCCCTGTCCCCCACCTCCATTGGTCAACCCACTGAGGAGAGGCGTGTGGGCTGGGCTCTGATGAAGGTCACCCTAACTTCCATGTTCTCTAGGTGGGAAGGTCATGCATGCTGGGGGTGGAGTTCCAGGGACTCAGGAGTTGAGGTTGGCTCCATGATAAGAGCAAGAGATAAAATGAACACTTTCAGTTTCTGAAAAACACAGCCTTGGAGATTGGGGGCAGGGAGGCAGTCATCAGGGAATAGAGAAAGAAAACAAAACTGGAGTCTGGTCCCAGATAGGGGGTCTGAGGGAGGAGGGCTGGGGCCTGGACCCTGGATCTGAGGGAGGAGGGCTGGGGCCTGGACCCCTGGGTCTGCAGGAGGAAAGTTGAGGCCTGTATCCCTGTATCTGAGGGAGGAGGGCCGGGATCTGGACCCTGGATCTGAGGGAGGAGGGCTGGGGCCTGGACTCCTGGGTCTGAGGGAGGAGACTGGGGTCAGGACTCCTGGGTCTGAGGGAGGAGGGCTGGGGCCTGGACCCTGTGTCTGAGGGAGGAGGCTGAGGCTTATCTACTATAAGATGTCTCCATTTTCCTCCCAATTCCAATCCTCCTTCCTTCTCCAGGGCACGACACCCCTGCCTCTGGGTCCAGGCTAAGGGACCTTGTTCCCTCATCCCTGGGAGTGTGGATTCTGTCCCAAGCCTGTCTTCCCTCAGAACCCAGGCTCTGCCCAGGGCAGAGGAGGACTTACCAGTAGCACCAGGCTCCCCAAGGCCCTGAGGCCCCCAACAGCCCTAGCCATATGTCCAGACACTGGGGTGAGCAGGAGAGGACACAGGAGTCCCGGCTCTTGTCCCTCCACCTGCTGGACTTTAAACTCAGAATTTCCCTTTTGACAGCCCATTGGTGGGGCCAGAGGCTAGTGCAGGAAGGGGAGGAGGAGGAAGTAGAGGTTCTGAGCGTGAGAGCCCAGCCTCAGCCCTGCCCAGTCCTGACCCATCCCTCACCCTCTGCTTCTTGCCCTGACAGGGACACTCTTTATTCTCTTCTCTGCCCTGTCTGGAATCCTCAGCCCCCAACCTCACTCTGTTTTGTCTCACAAAATCACCTTCTCAGTTGAAGGAACCCGCCTCCCGAAAGTAATGGCACTACTTCCTGCTGCTGTATACAGATGCACCATGCAGACCCCAGACATGCTGGGAGAGCTGGAAGCTGTGAGATGGTGGCACATCTTGATCAGCTTGGGGTCTGGATCCCATGATCCATTGGTGGCTCTGGGTTTGATGCAGGCACTGGCCCTGTCCCCTCTCTCTGTCCTTCCTCACAGGCCCTTGCAGCTCCCACAGATGGCCTCTGATGCTTCCCTGGCTTTTGCATATGCCGTGTCCCCATGTCCCCACATCCCCACCAGGTATGTTGCCCCACTGTCCTCTGACACTCTCATTCCTGATCTGCTGGGATTCAGCTCAGAAACCACCCACTGCCTTCTTGGTCTGGTCTGGACAGGGCTGAATTTGTCACACATGCTATACCAATTACATTGGTTTACAGTCTACCTGTGACTTTCCGAAAGTGACTTCAACTCATGATGACTCAGATTTCTCTTGTATAAAAAATGGGCACAACCCCTTGAAGGAGTTAGTAAAATACACACAGAAAGTCCTAGCACAAGCTGGGTGGGGTAGCTCGTGCCTGTAATCCCAGAAGGCAAGAAGATGGAAGAGTTCCAGGCCAGCCTGGGCTACATAGTGACATCCTGTCTAAAAAAAAAAAAAAAAATCGTGACTACTCAGTGCAGCATTTGAATAATATTGATTAACTTGGGGAACGTTTTCCTGACTTATGAAAAAATATCTTGCTGGGTGTTATGGCACACACCTGTAATCTCAGCACTTGGGAAGCTGAAGCAGGAGGAACCCAAGTTCAAGGCCAGCCTGGGCACCAGTGGTTCATGCCTGTAATCCCAGCTACTCAGGAGGCAGAGATCAGGAGGATCTCAGTTAGAAGTCAGCCCAGGGAAAATAGTTCAAGAGACCCTGTCTCGAAAAAACCCTTCACAAAAAAATAGCTGGTGGAGTGGCTCAAGATGTAGGCTCCAAGTTTAAACCCCAGTACTGAAAAAAATTTTTAATTAAAAAAAAAAACTTACTTTATGCTCACCTACTTCTGCTAGACAGTTATGCAGTGAATCGGGTAGTGTTTATTCACAAAAAATAAAAAGAGTCAGGTGCCGGTGACTCACGCCTGTAATCCCAACTACTCAGGAGGCAGAGATCAGGAGGATCACGGTTCAAAAGCCAACCGGGGAAAATAGTTCGGGAGACTTTATGTCAAAAAATACCATTACAAAAAAGGGCTGGCAGAGTGGCTCAAGGTGAAGGCCCTGTGTTCAAACTCCAGTGCTGCAAAAAATTAATAATAAATAAAATAGAAAGAGGAAATCTTATCTGCCTGAAAAAGGCAATATGGACATAGCAATGGTTTACTGCTGTGTGGCATATCAGTCCGAGCCCTAGTGGCCTTAACAATGTTAAGCATTTGTGATTGATCTTCAGGTTCTGGGTTCTGGGACTCCAGTGGTGCCCTGGCAGAGCAGTTCTGGCTCAGAGTTTGCCTGGGGCTGGTATCAAGATGCCGCTGGGGCAGATGCCATGGTTCACACCTGTGATCTTAGTTATTTGGGAGGCTAAAAATCTGGAGGATCATGAGACCCCATCTTCAAAATAACCAGAGCAAAATGGACTGGAGATGTGGCTCACATAGTAGAGTGCTTGCTTTGTAAGCGTGAAGCCCTGAGTTCAAATTCCAGTCAGAGAGAGAGAGAGAGAGAGAAATTAAGCATGGGAGAAAAACAGAGAAAGAAACCTGAGTGGCTGGTAGGGGAGGGGACCCATTGCTCTCTGAGAGAGAAAATGACTTCCCCAAAATAGGTGAGAACTAAGTTATGTGGTCTCTGTCATGTTTTTCCCCAGTGCAGGAGATTGCACCCAGAACCTCACACATGCTAGGCAAACACTCTACCACTTGAACCATACTCCCAGCCCTTTGTTTGCATTTTGTTTTTGAGATAGTCTTGCTATGTTTTACTGGTCTGGCCTCGAACTCTTGAGTTGCTGGGAATACAGGCATACACCACCATGCCCCACTGGGATATCTCTTTAAACAACATATGTTTTCTGAGTATAAAAAGTACTTACTGGTGTTGTGGGTGTGGCTCAAGTGGTAGAGCACCTGCCTGGCCTGAGTTCAAATGCCAGTACTGCCAATTAAAAAAAATGCTTGCACAGTGAAAATTTTAATCAGATTCTTGCCCCCAAAATTAAAATTCCTACCACTGTAGGGCATTCAGGAATGGTCTGGGGCAAAGTGTGCAGATAAAGGAATGCCTACATCCCAGGGATAAGCAATAAGGGGGTTGGGGTGCAAAGTCCAGCCCTGGAGGCAAAGTTGAATCCTGGGGTAATGACCGCTCCAGGCCTTGCTTCCTCCTGTGACTCAGGGACAAGATCATAGTCTGAGATGTTCCCAGAGCAGGGCAATGAGTGCTGGTTCCTGATTTCCCCTTCCCCCTTGTAACCTGGCTTCACAAACAGGGGTTGTCATTACAGAAAATGGCAAGGGACAGCAAACGTTTGTTGAATGACTACCAGGTACCAACATGGTATGGCAGCCAACTCTGTCTGTGGCCCTCACTTTCTGCTGACCTCGCACTTCTGTGCAGTGCCCTCCCACAAGGAACAGGATGGCAACAGTGCAAACATAGGCGTGTGCCTGTGAGGCAAGGCTGTAATGACGCTGGGGCCACTTCTGCCTTGCTGTCTCTCTGGGATTAGTGCTCTGCAGAAGCTGTGCTGTGAGGACATCGGAGATGGCCGTGGGAGGTGCACATGGTGAAGATCTGAAGCTCCTGCCCACACCTATGTGTGTCACTGAGGTCTTCTAACGAATGCAGCCTCGGGGACATATTTTTTTTTAGTGGGACTGGGATTTGAACTCAGGGCTTCAGGCTTGCAAAGCAGGTGCTCTACTGCTTGAGTCACACCTCCAGTCCATTTTGCTGTGGTTATTTTAGAGATGGAGATCTTGTGAACTATTTGCCTAGACTGGCTTCACACAGTGATCCTTCAGATCTCAGCCTACCAAGTTGCTAAGATTACAGGCGTGAACCACTGGAGCCTGTTCTTCCTTCCTTCCTTCCTCCATCCCTCCCTTCCTCCTTTCCTTCCCTCCCCCTTCTGGATCTTCTTCAACATGTAAACATGAAAAGTTTTCTTATCCAAAATCCACCTTCTGTCAGTTGTGGGTGACACGCACCTGTAATCCCAGCACTCAAGACATGGAGGCAGTTCTTTTAAACAAAGGCAATATAACTTTCAATGGTATGTAACTTCTGCCTAGGGACACTGTGAGTCTCTTTTCTGTACAGAACGGACTCACTGATGTTTACTGACACCTGTCCCCGAATGTAGTCAGCCCTTAACTGCCCACCATAGTGACAGTCCAAAATAGAGGGTCACCTAAGAGTTAAAAATAGCTACAGATATAAACACCTAGAGGCAAAGTAAGCATAAGATTCTGTCACTTTTCCAAATGAAAAGTTAGATTCTTTATCCTTCCTGCTGCACATGGCAGGGTCCCTCCTGATGCTGCTATCATTGCAAATGTTCAGGTCACACCTTCTGTACCAGATTTCTCTCTTCCAGAATGAAAGCCTTTAGGACCCAAATCATGAGACAAGAGGGGTCATGAATGAGATCTCCAGGAACAACCCAGGTCTCCATGAGAAACCTTAATTGTCATGGACAATGATTCAGACACCTTGTGTCCAAATGAGTCCCAAGGGAAAGAAGTAGGAGAGACAATTTCCCCTCGTAGGTAGGGTCTGCTACCCCTTGTCAGCTCGAGGCAGATACTGAAGATGGACAGCCGCCCCCACTCAGGAAACCCAGAAAATAATTTTTTGGAATTTTAACTCTCAGGGGAAATTTGAGGCAGGCTAAATTAGGGACTCATAGAAAAAATTAGATTAACCATGCTTTGGCTCAGGAACCACCCTCACCTGGCTGAGAACCACCCATGCCCCTCCCCAGTCACTACTGGGTGGGAATCTCCTTGTTCTCCCCTTCCCATAGGTTACCATAGGTTTTAAAACACCTAAAGAGCAGAAACATGCTCTCGACTTCCAACTTCCACCTGGGCTTCACCATACTTTCCCTTTGTATTTCCCTCCCCTAACTTTTAATAAATTCCATTTACAACCCCCCTCCAAAAAAAAGAGAGATAGAGACAGGAGGATTTTGAGTTCAAGACCAGTATTAGTGAGACCCTGTCTCAAAAATCCAAAATAAGAGGAAAAAAAATAACCCACCTTAGGTCTGGAGATATGGATCAAGGGGCATTTGCCTAGCAAGAGTAAGGACCTGGATTCAAAACACTAGTGCTTCCCCCCAAAATAAGAACAAAAGAAAAGATTCCCCCACCTTGTCTAGTGCTGCTCCACCCCCTGGCTTCTTAATGCCTCATGGAACAGGCTGCCTGTGCACCAGGAAGACACGTAAGGTCATTCCTGTCCTCTTTGAGAACAGAAATCCCCATGGAGTCACTGAAGGAAGCCCCTCTTAGCACAACCCTTCCACCTCAAGTTCTTTTCAGCCCCTCTTAGCAACCCAATGAGCATAATGGAATACCCATGTATATGATGACAATTTTCTGTACCTCTGGCAAGCAAGGACCAGCCATGAGTCACCACAGGGTGGCACCACAATGCCACAGCTCATGTTCCCTGGGAGCAGAGCCTCAGAC